CCAACTTTAAAAAACTAATGACAATTTGACTTACGACTCCTAACAAAAATAAACTCAAAGAACTTATCTTTAAATAAAGAATCTTCAACTTAAACAAGATTTGCCATAACAAAAATAATCTAAAAAAGTTTTGACTTACGACCCCTAACAAAAAAAAAACTGATCTTTAAAATAGAATACGTTCCATATCCAACTTAAAGAAACTAATGAAAATTTTTTATCTTTAAATAAAGAATTAGTTTCATCTCCAACTTAAACCAGATTTGCCCTAACAAAAGGAATCAAAAAAAGTTTTGATTTACGACCCCTGACAAACAAAAGAACTTATCTTTAAAAAAGAATAAGTTCCATATCCATATCCCAATAAACACAATTTGACCTGATAAAAAAATCTAAAATAAATTTTGAAGCACGACCCCTTTACAAAAAAGAACTAATCTTTAAGTAAAGAATAAGTTTCATTTCCAACTTAACCAACTTAAACAAGATTTGACCTGACAAAAAGAATCAGAAAATTTTGACCTACGATCCCTAACAAAAACGAACTAAAAGAAGTGATCTTTAAATAAAGAATTAGTTCCATCTCCAACTTAAGGAATCTAAAAAAGTTTTGATTTACGACCCCTGACAAAAAAAAGAAGTGATATTTAAAAAAGAATAAGTTCCATATCCATATCCCAATAAACACAATTTGACCTGATAAAAAAATCTAAAATAAATTTTGAAGCACGACTTCTTCAAAAAAAAAATCTTTAAGTAAAGAATAAGTTTCATTTCCAACTTAACCAACTTAAACAAGATTTGACCTTACAAAAAGAATCACAAAATTTTGACCTACGACCCCGAACAAAAACGAACTAAAAGAACTGATCTTTAAATAAAGAATTAGTTCCATCTCCAACTTAAACAATATTTGACCCGACGAAAAGATATTTAAAGAAATTTCGATAATAAAAACTAAAAAATTAAAAATAATTAATTGGTAGGTACTTGCCAAATTCCTTGATGAGTTCTGGTTAAATCGTATTATCCTTATATGGTTGTCTTATTTCTTATTATGCATTGGTAAATAATTAATTGGTAGGTACTTGCCAAATTCCTTGATGAGTTCTGGTTAAATCGTATTATCCTTATATGATTGTCTTATTTCTTATTATCCTTGGGTTAATGCTATAACATGTTGATCCTAGAAAAAAATATAATTAGACGATTTAAGAGCTGCAACTTTTATGTTTTTATTTTTTTAAATATCATAAAATCGTAGTAATATTTGAGATAATAGATGCGTTAGAATTCTATTAATACGTATATGTATAGGTAGGTACCTAGCAATTTGTATACAAATACATCTATAGATGTAGATCAAAGTAATAAATGAGCATGTTTGTCGTATCAAAGCCAAATTACAACTAAATGGTTGATTACGTTGTAGGGATTATAATTATTTTTATCAGCAAAAACAAAAAAAGGGTGAGTCAGACTTGCGCGATAAACATATTACGTTAAGGGTGACAAATTTTAATTATAGATATATTTGTTATTTATTATTTTATTAATACTCAAATAATCTAATTTCGATTATACAGTTTCCCAAAAATTACGCACCATTTTGAGTTATTAGGGTTTAAAAATTTAATTTAATTTGTGTTATTTTCTAAAGACGTTTTGAAAATAAAAACTTAAATAAGAATCATTTTTATACGTATATTTTTTATACTTATTGCAACCATGGTTGATATTTTTGTTAAAAATATTTACTACAAAAATTATAGATACAGTGTGACCCATTTGTTTGCGACTCACCCCTGTAAAATCTTTATTTATTGTGCGATTTTAACCGGATTTGTTTTAAAGTATAGATCTTGATAAACTGTATTTTTGGAGCAAAATTTGTACAAAATACAAGGCCTACTATGTTAATTTTTGACTGTACATTTTTAAGAATTCATATTAGCGATTTTTTTAAACAAAATCTAAGCACGGCACTGGATTCACCACCCCTCAAAACGATCCAATACTAAATTATATTGAAAAATTTTAAGTAGAAAAATGCACAATAATAACTACAAAATTTTATTCTGTTAAGTTATCCATGAAAAAACATTGAAATAAAATTAAACTAATAGTAACATGGTAATAATACTATATATAGTAACTTATATAAGTTTAATTTTATTTCAATGTTTTTTTCATGGACAACTTGACATAATAAATTTTTGTGGTTATTATTTTGCATTTTTCTACATAAAATTTTTCAATAAAATTTAGTAAAGGGTCGTTTTGAGGGGTGGTGAATCCAGTGCCGTGCTTAGATTTTGTTTAAAAAATCGCTAATATGAATTCTTAAAAATTTACTCTAAAGAGTGACATAGTAGGCCTTGTATTTTGTACAGGGGTGAGTCGCAAACAAATGGGTCACACTGTATATATATATATATTGATTTTAACCAACAAAAAACTATTTAAATTTTCTAAAGGTTAAAATCAAAGGCGATTTTATAAATAAAAGTAGACTAAACAAGTTTGAAGAAATTTAGTTAAAAAAACTTCGCGAATAAATAGGTACCTACTTTAATTTCGTCAAAAAATTTAAAAATAATAAATTGTTACTTGCCAAATTTATTGATGACTTCTGGTTAAATCCCATTATCCTTATATATACATATATATATAATATATATGGTTGTCTTATTTCTAAATAGCCATGGCTTTAATATGTTGGTCCTAGAAAAAAAATACAATTAGACCATTTAAGGACTGCAACTTTTATGTTTTTTATTTTTTTAAATATTAAAAATATTCGTAGTATTATTTGACATAATAGATGCGTTAGAATTCTAATAATACCTAGCAATTTGTTGATGTAGATAAAAGTAATAAATAAGCATGTTCGTCGCATAAAAGCCAAATTCCAACTGAACGCTTGATTACGTTGTAGGGATTATAATTATTAACAAAAACAGGCAAAAAAGAGGGTGAGTCAGACATGCGCGATAAACATATTAAGTTAAGCGTGACGAACTTCTTAATTATATATTTGTTATTTATTATTTTATTAATAATCAAATAATGTAATTTCGCACCATTTTGAGTAATTATAATAAACCCTATAGGGTTTAAAAATTGAATTTAATTTGTGTTATTTTCTAAAGACGCTTTAAATAAAAAATTTTTGTTGAAAATATTTAACACAAAAATTATAGATATATACAGTGTGACACATTTGTTTGCGGCTCAACCCTGTAAAATCTTTATTTATTGTGCGATTTTAACCGGATTTGTTTTAAAGTGTAGATCTTGATAAATTGTATTTTTGGAGCAAAAAACGCAATATTTGTACAAAATACAAGGCCTACCATATCAGTTTTTGAGAGTAAAGTTTTAAGAGTTCATATGAGCGATTTTTTTAAACAAAATCTAAGCACGGCACTGGATTCACCACCCCTCAAAACGACCCTAAATTAAATTATATTGAAAAATTTTAAGTAGAAAAATGCACAATAACAACTACAAAATTTTATTCTGTCAAGTTATCCATGAAAAAACATTGAAATAAAATTAAACTAATAGTAACATGGTACTATTACTTGCTTAGATTTTGTTTAAAAAATCGCTAATATGAATTATTAAAAATTTACTCTAAAAAACTGACATTAGTATGGCGTATTTTGCTCCAAAAATACAGTTTACCAAGATCTACACTTTAAGACAAATCCTGTTAAAATCGCATAATAAATAAAGATTTTACAGGGGTGAGTCGCAAACAAATGAGTCACACTGTATATATATATAAATAAATATATATATATATATATATATTTTAAACAATAAAAAACAATTTAAATTTTCTAAAGGTTAAAATCAAAGGCGATTTTATAAATAAAAATAGACTAAACAAGTTTGAAGAAATTTAGTTAAAAAACTTAAAAATTAGCGAATAAATAGGTACCTACTTTTATTTTAGTCAAAAAATTTTAAAATAATAAATTGGTACTTGCCAAATTTATTGATGAGTTTTGGTTAAATCCCATTATCCTTATATATATTGATGAGTTTTGGTTAAATCCCATTATCCTTATATATATGGTTGTCTTATTTCTTAATATCCATTGGCTTAATAGCTATGGCTTTAACATGTTGGTCCTAGAAAAAAAATACAATTACACCATTTAAGGACTGCAAATTTTATGTTCTTTATTTTTTTAAATATCAAAAATATTCGTAGTATTATTTGACCTAATAGATGCGTTAGAATTCTAATACCTAGCAATTTGTTGATGTAGATAAAAGTAATAAATGAGCATGTTCATCCCATAAAAGCCAAATTCCAACTGAACGCTTGATTACGTTGTAGGGATTATAATTATTAACAAAAACAACCAAAAAGAGGGTGAGTCAGACCTGCGCGATAAACATATTACGTTAAGCGTGACGAATTTCTTAATTATATATTTGTTATTTATTATTTTATTAATAATCAAATAATCTGTATGTTGGCAGAACTGATTTATGTTGATACCAATTGCTTCGCATTATACCTAGCCATATTATAATAATAAACAATAAAAGAAAAGAAAAATAATAAATAATTATAATATTTCTTCGTCTAAGGCCTTTTATCTCATTCTGTGTAGGTATACCAGAGATACGACACTGACTCAAACTTTCTTCCAAACCGTGCCAAAATACCAACCAAACTGAGCAAAAGTTACTGTTTTAACGGAATTGCTAACTTAGCAAGAGATACATCAAGACCCCGAATGTAATTTCGATTATAGTTTTCAAAAATTACGCACCATTTTGAGTAATTAGGGTTTAAAAATTGTGTTATTTTCTAAAGACGTTTTAAAAATAAAATCTTAAATAACCTTGATCTTAGCACAAAAAGCCTTACTTCTTAACCTAATGACATAAATAACTATTTTGTTCAAAATTCATCATTTGAAATATTTATAAAATCTAAGCATCCAAGCACTAGTAAAACACTTTTATTTACTCAGAACGGCATGAATCTGAAGACCTCTACGCCTATGGTAAAAACGGCTTACGTCGAGTGCGTCCTGTCGACTCTAACCTCAAACACGATCGCGCAAGCGAAAATCTTCGCGCCGACTTTGATGAAGTCCCTGGAAAAAGCGGTTTCGCAGCCTACTCAGTCGGCGATCGTCACTGAAGGTTTGAGCGCGGCGCTGCTGTTGCTGGCGATGGCGCATGCGCAGGTCGACGTCGAAGGAGGCTACGGCGCTTTGTGGAACGCCGCCCTCGATATGGACAAGCAGATATTTGTTTCCGAGAAGTTCTTGTCTTCTGCTACCAGTGAAGGTAAGAAATGAATCGACTTAATTTTGTCTCTATAGGATTTTATTGGTAAAATCAACTAAATTTGGGCTTGATTTGATTTTCAACCTATAAGATTCTCAGTAAAAACAAACATTAAAAAAATTGTTAATATTTGGAATAAAAAAATTGCTATTATTTTGGTTAAAACAATAATTAAAATGGTATACAGGGTGTTATGTAATTAATGTTATATATTAAAATACTGAATACCTTTTGACATAAGGAATAAAGGAAAAATATTTAAAAAAACATTTTTCCAAAGATAAAGAAAAAATATGCATTAGAAGTTTTTTATATTTTTTGTGATACGCCACTGGTTACACACTTGTTTATCTCTGCACACCTGTATTTTGTGAGTACATAGATACCAACCAACAAAGTAGCTATGCTTTGCCAGATGTAAAAAATTGTTACTAAAAATTTTTCTTGCAAAAAATAAATAAAAATTCAATAAATACAAAAGTTTTATGCCCTTAAAGCTCTAATACCCTTCTGTATTTTTTTACTGATCCAGCTATTAGCTTAAGCAATGATTAGAAAATTTAGTACCTTTGAAATTTGAAATCCATAACCACAAAATTAATTTTTTCATCAGTTTTTTTCTCTGTTTACTCAGATGAAATTGGGACCAGTTCACAGGTTAAACTTTAAACATTTAATTTGTGTAAATAAATCCAAAAGCACTTCCCTTAGTTAAGATATTTACAATTTGAAAACATAACCTAAAATTTAAAAGAAATGCACTAGATTCTGTCATAAAAGTTGGCAGATTTTGTTTGAATTTACCTTCAGTACAAAAATGAAATAACCAACAATTAATAAAAACGCCAAATTGACAATTTGCATTGTTAATTTTGTCATTTTTGTAATTAAGCTAAATTTAAACAATGTTTGTCAACTTTTTTGAGAGATTTTGGAAACACTGTTACCAACCATAACATAATAAATCCACCAGATTAACCTAAAGTTCCTAGTCGATCAGTGGCGTACTTTTTGGTAGGATAAAGGTTAACATAAATTATTTTTAGACTTTGGAATTTAGAAAAAAAAAGTTTCAGGTGCTTCTTTATGGACCCTAAGGAACAACCCATTTTAATATATAACATTAATTACATAACACCCTGTATAAACTACAAATATTTACTTAATTTACAATACTTTAATCAAAATAACTATGTTGTGAAGTAGGAAAAAAAATTAAAAATTAAATTGTTAATATGTCTATTTAAAATCATGAAAAATAACTATTACACACTGCGCGTCAAAATTAACGCATAACAAGTAAAAAAATCCAACTCTAAAATGCCATTACCAATCTTTATAAAATTTTGTATAAGAATACTTTAACTTATATAAGGGTTTTTCGAAAAAATATCCTTAATAATAAAAAACGCTCGAAAAAAAAACTTATAGAGAATTTTTTTTAAAGTAAATAAAAAATATGATGTGAAAGACCGTATTTTTGTTAGTATACCCTGAAAATGATGTACAAATCAAACGAACAGTAACAAAAATACAGCGCTTCAAAGTCGTCAAAAATGACTACTTTTCAGCAAAATAATCAAAAAGGGGTCATTTTTACCGACTTTGAAGCGCTGAATCTTCGTTACTGTTCGTTTGATTTGTACAAAATTTTCAGGGTATACTAACAAAAATACGGTCTTTGACAGCGTATTTTTATTTAATTAAAAAAAATCCCTAAAAGTTATTTTTCTATTATTAAATAAAAGGGCTTCAAAAATATTGTAAGGGCGTTTTAGTTTTTTTAGAATTTTTTTACTTATTATGTGTTAATTTTAACTAATATTTTTTTCAAGGAACAATAAAAAATCGTCGAGTATCTCTAGAAAACGACCCTGTGAAAATATGAGCTCTTTACATTAATATTTGTAATTTCTATTTTCCATTTAAATAACATGGGAATTTTTTTATCTTTGTAACGTGATAACGAGCTAATTCATAAGTAAGACAACATTACCCTTATAGGAAATTTGATGCTCCTCAAAAAAAGTCTGATTGACATTTTGCGTAAGTCAAGGCGTTTCAAAGATATAATTTTTATTGATTTTTAGCGAAAAATATTTACTTATCTAAAAAATATGGGAGAAGTTTATTATAAATTATCATTAAAATTTTGTCAAATTATTAAGAATTTTGGATCTGCATTCCATTAAATATATACATATATTTATTCTTAAATTAATAATTTTGGGTTTTTAATACATAAATATATGTATTTTTCTTAAATACAAAAATTTATATATAAATTGATTTTTTTTGTATTTAAGAACAAAAAGCATAATTTTAAACAGTCAGACCTTTTTTGTAGAGCATGAAATTTCCTATAAGGAGTAATTTTGTCTTACTTATGAAGTAGCTCATTATCACGTTACAAAATTCCAAAGTTTGAAAAAAAAATCCCATGTTATTTAAAGGGAAAAAGAAAATTACAAAACGCCACCTCTAAATATTATTAATAAGAGCTTATATTTTCACAGGGTCGTTTTTTGAAAAAAAAATAGTCGGTTTTTTTTCTTAGAAAATAAAAAAAAATCGTAAAAAAAAAATAAAATGGTCTTTAAAAGTATTTTGGTCTTATACAGATAATACGACTGGGCAATTTAAACAGTGATGATTTATAATATTTAGATTCAAAGTCTGAAGTCAAGATGAAATTTTTATTTTTTATTACAAAAGATTGTCAGTGACTAAAAAACTTTTTAACTTAAATTCCATACAAAAACAAAATAACAAAAATTGTAGTATACGCAACCAAAAAAAAGTAAATTTTACTATTTTTTAAATAGACATTAAATAACTATTTTTTTAATGAATTTAGAAAGGCATAATGGTTAAAACAACTTTTTCTGAATGGAAACTTAACATTTTATTTGTCAAATTACAATTTAAATGCTATAAATGACCATCCTAACTGTGTCTTACCATTGGATAGCAACAATTTTCAAATGTTTGATTCTGCCACAATAGTGTAGTCAAATCTACCAAAAAACAAGATCAATTTGGCTAAAAATTAAGAATAGATTTTCGATTTTTTTTTGTTAGAATTATAAATGCAATGGGGTAGTTAAATTTTTTCTGACCTATACTTTTTATGGTTTTATTCAAGGCGTTTTATAATATTAAACATTTCTGTGAAATCAGAATTTCAATTGAGTTTACCGTTTTCGAGATATTTACAAAAAATATAAATTTTTATGACGTCACAAACCTCGCCATGTGACCAACATTCTAAGATTTCTATTGGTTGAAAATTACCCTGTTGTTAAGTTGTCTTGTTAATGATTTCATTCGGTTATGTCAGAAAATACCCGAAGAGGTTATGTACAAATACTGTCACTGAGTGAAAGATGGTCACCAAATTCATTAAGTACCTATCTTCCTTATTACGAGGTATCATATTACTGTTTGATATTTTAGAGTCCAAGATATATCTAAAAGAATATAAAGAACTAGGCATTATACTAATGAAATGCATTTACGACAAAATATGATTATAATTATAGGTACTTACTTTATTTGTTTAAAAGCTCCAATGTTCAATGTAACCAACCATTCCACAAGATTCCTCTGCTTTGGAGTCCGTTATTAATAAATCACTTATCTAATATCAATTACAAATAACATAACAATAACATTGATTTTCAATAATCTAAATTTAAAAAAAACATAACCCGAAAAAAAGAAACGTCAAAAAATCAATTCTTCTTCTCAACTAAAATTATAGATCAAGTGGTTTTAAAACTAAAATATTATAAGGTGGCGCCATCTATCGTAATAATCTTAAACTAAACACACTGGCAACCATAGAAAAAGCTGGCAACGTTGTCAATAGCCTAGTGACGTAATTAGGAGATTTTTTTTCGTAAATATCTCGAAAACGGTAAACTCAATTGAAATTCCGATTTCACAGAAATGTTTAAAATTACAAAACGCCTTGAATAAAACTATAAAAAGTATAGGTCAGAAAAAATTTAACTACCCCATTTATTTGAACCAATAACATTTTTACAGCCCTAGTTCTTGTAATGCGCCTTGGGGAAAAACTGCTAGTCAACCACCCAGACAAGGTGAAAGACGCCAAATTCCAACCGCTTTACAAAGCCATTTTGCACTGCGTAACTCTACAAGACTCCCAAACGAGACGCAAAAACTTGTTGATCCTCAAGCGAATGGTGAACGGATTGGCGGGTCCGGCCATTTCGAAAATACTCTTCACCGAACTGCATCAGCAACTCAGTTTAACAAAAGAAGGAAACGACGCTTCGAACGAAATTTCCTCGCACGCTCTGATAGAGTGCATCGTCACTCTGTGTTCCGCTTCCGGGTTGTCCCGCGAGCACTTGAAAACGTTGGCGTTGCACAGCCTGCTTCCCGCCCACCATCCCAAGGCAGTGGCGTTCGCGTCGAATCTGTGGGTCAAAATACTGAAGCATCACAAAGTTAAACCGAAAGATTTGCTGGGCGAACTCGAAGACGAAATCAGGAGCATTTTTATCGATAACTATCGAGTTTTGCCGGTAAGTTCAGATTTTTTCAACAATCTATTTTTAAAATCAAATCAAAATTAAGACACTTAAGAAATATTATTTATTTAAAATTTATATAAACCGTTGTTTTAAAGATTTTAGATTTTTTCTTATAAATGTAAAAAAAGGATAGTTTGTTTGTATAAACTTTATTTACGTTTACTTAAAAATAAGAATATTTGAATTTTGAATAATAGTTTTATAAAAACATGCAAAAAATTTAGTAATTGGACAATTTATTTAGTAATTGGACACATGGACCATTGTTATTGGACATACAATTTTTATATAAATATAACAACTTTACATCAAATAACGAATTGTTAAATATTTTTTAAAGATAAATTGCTGTTTTAGGTAATTTTTTTATATCGTTTTTGTAAATATCATATAATTCATATATTTCTTTCTCGGATTCCTCATCCCTTTTCTGGATTCTGTAGGTACTACTAATTCCTTGGTCTAACTTCTGAAATAGTTTGTTGCAAATATCATTAAGTGTGGTAGGTATCTCTAGTTTGTGAAGCATTTATAATGTTTAGGCCGGAACAGGATGATTTATATATATATCTAATATTTTTTCGGGTAGTATGTTAAAAGTATCATGCACTATATTTAAATCACTGTTATTCTGCAAGATGTCCTGTGATGAAGAAATCACTATATATCTTACTCTCTAAAAATTAATTAGTCGAAAATGTCATAGCGAAAAAGCAGCCACTAATAATCCTCGTCAACAGCAATTTGTATCCAGGACATTTAGCAGTCAATTCTTATGAAATATTATACGCTGAATCGGAAAATGTCGTCAAAAGTTATAAAAGTAGAACAGTTTTTGAAATATAATCAATTTTACATATAATATGGAATTGACCATATCTCAAAAAACTGCTTAACTTTCATAATTTTTGACGGTCTTCGGATTCAGGGGACAATTTTACATAAGAATTGGCTGGTAAATGTCCAGGATATAAATAGAGTATGATATTGGACATAATATTATGTCCAATAATAGAAATCTACATTTTTACTAACCATTAATTGGACACTGGCCATTTTACTGTTTGTTTTCAAAATTAAAATTAAAACACATTAAAGTGACAATGTTTAAACCATGAGGAACACATTTATACCACACACTGATCTGTACACTTTTTAGAAATATTTTTATTTTAATTTAAACACAGCCCTGCTCTTAACAAAAAAAACAAAAATCTTACCACCAAAGTAACGTGCGAACTTTTTTGTCCTATATTGGACCCAAAATAAAGTAGTTCTATATTATTACAGACTGAGATAGTTATAATTGTATACAGCGTCATCTAATGATTTGACTTTAAGGTAACTATTTATGGAACTCTTGTTTATACAGTATTAATGTTAATTGTCCAATTACTATAAAGTGTCTGATAACTGTCTACTTTACCCTACTTTTGTAGTAATAATTTTTCGAATTTTGGCTAAATTTTATTTTTTACTTGTTTGTAATTTTTTTTAAGTAGAAGCATTATAAATATTATTTATAAATATAAATATAATTATAAATTCTTAGCTTTTGAATGAAAATATTAATTTTTTATATTAAGTAGCGGTAAATCTTCAAAAATTCAATACCTACATATATATTCAAAAATTCGTAGACTTATGTAATAGAAAACATAAATTACAGATGAAAGAAAACGCGGTTGCCACTTTAGCAGAAATAAACCCGGACATAATTTTACCACGCATAGTATCCAAAGTGACCACCGATTTGGATAACTCAGCTTTCCGTCAAATCTCCAAGGACGATTACTTCACCTTTTTGACGCCAGAGGGCGAGTTATACGATAAAAGCGTTGTCCCTGGGTAAATAAATATACACTTCTTCAAACTCCAGAAAAATACTTTAAAAAAAATTTCAGGGACGATTCCAACGCCGCAAATAACTTGAAAAGGGAAAGCAAAGCTTACAGTTACAAGGAGCAATTGGAGGAGCTGCAGTTAAGAAGGGAGTTGGAGGAGAAAAGGAAGAAGGAGGGAAAAGTAAAGCCACCACAGTTTACTCCCAAACAATTGGAAGCAATTAAAAACCAGAAAGTGAAGGAGCAAGGAATCAGAGATAGATTAACACAGGTACAAGTTTTTATCTATTTTGCGTTCATAACGACTTCATTATAACACCGCTTTCGATGCTGTAATGAGATACTTTATCCCACCCAAAATTTTGATTTTATGGGTTGGCTATACATAATATTTTGCATATTGGTTACAATATTTTTATGATTTTTCTAGTACTTACAAGACTTTTCTGGCAATAAATTTTGTTTAACACCAAAGAAAATCCTTTTTTTCTTCTTTAAAATTAACAGCCGCTTATTGGCAAATCGATTTTGACATTAACTGTCAAACCAATGACTGTGATACCAACTATCTAAAGTAAAATTCGACCAAATTAAATTTATAAATGTATAAAATTAATTTTTTTATAGAATTTTTTGCAAAATAAATAAAATAGCATAAAGAACTCATGTCATTAGACCTTTTGTCGCACTCGTCCATTATACAGACTGTATAGAATCAAGTAAGTAAGGCTGGAGACAAGGATGACAAATTATATTCTGATCAAAGAAAAAGAAACAGACTTTAATTGGGCGTGGTTTAAACCAAGCCATTCGTAATTACGAACCATAGTTGCCATGTTGTTTTAAATCAGAAGAGAACGATTATAATTATTTAATAAATAGTTCAATTTTATTTGTTTGAAACTTTAAAAATAACAAAAAAATTAATAATATGTCAAAAATAATTTGATTTAGTTAATTTTCTTACTTTTAATATTAAAAAATAAGAAAAACAACCCTTGTAGGAAACAATAATAGCATATGGCAACAGCACGGCATGCAGCCAGATGCAAGGGCATGCATTTTGATCTACTATGTTTGTTCAGTAGTTCGAATATTGTACATTATCCTCTAGATTGTAGCTACACTGGGTAAAGGCCTATTTTGAAACATATTTTGAAATAAAGTTTGTATTTGGCGATACGATCTACCAGTGTGATGCCATACCATAATTTGGTATTTTTCCTCACGGGTAAAAACCATTTTATTTGAGAAAATACTTTTTTATTTTTACAAAGACGTACGCAAAGTCTCAGTGTACTTCTTAAACTGACGCACAGATCATACGACAATGATACGGCAAGCAAACAAATTCAATCCCTACCACGGTCGGCGGGGTTTGGCACTTGTTTTATTTAAGTGTATCTATTCGTTTTAATACACACTGTATATATAAATTGTCCGCATGCGACAAAATGACGTCTTATGACATTAGTTCTTTAATATACTATTCTTAGTTTCACCTTTTAGTATAACAAACTTTTCTCTCACAGCTAAACACCATTTTGATGAACTGCGTCTCCTTAGTGAGAGCAGCCGCCAAAGGAAACCCAACGCGACTTTCCTTGCACTTTAAAGAGTTATTGCCGTCAATTTTAGTGAACTTACAGTCCCCTCTGGCGGCACCATCGTTAACTAAACTCTTCGCCGACTTAAGACACACAGTATTTCCCACGGAAGTGGATCCGTTGGCGGAGTTAATAAGTTTTGTCACGTTGCGACTGTACAAGCCACAATGTGACTTGGACGTAAACTGGGAAGAGGAGAATTTAAATAAAGCCATGATGAGAACTTTGAAGTTGATACAGGAGAAAACGGTACCGAAAAAACTCGATGAAGTGAGCGACGCTGAGTGTTTTACCGTGCCAGCTTTTACTTACAGCTTTCCGATGATAAAAAGCAGTCTATTATCCAACTACGCGAGAAATCACGACGACGTTATACACGACGGCTTGCAGATTATAAACGAGCACGCCAAGTTGAGGGGTACTGATAACGGCAACAAGGACGTGAGGCATCCGCAATACCTACCAACAGAACAGATGTTTACGTTGTTGGTCGACATTATCAACTCTACGAGTGGTAGAGCGCAGTCGCAGTGCGAAGCCTGTCTGCTAGAGGTCGCTTCATGCGTCAGCGGAAACGAGGGTTGCGCTAAAGTGACCATAAAAGAAATCGACGTCCTTTTAACGGCTCTGCAAAGTCCTTCAGCGGTGGTTCGCGATGCCGCCTTGAGATGTCTCGTGATCGTATCTTCGGCATTGCCAACGTACGAAACCGACTACCAGTACGCTCTGAAAGTCAACAAGAGGATCTGGATAGCCAAATTCGATGAGAATGAAGAAAACCGACAGCTGGCCGAGAAACTGTGGAACGAGGCAGAGTTGACTTTCTCTCCGACATTAAGCGGGGAATTGTTAAGCGACATTGAACACCCCGTCGAATGCGTGCAATCGGCTGCATCGCAAGCCTTGGCGAATCTGTTGGAGTCGGATCTGGATCAAGTGGAGGCCACGCTTAAGAAGTTGCTGGAGTTGTACAATAGCAGACTTAAGGTAATTTTTTAACTCTTTTTTTCACTCTTTTTTTAATTCTTTTTGCAACTTTTTTTACTCTATTTGCAACTTTTTTTACTCTATTTTTAAATTCTTTTTTACTATTTTTTGTAACTTTTGTAACTATTTTTAAACTCTTTCTTGTACCTTTTTTAGCTCTTTTTTGTAAGTCTTTTTAACTCCTTTTTAACTCATTTTTTCACTCTTTTTTTCATTCTTTTTGCAACTTTTTTTACTCTATTTGCAACTTTTTTTACTCTATTTTTAAACTCTTTTTTACTCTTTTTTGGAACTCTTTTTTACTCTTTTTTGTAAGTCTTTTTAACTCCTTTTTTAATTATTTTTAACTCTTTTTTAAATTCTTTTTAACTCTTTTTTAATTCTTTTTTTACACTTTTTTTTAACTTTTTTTAACTCTTGACTCATTTTTAACCTTTTTTTTCTCTTTTAATTTTTTTAAACTCTTCTTTAACTATTTTTAACTCTTTAACTATTTTTAACTCTTTTAAGCTCTTTATTAACTATTTTTAACTTCTTTTTAATTCCTTTTTTACTATTTTTTACAACTTTTTTAACTCTTTTTTAACTCCTTTTTAACTCTTTTTGCAACTTTTTTTAACTCCTTTATACATTTGTTTAAACTCTTTTTTTAACTCCATTTTTTACTCTTTTTGCAGTTTTTTGTAACTCTTTTTTACTCTTTTTTTCATAACTCCTTTATACTCCTTTTTTAACTCTTTTTGCAACTTTTTTAACTATTTTTTTAAGTCTTTTTTAACTTCTTTTTATAACTCTTTTTTAACTTTCGTTTAAACTCCTTTTTAATTCTTTTAACTTTTTGCAACTTTTTTAACTCTTTTTTTAAACTATTTTCTACTCCTTTTTAACTCTTTTTGAAACTTTTTTAACTATTTGTTAGTCTTCAGTCTTGTTTAAACTCCTTTTTAATTCTTTTAACTTTTTGCAACTTTTTTAACTCTTTTTATAACTCTTTTTTTAACTTTTGTTTAAACTCCTTTTTAATTCTTTTAACTTTTTGCAACTTTTTTACTCCTTTTTTAACTCTTTTTGCAACTTTTTTAACTCCTTTTTTAACTCTTTTTTATCTTTGTTTAAACTCTTTTTTTTAGCTCTTTCTTTAACTCTTTTTGATAATTTCCTCCGCTAATCATTCTTGCAGATGATTCCGGCCAGGATGGACGAATTCGGTCGCGAAGTGGAAAAAGCTATCGACACGTGGTTCCCGCGCAGAGGTGTGGCCCTGTCTTTGGCACAGTTGGCACCATTGGTCACGCCGGACCTGATCGGCGATCTGGTGCAATTTTTCGTGTTCACCTCGCTGGGCGATCGAAACGAAACGGTGAGAAAAGAGATGTTGAATGCCGCGTTGAGAATTGTCGATCTGCACGGAAAGGTAAGTGTTTTTTTTATATAAAAAATATATTAAAAATAAAAAAATGAGTAATGTAAAGTGAGTACATTACTCATTAACTTAAAAAATTGTAGTTGAAAATTTCAAAATACTCATTACAAATTAAAAATAAGTAATGTTAAAAAGAATGCATTACTCATTGGAAAAAATATAATAAGTAATTAACTTAATTTTCATTAAAAAAGAAGTAATGCATAATGAAAATTAAACACATTACTCAATATTTTAATAATGTGTATTGAAACCTTAATGCATTATTTTAAAGTGCGTTATAAATGTTTTTTCTTAGGACACTGTAGGTACTCTTTGGCCAGTGTTTGACGATTTCATGGGTAAATCATCAAAATCGGCGCACTATGACGCTGTCAAACAAGCTGTTGTGATTTTGATGGGATCATTGGCCCGCCATTTAGACAAAGACGACGTTAGAATCAAACCGATTGTCATGAGACTCATACAGGCTCTATCTACGCCATCTCAAACAGTGCAGGAATCCGTTGCCAACTGCTTACCCCCTCTGGTGTCTGCGGTCAAAGAAGAGTCCTCGGGTTTGGTCAACAAGTTGCTGCATCAGTTATTAAAGGGCGACAAATACGGCGAACGGAAAGGTGCCGCTTACGGCTTGGCCGGTCTCGTCAAAGGCATGGGTATTTTGGCGCTAAAACAAAACGACATTATGACGAAGTTAACCGAGGCTATACAAGACAAAAAGAACTACAAGCACCGCGAGGGCGCTTTATTCGCCTTCGAGATGCTCTTCCAGATGCTGGGCAAACTTTTCGAGCCCTACATCGTCCACGTCCTACCTCATTTGCTTCAATGTTTCGGCGACAGTAGTCAGCACGTGAGAACCGCTGCAGACGATACGGCCAAAGTCGTGATGAGCAAATTGTCGGGTCACGGTGTGAAACTAGTGCTGCCATCTCTGTTGGAAGCTCTAAATGGGGATTCGTGGAGGACCAAGACCGGTTCCGTGGAGTTATTGGGCGCCATGGCGTATTGTGCGCCAAAACAACTGTCTTCTTGTTTGCCCAGCATTGTGCCGAAATTAATTGAGGTTTTGAGCGACTCCCATATGAAAGTCCAAGAAGCTGGAGCTGCAGCTCTTAAGGTTATTGGAAGTGTCATCAGGAACCCCGAGATTCAAGGTAAATATTCGAAAATTAAAATGTTTGGATATTTGATTGTTTGATTTTTAAGTATAAGCTTGGGTATGATCCAAACAAAATTTGATTTTATTTTTAGTTTTCGAGATATCGTAGAATTCTTAAGACGGGAATTTGTAATTTTTAATTTTATTTCAGGCATTATTAAGGAAATTTAAATCTGCAAAATAATTTTTGCCAGCTTTAAAAACTAGCCAGATACGAAAAAACAGATACAGTTGTAAAAAGTTGTTTATCTATTTCTTAAATATTTTTTTAGCTTTTATTAGATAATAGTTTGAAGATAGGTAGTTTAGTACTTTCATGATGTTTTAACAGAAATTCACAAAGTTAAATTTTTTTAAACTCAAAATAATTTATAGTCAAAAAATATTTAAAATATAAAATACAACTGTAAAACTTTAAAAATATTGATTTTCAAAAATTTTAGTTAAAATATTTTATTCAAAATTATCGGTTTAAATTTGTAAAAAGTCATGCATTTAAATGATAGTCAATAAATTTTTAATACAAAAGTGGTAATTTTTGGATTAAAAATCATTTAAATAAATCCTTTTATTTTGAAAAATTTTAAATGGATGCATTTTTAACACTAAACTTGTAACTTTACATTTAAATGTAAGTCTTTCCAGAGTGGTCAATTTTAAGCATAGTCCATAGAGGTTATTAATCTATGTTCCATAGTCAGTGAAACGTACAAAGCGCGAAGTCTGCAGATATGCAGTCAGCTAAAGCAGCGTTCACACTTTGTAAATTAAAAATTAAGATTTAAATGTAATGTGAATATGTTTATTGGTTTAAATTTGTAAAGAGTCATTTAAATAAATTTTTAATCCAAAAATTACCACTTTAAAATTTAAAACTAACACTTAAATGTAATGTGAGAATTTTTGTATTAAACATTTATTGACTATCATTTAAATGATTCTTTACAAATTTAAACCAATAATTTTGTAGAATAAAATGTTTGAACTAAAATTCTTAAAAATCAATATTTTTAGGCTTAAAGTTTTACATTACAAAAATATTTTACGATTATCAATTGTAATGAGTTTAAAAAAATTTTACTTTTTGGTAGAAAATGTTTTATATGTGTCTTTATTTTAAATATCTTGACACTATTTTAAAATACTAAAAACTTAACTTTTATCAAATATTTATCCAAGAATTACAAAAGTCTGCCCAAATCAATTATACTAGGAATTATTTTTATTAGAAAGTTAGAAATATTTGCAAAAATTTATTTGAAATAATATTGTTAAAGACAAAAGTAAGCTGTTAGTTAGTAAATTCTTCCTTCAATACATGATACTTTTAGTTGGGAAAATTTTAAAGCAATAAAATTTTAAATTAAAAAATTATTTAATAAATTTTAAAACGGGGTGCTATACGTAAATGGGTCGTTTTCAAAAAACACCCGCCTTCCGCTGTCCGTAAGTTTGAATTCCAATAACTTTGTTAAAAATTATCGGATCTTATTGATTTAAAAACCAAGTGGAAGTCTAACAAGCCCTTAGTAAACTCTTTCAGAAAATTTTTGTTTAGTTATTTCAGAATAATTTTTTTTTAATTTTGAAACTTGTGAAACACACATTTTCGCATGTCCCATTAGCGTTTTATAAAACTTACATACATGTTTTTTTTTAATATTGAATAACCAAAACTTTGTGTTGCTTTATAGCAATCCATAACATCCTTAGTTAATACAGTAAACAATTTATATACCTATAAAATAAATAATTTTAATCTACTTTTTTTAAATTTTACTCATGTCCCCGACATTTTTTCCGTTGCGTTACGTCCGTCGCGTTACCGATAGAATATTAAAAAAACATATATATATAGCAACTTTTTTGGTACTCACGTGATCAACAAATGATGTTCGGACGTACACATTACCCAGCTGAATTTATTTATTCAATCAGGAAGAAGATATCGGTTAAAACAGGTGCGGGTAACGCGAATGTAATAATTGTTTGTCCGTTACTTAAAAAAATAATAAAAATAAGGTAAGAATAAATACTATTTTTCATGTTTATGTTTATTTTAGGGCACTAAAGCTCATTGAGAGTAATTAATGACTATAATGTTTTATTATTATTTTTTAAATATGGTTTTACAAAACTTTGTCCACTGCGTTACTGAGTCCACTATGTTACCTTATGGTAACGCAATGGAATTTAGGGTAACGCAATAGAATTTTTTCGACAACAAAGTGGATATTTACCGTCGCTTTTATTAAAAGTAGTTTATGATTAACCAATTTAAAATTATTTGTAATTACAACTCATGATATAGATTACATCCAAGAGAAAATTCCACGCAATATACAAGTACTAAAATGGACCTTCACCAGCTTATAGTCAAAGAAAAAGGGTGTCTACAATTTAGAAATCTAAGTTGTTATTCTGCAAGTGAGCACCACTACAAGGGATTTTGTTTATGCATTACTCTAAAATCGTACCACCCTATAGTTTCTTTTTTACGTTATCTGATTAAGTCCTTTGTGTACCCCTGTCCGTTGTGATACCAATGTCTATTTCGTTACTTTTTTTAGTTTTTGTTAAAAAAATACTTAAAATGATTTTTATACACTATCACTTGGTAATACGTGTTTATAAATTAGAGTTTGTTTTTTAACAAAGAATCGGAATGGTTTCTTTTAAAAAGTAACTTAACGAACATACATTTTTGTTTGTGAACTAAGTACATTTTATTTCAAATTATTTTTATAACAACTTTTTTATTGAATTAAATTTTGGATTTCAAATTGGTAACACAGTGGAGACATATAAAGCTAGCTAAACGCATTTTTCTGAAAAAAAAAAACGTAAAAAAATTAAAAACTGCACTGCCTGTCTTAAATGTAAGTAAACAAAACTCTAAACATTTATAAAAATCCAACCAAAAGTCAATTTAAGCAAAAAAGTATAGTATTCGAATAATTTGAGTATTCCAATTCATATTCGAATTTCTAAAATTGAAAACATTCCCAGGCCTAGTAAATATTCAAAAGGAATATAACAAGTTAAACTCAAGAAAACCTTTTATAAAACTTATCTCAACAGGTTTTATATTGTTCTAACAAAGTAATTCTCTTGTAGCAATTGTCCCAACTCTTTTGAAAGCCCTTCAAGACCCATCGAACAAAACCAGCGTTTGCTTGCAAACCCTCCTGGACACCCAGTTCGTGCACTTCATCGACGCCCCATCTCTGGCTCTCATAATGCCGGTAGTGCAGAGAGCTTTCCTCGACCGTAGCACGGAAACGCGCAAAATGGCCGCCCAAATCATCGGCAACATGTACTCGCTAACCGACCAAAAAGACTTGATGCCGTACCTTCCGACCATCATCCCCGGACTCAAGACTTCTCTGCTCGACCCGGTACCGGAAGTACGAAGCGTCAGCGCTAGAGCTCTGGGTGCCATGGTCAGAGGCATGGGAGAGTCCAGTTTCGAGGACTTGCTGCCGTGGTTGATGCAGACTCTGACGTCCGAGTCCAGTTCTGTCGACAGATCAGGGGGCTGCGCAAGGTAAGAAGTTTCATATTTGTTAAATTATACTCTAAAGAAGTATCGCTAGTAGCGCCACCACCGGAAATCCTGGGTTGGGTTTTTACCGGTTTTCCAATAAACAGAGTTAATCTGAATGAAGAAATAAATTTCATACAGTCCCTGTAAATATAAATTGTACCTATTAGATACAATAAATACACATTTTAGTAGTGATTAACGTGAAAAGTGTAAACATTTCAATTCAGTAAAAATCGTCAAACAAATAAGTCGTCTAAATTTAAACAGCATTTACCATTATTAAAAGCGTTGATTAAGAAAGTCTCCACTCAACGGTAAAATACCATTGTATTATGTATTATATATGAATCGTCTAATTTCAAAAGCGGCCATCTCCTTTGAAGAATATTTTAAGTAAACGTCAAAAAAACATTCTAAACAGTAATAAGTAAAAAATAAATATATTTTGAAAAACTTGTTCATATGGTAACTGAAAATATTTTTTCTACAAAATAAGTAACCAGATTTAAGTTTTAATTAAAAAACATATATTTCAAAAGGGAAATGGGCATTTTAAGTACATTTTTGTACTTTAAACATCAATGGAGATAGCCGTTATTAAAACTAACATAAAACTTTAATGAATTATTCTGCCGTGTTAAGCTTAAAGTTCGTATCTGCAATATTTTGTAGTAAAGGACAGAAGAAAATTTTAATTTTAAAAAACGATAAAAAATGGCTTTTTTTGCTTAACTACTAAATATTGCAGATATGAAGTTTTGTCTTCAAACGGCAGTTTGTGGTAGTAAAGAAAAAACTTTATTCTTTATTGTTTTTAAAAATTAAAATTTTCTTCTGTCCTTTACTACAAAATATTGTAGATACGACCTCTATCCTTAACAGGGCAGTATTTTCCTTGCGAATAGCCGTTTTTGTTGGGATATAATTTTGCACTAATATATATTATATAATACGTAATATTTTGATTTTATTAGTGTAAATAACTCATTTAAAAAAAAATGGCCGCTTTTGAAATTAGACGATTCATATATTATGTTGCCATGAATTCGTAGATATATTTTGTTGTTTAAAATGCAGTTGTCGGCGTTTTTTAGAGAACTCAAATATAAAAAGGATTGATTTTAAGGTTATGTTTGTGCAAAAATTATTGTTTACTAATTTCTTAAAAATGTCCAAACTTAAATATAAATTATATTAGGTAAAGTTATCATTACTTAATTCTGCACTAACAAATGTACTTTTCGAATTGGATCCTTTGGCAAAACATGAAAATGCAACGATTTAGTTCTTGAATTTTATTTACAATTAAAAACACAATAATTCACCATGATCCCTTAGATAAAATACACACACTAACGTAACTATATAAGCATTTAAGCGTTGAGTTTCTTAATCAATGATATAACGAATAATCAGTCGAAATCGAGTTTTTTAATTTTTTCCTTGCAACTTAAAACACAAATAGACTTCTGCCTTCCTTTCTTTTGTAAAAAAAAGCTACCTATTTATTTAAAAATTATACATAATCGGTGCTTTAAATTTATTGTTGACAATTCTTAAATTCACGCAATGCACCAGATGATACTTCTTTAGCGTATAGTAAAATAACATTTTTTAGGTTTGTCCGAGGTTGTCGGTGGTCTGGGCGTGGAAAAACTGCACAAACTCATGCCCGACATTATAAGCACAGCTGAGAGAACCGATATAGCGCCGCACGTGAAAGACGGCTACATAATGATGTTCATATACATGCCTGTGGTGTTCACGAGCGATTTCACACCGTACATAGGCCAAATCATAACACCAATACTAAAAGCATTGGCCGACGAGAACGAGTACGTAAGAGACACAGCCTTGAAGGCCGGCCAAAGGATTGTCACTTTGTACGCTGACTCGGCGATATTGCTGCTGTTACCCGAGCTGGAAAAGGGTTTGTTCGACGATAACTGGAGGATCAGATACAGTTCCGTGCAGTTATTGGGTGATTTGCTGTACAGAATTTCCGGGGTAACCGGTAAAATGAGTACCGAGACGGCCAGCGAAGACGACAACTTCGGTACGGAGCAATCTCACCAGGCCATCATTAGATCTCTCGGTGCTGAAAGGCGTAATAGGGTTTTGGCTGGGTTGTATATGGGCAGGTCTGATGTGGCTTTGATGGTTAGGCAAGCCGCGTTGCACGTGTGGAAGGTCGTAGTGACAAACACACCGAGGACTTTGCGGGAGATTCTGCCGACGTTGTTCGGATTATTGCTCGGTTGCCTCGCAAGTGAGAGTTACGATAAGAGGCAGGTTGCCGCACGCACTCTGGGGGATTTGGTGCGTAAGCTGGGTGAAAGAGTGCTGCCGGAGATAATCCCCATACTGGAGAGAGGCCTGCAGAGCGATAGAGCCGATCAGAGACAAGGTGTGTGCATTGGGCTGTCGGAGATAATGACTTCTACATCCAGAGATATGGTGCTCACTTTTGTGAACTCTTTGGTGCCCACTGTGAGGAAAGCTCTGTGCGATCCGCTACCGGAAGTGCGTAAAGCCGCCGCCAAGACATTCGACAGTTTGCACTCCACTGTAGGTGCTAGAGCTCTAGACGACATACTTCCGTCTCTCCTCAATCAACTGAACGATGAAGATGCCGCAGTTGTTGAGTGCACTTTGGACGGCTTAAGACAAGTCATGGCGATTAAGTCGCGAGTTGTTTTGCCGTATTTGGTGCCTCAACTGACTGCACCACCTGCAAACACCAAAGCCCTATCGATTTTGGCTTCGGTAGCTGGTGAGGCGCTCAATAAGTACCTCCCGAAGATTCTACCGGCGCTGCAGGCTAGTCTAGCTTCGTCCAGGGGAACCCCTGAAGAAACTGAACAGCTTGACTACTGCCAAGCCGTGGTGCTTTCGGTGATGGACGAGGCCGGCGTTCGTACCGTTATCGATACGATGCTGGAAAACACGCGCGTGGAGAACGATGACCAACGCAGGGCCGCCGCCACTTTGCTGTGCGGTTTTTGCGCCAACTCGAAGGCCCAGTACCTCGACCACATACCGCAGCTGTTGAGGGGCTTGATTTACCTTTGCACCGACAAAGACACCGATGTGTTGAAGATGAGTTGGGAGGCACTGACAGCTATAGTGAAGGTATGTTTTTTTTCATGTTTTTTTATATTATAGCAAAAGTCATGATTTTCACTAAAGAGTCTTGATTTTTGTTACAAATAATATTTTTACTACTCATTTATGAAAATAAAGGAACTTAAAAACTGGATCTAATAAAGAAAACGAAATTGCAGTCAATTGAAACCTAAATCAAAAAAATTTAAGATTTAGCAGACTGTTGTTTTATGCTGTGTTTTTTTGTTTTCATTAGAATTTTATTTTGAGAGTCAATTTTGTTGGTCAAAGAAAAAAATTAAATTGTTGGTGGGGACCCTGTATAGGTTTTTTCAAGATTAGTATCATTTGCCTAATTTTTATGTTTCCAGTCCAGTTCAGGGACTTAAATTTAGCTACTAGACATTTAGTCTTAAAAAAACAACTACCTATAATAGACTTCAAGAAGTTATACATTGTTATTGGTTTTTATGGCACACTGTTTTAAAATTTATTAAATAATTTTTTAAGTTAAAATTTTATTGGTTAAAAAAAATTTTAGGTTTACATTTATGACTTTTAAATATTTTTAACACTGTATTAAACAATATCAATTTTTGCAAAATTATCATTTTTTAATAAAAATAATTTCTTAGTATTATAATTTTATAAATCTTAAATAAATATTCTATAAAATTATTTAGATTAAATTTTTAAAGTTATTTTTTTAGTATTTAAAGACATTTAAAATAAAATACTTATAAAACATTTTTTACCAAAATAGTTTAAAAAGTTAAATTTTTAAAATTAAAACAATTGAGAATCAAAAAATATTTTAAATATAAAATGCAAATGCAAAATGTAAATGTAATATTGGTTTTTAGAAATTTTAGTTTTAATATTTTATTCTACAAAATTATTGGTTTAAATTTGTAAAGAGTCATTTAAATGAAAGTCAACAAATTTTTAATACAAAAATTCTCGCATTACATTTAAATGTTAGTTTTAAATTTTTAAAGTGGTAATTTTTAGATTAAAAATCATTTAAATGACTTTTTACAAATTTAAACCAATAAATTTAATTTTTAACAAATTTAAATTGATACATTTTAAACCCAAACATATTCACATTACATTTAAATGTAAGTCCACAATCCACACAACAAGGCCTCGTACTAAAAATACAAAAAATCACTGCGGCCATTTTTGTTGTTTACAATTTTTGTGCTCTGTTTATACAGATTAATAATCGTTTTAAACGTTGTGTTTCTCATAGTAAGCCTTAAAAGAGCCCTTAAAGTGCTGAGAACAACCATTTTACTCCTCTATTGTAAAAAATAAACTTTATTCTATCAGGGCTGTCATAAAACTGTCAAATGTCAATTTTAAGGTTAAATCGTCACCCACACCTGGGAATCCCTGGACATTTTAGAGGGGGAATACCATAGGAATACAATAAAATATAATGGGAATACATGGGAATCCCTGGACGTTTTCCCTTTGGTTGACCCCTCGGGTTAAATTAACCCACAAATTAACCTTCAAATTGTCATTTGACAGCTCTGATAGAATAAGGTATATTTATTATAAAAGAGGAGTAAAATGGTTGTCCTTAGCACTTAAAGGCCTTACAAGTGCCTCTGTAAGAAACACAACGTTTAAAACAATTATTAAACAGCACAAACCCAAAGCACAAGAATTGTAAACAACAAAAATGGCCGCCGTTAAACTCTGTGCAGTGTTACAGTCATTTTTAGTATTTTTAGCATGAGATAGAACAGACCTTGTTGTGTGGATTGTGATATATTCTAAATTTGACTTTATTATACATTTTGCTCAAAATTTCATTTTTTTTCAAATATAAAAAAGCATTTTTGTACTTTTCGTATTATTCCTAGGGCTTGGAACCAAAACAACAATCCACTTACGTCTCAGACGTGCGCCAAGCGGTGCGTTACGCCGTATCGGACATCAAAGACGGCGGCGCGCTGTTGCCAGGTTTCTGCCTTCCGAAAGGCATCACCCCGGTGTTGCCGATATTCCGCGAGGCTCTACTCAACGGCGACGGCGACGAGAAGGAAGCGGCCGCGTTGGGATTGGGCGAGATAATCAAGGTGACCAGCGCGTCGGCGCTGCAAACGAGCGTTGTTGCCATTACCGGCCCCCTCATCCGTATTCTGGGCGACAGGTTCAGCGCGAACGTCAAGACTGCCGTATTAGACACTTTGGCTATTTTATTGGCTAAAGTTGGCATCATGTGCAAGCAGTTCTTGCCGCAGTTGCAAACTACGTTTATTAAAGCGCTAAACGACCCTAACCGCGTGGTGCGCCTCAAATCTGGGGCCGCCTTGAGTCACTTGATTGTCATCCACCAGAGGGCAGATCCGCTGTTCACCGAGTTGCATAACACCGTGAAAAACAGCGAGGATATCGCTATTAAGTAAGCTTACCAAAACCGTTAAATGGGGTACATTTCTGTGAAATCAGAATTTCAATTGAGTTTACCGTTTTCGAGATATTTACAAAAAATATAAATTTTTATAACGTCACAAACCTCGCCATGTGACCAACATTCTAAGATTTCTATTGGTTGAAAATTACCCTGTTGTCAAGTTGTCTTGTTAATGATTTCATTCGGTTATGTCAGAAAATACCCGAAGAGGTTATGTACAAATACTGTCACTGTCAGTTGAGTGAAAGATGGTCACCAAATCTTCCTTATTACGAGGTATCATATTACTGTTTGATATTTTAGAGTCCAAGATATATCTAAAAGAATATAAAGAACTAGGCATTCTACTAATGAAATGCATTTACGACAAAATATGATTATAATTATAGGTACTTACTTTATTTGTTTAAAAGCTCCAATGTTCAATGTAACCAACCATTCCACAAGATTCCTCTGCTTTGGAGTCCGTTATTAATAAATCACTTATCTAATATCAATTACAAATAACATAACAATAACATTGATTTTCAATAATCTAAATTTAAAAAAAACATAACCCGAAAAAAAGAAACGTCAAAAAATCAATTCTTCTTCTTCTTCTCAACTAAAATTATAGATCAAGTGGTTTTAAAACTAAAATATTATAACGTGGCGCCATCTATCGTAAGAATCTTAAACTAAACACACTGGCAACGTTGTCAATAGCCTAGTGACCTAATTAGGAGATTTTTTTTTGTAAATATCTCGAAAACGGTAAACTGAATTGAAATTCCGATTTCACAGAAATGTTTAAAATTACAAAACGCCTTGAATAAAACCATAAAAAGTATAGGTCAGAAAAAATTTAACTACCCCATTTAAACGTTTCACGTTTAAATTGTGTTTTAGGGAGACTACTTTACATGCTTTGAGAGGCATCATAACTCCAGCAGGCGATAAGATGTCCGAACCTGTTAAAAAACAAATATACACCACTCTGTTGACATTCTTAAACCACAGTGAAGATAATGTGAGAAAATGCGCTGCCGGTTGCCTGGGAGCCATATGCAAATACTTACCACCTGATCAGTTAGATCCAACGTTCTCAGAACATATCCTAAGTAAGTTATTAGATAATAGTTTAAAGATTTTGCACTTTATTGATGTTTTATAACAGAAATTTGCAAAGTAAATTGTTTTTAACTCAATAATAGTCAAAAAAAAATTTAAATGTAAAATACAACTGTAAAACTTTAAGCTTAAAAATATTGATTTTTAAAAATTTTAATTCAAATATTTTATGCTACAAAATTTTTGGTTTAAATTTGTAAAGAGTCATTTATTTAAACCAAAAATTACCATTTTAAAATTTATATAAATTTGAATAAAAAAAAAAATTAAAAGTTATAACGTTTTAATTTTACATTGGTAAAATTAGGACAAACAAAATCATATAGGCATTTAACAACGATCGCCTCCGATTTCCACGTTGATATCTACATGAGGTTGTTCAGTAAACTTTACTTTATGAGTACACAAAAAATTAGCTGCATATACGCACATATGGAAAAGTTATGAATTTTTATTTATCTCGCTGCATGGCTAAATCGCGAGCGCTCCTACCTAAACTAAAGCATTGTCTACGCACTCAAAATTTTCGTACCCACAGATCAATGCTCATAAATTTTAGTTGAATTTATTAATTATTATAAATATTTCAAAATATTACATACAGTTCATTTTTTTTATCTGGACTCGTGTTTTTTTGTTAGGTTGGTGGCTTATGCCAGTTTGACGTAGTATTTTTAGTATTTAAAAATGGTAATTCTGCTAAAGAATTTAATTAAATACTTTGACACTGTCAAATTGACAATAATATTTATTATTGATAATTTACTTGTCAATTATAAATAAAAAGATAATTATGCCAAAAATAATAGCAACGAATTCGAATGTAAAAGCCCTTTTGAGGGCAAAACTTTATTTTGATGAAATTATGCCAAATGCCACAACGGAAGAAAAAGTACATCGCCTTATGGACATTTTTGGAGTAAAAAAGTAACGAATTTGGTTTTATAAATATTACATCACACATTATTTTCACATTATTCACCATTGGACAACATTTACGTTCACAAAAAATTTTAATTTCTTATATAAATTCTTTGCAAAGCGAAGATTATTATCCGCTAGGAATACTTTCTCTTCTGGGCCGTAAAGCAACCTATATTTAACTATTTTTTATATGATTTTACTCATCCAAGTACCACCAAAGCCAAATTAATTGCATTTTTAACTACGAATTTCGACAACTCAACTTGACAACTGCACAATGTAACCTACAATAATTTATACATAACCACAATTAGATTTATAACTAGCTTAGTTTGTTTTAATCAATGCGACCAACTTGACAACTATTTAGCAACCAAAATTCTAAATTTGCAAAGTTGCCGCAGTCCAGATAAAAAAAATGAACTTTAGTATACTTATCCTATGGGATTAACAATTATTTACCTATTTATAGCAAGTCATTAGGTAGATATTAATTTGCTCCTCTTAAAGGAAAAATATTTTGTAAATTAATTATTAATCCCGTTGTTTTGCATCTTAAAACGTAAACACTATTAGGTAAAACATTACTTTCTGAGGAAGCTCAAGAATCTAGAAATAAGGATTTTAAAAATTTCGATATGTTTTCGAGAAAAACAAATCGAAAATCAACAAACAAGGATATATTTCATCGTTTTTTAAAATCGTCTGACCCCCTAATAACGTTACTTAGGAGAAATACACAATTTGTAAAATATGAGCTTGATGAAGAAGTTAGGGAATTATTAATGGAATAAATGTTAAAATTCAAATTATGTTTATTTATTTCTTAAAGTGTTAAAGATAGTTAAAAAAATGTATTTATTTACAATAAAAAAGTTATTGAATTATTTTCGCAATCGTTTCACCGCGAACATCTAAAAAGGGCAATTAAAAAATAAAGATTTTATTTTTTTTATTAAAATATGGTTAATTATACCTATTAAGTCTTATTTAACACAGTAAAAATTATTGGGTTATTTCTGCAATTGACGCTCTATGAACATCTAAAAATGAATTTAAAAATTAATAACCTTTGTTTTTTTTATTGAAATATAGTTAAATATACGTAATAATCCTTATATAATATAGTAAGAAAGAAAAAAATTGATATTTATTTTTAATAAAAAAGTTAGTGAATTATTTCTGCAAAACGCAAAACGCATTTAAAAAATAAAAACCTTTAAAATTTTCGATCAAAATATAGTTAATTATACGTAATAACTCCTATTTAACACAATAAAAAATTAATATTTATTTGTAATAAAAAAGTTATTGAATTTTTTCCGCAAAACGCTGCTTTTTGACCAGTGATGTCATAATTCCAAATATTGCCTCTACAAATAAGAATTTTTAGATGATGATGCTTCCCTGAACAACAGCCTAAGAGAAGGTAGAGGTGCCGCTTTAACCGTGGTAATCAAAGAATGTCCCGACTTGGTGTGGGACGAACAGTACCGCAAAAAACTCCTACAAACTTTACTGGGACAAATTTCATCCACAACCATAAATATCACGAAAATCGGCATAAGATCCAGCGGGTATCTCCTGCAATTCCTAATGCTGAAAAAAGAACCCCTCCCGGCCAGTTTACTCGGGCCTTTCGTCAGGGTAAGTTGGTACCTCTACGGAAGATGCAAGTTAATAAATTTTTGATTTTAGACCATGAATAACAGTAACAACGAGGTTAAGCAACTTTTGGCGAGGGTTTGCAACCATCTCGCGAAAGTTATCCCACCAGATCACATGTCACCAGATCTGTTGAAGTTACTGTTGCCAACCTTGGTTAATGGCACTAAAGAGAAGAACAGCTATGTTAAGGCTAACTCTGAGATTGCTTTGATTGCTGTTTTGAAGCTGAAAGAGGGTGATGCCATTTGTCAGGTAATATTCTTAAAATACACTCACAGGCAAAATAATCGATCCACACAAATTTTCGATGAATTTCAATCGCAAATAACTTTTTTATTTGATGTCGGATTTAAACGAATATTAAAGAATATTGTAGATACATTAATGGAGAATCGCTCACATTTTAAAAATTACTAAAAGATACACGTACGTTTATAATATACAGGTTTTAACAAAAAGATGTTTTTTACCATGAGTTTAAGACACTCTGTAGAGTGGCAAAAGCGTATATTGTTCTAAATTAAGTTTTAATTATTAAGTCACATCTATTTTTAACAGTTTTGATTTTGGTTCACCTTGATATATTTATTTTTGTGGAAAATATGGATTTTTAAAAAAAAAACATTGCAATTTCCAATATTTTCCTGTATGAAGAACTAAGGTTGCTATGGTCCATCCATAGCCTATGGAGGATGACAGTGACAGTTTTGTTGAATCATCCCATACTTTGACATGTCATATACAGCTTTCAAAAGCTATCAAATTGTTTTTTGCAAATTAATGTTTAAATTTTGAGGTGTCTTCTTACTTTTAAAAATGTCTCTGACTGATGTTGCCCTTTGTACTTTACTTCTTGTGACGTTTAAAACACTTGCCACGTAATACTGTGACTGTCCATCCTGGATTAAATTAATGGTTCTGGCAACATCAGTCGGAGACATATCCATTTTTTAAAGTAAGAAGACACCTCAAAATTTAAACATTAATTTACAAAAAACAATTTGATAGCTTTTGAAAGCCGTGTATGACATGTCCAAGTATGGGATGATTCAACAAAACTGTCACTGTCATTCTCCATAGCCTATGGATGGACCATAGCAACCTTAGTTCTTCATACAGAAAAATATTGGAAATTGCAATGTTTTTTAAAAAAATCCATATTTTCCACAAAAATAAATATATCGAGGTGAACCAAAAACAAAACTGTTAAGAATAGTCGTGACTTGATAATTAAAACTTCATTTAGAACAATATACGGTTTAGCCACTCTACAGAGTGTCTTAAACTTATGGTAAAAAACATCTTTTTGTTTAATACTGTATATTATAAACGTACGTCTATTTTTTAGTATTTTTTTAAAATGTGAGCGATTGTCCATTAATTTATCTACAATATTCTTTAATAGTCGTTTAAATCCGACATCAAATAAAAAAGTTATTTGCGATTGAAATTCATCGAAAATTTGTGTGGATCGATTATTTTGCCTGTGAGTGTATAAAACAATATAATACATACTAATTCAATTTTTTTAGAGTTATTTGAATATTTTGGACGCCGGCGCAAAAGAATCGCTTTCGGACGTAGTCAGCAAAGTCCTCAAGAAAATCCTGACCCAGTCTGAGGGTAAGGAAGAAGAATTAGATGACACGCTATTGACTTGATTATTAGGGTTACGCATTGGTATATATGCAATATTTATTTGCTGTATTCCTGCGTTATGGTTTTTATTGTTTTCGTTTATTTTTAATACGTATTCTTCTACTTTCTACTCCTGCAACTGGACCATACTTTTAAGTTGTAAACTTTATTATGATTTGGTTCTAAATGTAAAGTTAATAAACAATAAAACAACAAGAAGGTTTATAAGAGTTTTATTTATTGCAGCAACAACAAAAATGGACAAGAACATTTTTAAAAAAAATTTCTAAAAAAGGCAAAAAAAATTCAGGTCAAAATTTACACAAAAAACAGTGCGTTTTATAAAAAAAATATATTGCGTAACTCGTTATATCATAATAGTATATTATGTATCAAGTTTGATAAACGCCATTTTATACACGAATTTAATTTAGGCACGAGCGAGCTTGCGAGCGAGTGCTTAAGTTAATGAGTTTATAAACGAGGTGCATACTATACTTTTTCTACGACAAATACTTATTATTATCTTAAAATGATTTAAATCAAAAATTTGTATAGAGCGCCATCTATGAAACAACAGGGGAAACTGTCAAATGTCACATTTTTACATTTTATAAACACAATTATAAAAGTTATAAATCGAAATGTATCTTGAAAATTGACAGTTTTTCACAGTGAAAGTAAAGGAAATGTTTTATGAGGACTTTACAGTAGAGTCCGTGCTCGAATTTAAGTTATAGTTTACTGCCGGCGAAATTAAAAGGTCAGTACAATGTTCATATAAACATTTCAAATATTGGCGTTGAGAAACTATTTAATATTTTTGTATTGAGATAATAAATAAATAAAATAATTTTCACATTTAGTATTATTTTACAAGAAAGGCACTTTATTTTAACGATTGTATGACAATTGACAACTGTCAACTAACTTCAGCCCGTGACTAAAAATCTGTTGCTAACTTCAGCCCGTGACTAAAGCGCTGTAAAGCCACAACTTGTTAATGTGTGTTTAAAAGGTCACTTAGTGACATGAAAACATGTACGATAAAGGGCGTTTTAAAGGTGGGAGTAGAAAAACTATTTTTCATATTTAAAAATGTTTTAGTAGAAAATTCCCCTAACTAAAATTTTTACAATAAAAAAAATCTCGCTAGACCAATTACAATATCTACACATAAAGACAAAGATATATTCGAGAAAAACAATTTCGGTAACCTTTGACCTTAAATATGGTAAGTTGGTTTAATATTCATGGGTTGCTTATAACAATACACCCAAATCCTTTACATATTCATGTAAAATAAACATTTTCCCCACCATGCGTATTTTTCATATTTGCACAATCCTTATCAGATATTACGTGTAGATAATAGAAAGAATTAATATACAACGCATCAAATATCATCGGGTCACGTGACAAATAAACTTAAACGTGTAACCGAAAATCTTTGGTAAACCTTATCTTTGCCAAGCAGATCATTTTAGTTGGTTAGTTGTAGCGCGTCAAGTCTTGTAGACTGTAAAGTTAAAATAAAGAATCATGGGCAGATGTAAGTCGATTTTTTTTGTTTTAATGTTTTTTATATATTTTATATTTTTTAGCCAAGTTTTTGGACATTATAAGGCCTTTTGCCAGCATATTACCGGAGGTTACGAAGTCGCCGAAAAAGGTACTAATCTGAATATTAGCAATACTTTTGTTCAATATAATATTTGTAGGTCCAATTCAGAGAAAAATTGATGTGGACAGGCGTTACCCTCTTAATTTACCTCATTTTCAGCCAAGTAAGTCCAAAAAAACCCTTTAAGCCCCAAAAATAACTAACAATATTCCAGATTCCACTCTTCGGAATAATGAGCTCAGAATCTGCGGATCCCTTCTATTGGATAAGAGCCATTTTAGCCTCGAACAGGGGTACTCTGATGGAGCTGGGTATTTCCCCCATAGTCACGTCGGGGATGATAATGCAATTTTTGGCGGGTGCGAGGTTTATTGAAGTGGGGGATGATCAAAAAGACCAGGCCTTATTCAACAGCGCACAAAAGTGTAAGTTAATTAATAATTAATTTAGATAAAAGAAAGTTGCCACATGTTGTTGAATGATCCACATTTCAAATAATTAAACGAGATTAGATAACGTCGTGCATCGTGTAGATTTCGACTTTTTAAAATACCTACCATATGTTGGGATGATAATATTATTATTTAAGTTTTTGTTAAAATGTTTTACTCTTAAGGAAAAAATTTGATTTTATTTTTGTTATTTTTTTTATTATTCATTATCAATACTGACCACATGTGGTTAGGGAAAAATAGATTATTCACTTTAAACTATAATTTAATATAAATATCATAACGTTAATATATTATTAATATATTACAATAATTTTAATTATTACAATTTACTTAATTCATATATAAAATCGAGAACTATTAAAATTAAAAAAAAAATACGGCTGAAGGACTACGGTCAATAGCCTTTGAACTTGGTTTTAGTTCCATAAAGCATTATTATTATTATTATTTAAAAATATTAAAAATAATTTTTATTATTAATAAAAGAATTTATATACATTTTTAATTAATTTTTAAATGGTTACTCATAGATAAGTAATGACGTTAAAGGCGTATTCATGCTCACTTAAAATAAGAAATAAGAATAACTCTCTAAAAATGAATTAGTCAAAAATAACTAATTTGATAGTTATAAGTGGCTGCTTTTTTACTTGTACCATGGTCAACCATGGAATACCATGGTATCCAAAAATTTAACAGCCAATTCTTATATAAAATTGTCCCCTGAATCCAAAAATACCGTCAAAAATTATGAAAGTGGAGCAGTTTTTGAAATATAGTCAATTCCATATTAAATGGAAAATTGACTATCTCAAAAACTGTTTCACTTTTTTAACTTTTGCCGACATTTTCGTATTCAGGGGACAATTTTACATAATAATTAGCTGTTAAATTTTTGAATACCAAAGCAGCCACTAATAACTATTAAATTAGTCATTTTTGACTAATTCATTTTTAGAGAGAAGAAATAAGGAATATGAAATATGATCGTTCATGCTGATAACATAAGAAATAAAAATTTATTATAGTAGATTATATTGGCTATAAACGTAAACAATCGACAGCGACACTCAACGCGATTTCCAAGTTAGAAATTCCAACACCATGACCATCAAAATAACTCACAGACCCATTTTGGTCCTTTGCGCAGTTTTATACGCAAAAATAAGAACCAAAGTTAAAAGTTATTTATCTTTAGTCTTATTTTCATGAACATGAACGCAACCATTACTTTACACAGTTTTAACTTTTTATCTTATTTCTTATTTTTATTTATTATTTTAAGTGAGCATGAATGCGCCCTAAAACTTTTTCATAAAAAATAATTCTTAAGTAATTAAAAATTGTAAAAAAAAAAATTAATTTTTTGCCAATTCTTCAAAGGGTTTTCTGAAAAATGTTAAGTAGGTATAAAAATTACATTTTTACCTCAGTAGTTTTTAGATATTAAGATTTAGATTTTTTTATTATTTCCCTTCTTTAGATTTTAAACAATAGGCGAATTTTATCGTTAAAAAATTGAAAAGACAGTTTTTCAGAAAAATGCATATTATAATGACATAGGTAATTAAAAATGCCAACACTTATTAAATAAAAATAAAAGGACTATATAGTCTACATATGCTCTACACATCAAAGTCCCACAACGTGACTTTGATAGAAATAATTAAGGTTAATTTTCTGTCAGTGTCAAGCTAAATGAAGGGTAAGAAGCAAAAGGGTACAAGTCAGTGGCGGATTTACACATTTTCAAGGTATAGGCTGAATAGTTTTTGCCGCCCTTGCCTCAACAATTGTCATATCATACATTATTTTTACAATGCAACAATTTCGTTGAAATTGCACGTAAAATAATGTTTCGGTATATTTTTGAGCTAATCGAAGCTCAATCATGTATGGGCGGGGTAATGTATGCTATTTACACAATAATGAACATTTGGTAAACGTGAATAAATAATCTTTATCTACGCCAGTGAGATAAGAACTTCTTATCCCACTCATTTTGAGTGAGATAAGAAGTTCATTAACGCACGCGTTTTTCTCTGCTTTTAACCAATCAAATAAAAAAGTCAAAATGTCAAAATAACCCTAAATTAAGTCTTAGACAAAAATAATTACCGTTTATTTTTTCATTTAGAGGCGTAGATAAAAATTTGTACAATATACGTGTGATAACGCTTTATTAACGTACTTTTGCTATTGCCCAACTCGTGCTACGCACTCGTTGGGCAAATTTCGCATGCGTACGTTAATAAAGCTCTTATCCCACTTATAAGCTTATATCGTAAATAACTATTATTGCGCTTTCAAACAGTTAAAATTAATCGACTCAGTCATATTTTTTACAATTTCGCTCTTCACTCATAAGAAGTGTGGGCAAAGGGCGCGGAGGCGAGAGGCCGATTACTGGTTGAGGGGCGGCGAACTAGCTGTTTTACTCTAGAATATGAAAGTTTGCTACTCTCGGAATGTGCAATGACAAGTGAGAGAGAAAAGTCATCGACAAAATTTGTTGCAGACTTCTATCTGTAAGACATCAGAAAACCGTCATAGAAAAATCTTTTTGATTTCTATGAGGTAAAAAAAAATCGTTCCCCAAATTTGCCGCCCCAAAATCTGCCGCCCTAGGCTCGAGCCTACTCAGCCTGCTGGTAAATCCGCCACTGGTACAAGTGCATTTTAGCATGAAAATAAGTTAAGTGCAGAATTGGGTAGTTTGGAGTCTATTTTTTTTTAATTTTCTCATAACGTGAAAATTGTACGAGTTCTTCATGTTGATTAATGTAAATATTGAAACAAGTATCCAGATTTTTGTACATACATAGAAAACACTTAAGTTTATAACTTCACTTCTCTTTTTTGCACTTTACTCTTTTGCTTCTTACCCCTTCAAAGATATTTTTTTTTAATTTCTAAATGTAATTTGTACTTAATTTTTACATAATTCAAAACCTCAAAAAGAGGCATTTCTAATTAGGTAATAATTGTTTTTATAATTTCTTAATTTTTGGGAAATTAAAAAATACGGACAAGAGGCAAAATAAAGATTATTTTGTATTTCTTGTAAATTTTGTTGCATAATTATTGTGGGCAGTAGGGAGAAGTAATTATTAATTTAAATTTTTGAGAAGGATAAATCTTAAAAAATACTTAAAATGCACATTAATTACTCAAAAAAATCAAATTTACTTTAGATTGATTAATAAAATTAATAAATAATGGTATAGTATAGTATCTATCAAGTTTTGTAAATGCCATTTTAGTTACGATTTTTATTAGGCACAAGCGAAGCTTGCATGCGAGTGTTTAATAAAAACGAGTGTCTAGAGAAGTTTGTAAAACGATTTGCATAATATAATTTATCTAAGACGAACACAAACAAGAATTTAAAGCCAATTTAATTTGTTAAACATTTGACATCTGCCAAATGTCAACGGATTTAACCTCACTTTTCCCCAATTTATAATGGCTGTGTTCCGTAATTTACTGCCATTACTGTCAGTAATTTTACTGTCAGTAGCAGAAAAGGACCGTTCCGTAATTTATTCAGTACTAACGCACAGTGAAATTGGAACGCGCCTCAGTAGCAGCAGAAAGTGACAATGGTTATGCAAGGTTATGATTTGTGATTTACTGACAATTGACAAACTTTACTTTCGGCACAGCAGAGAACATAAATAAAAAATAAATATAACAGTTAGGTATCGCCGACGGGGGACGAGTGGTTAGTGCTGCTGACTACAAGCCGGAGGTCGTGGGTTCGAATCCCACCAGGGGTATGGCTGTTTATTTGTGTTTGTCCTATTGTGTAATAGTCCTTCGGAGGGGACTTTAAGCCCGCGGTCCGTTCCTACCCCTAACCCGCACAAGCCATTCAGTTGGCTTATGGGACTTCTTAAGAAATAAGGGTGGAACTAAAAGAGCACTTTTGTATATAAACTTTTGTATAAGAAATATAATGTTTGGTTTATGGCAGAGAAATATGGAAAATTTAATGTTATCGTCGTCCGCGTCGAAAAATGTATATAGGAATAGGAAATATAAAATTTCACTGACACCACAACAATAAGCCAAATATCAAAAATTACTCTTAAATTCGTCCGCTGAATACAAATATATAACATTTTCTAGGTACTACCTAGTAGGTAGTTTCATATTCTGGGTCTTCGTATGCGTACTCCCCGCTGACCTGCCTTCGTAACTGCTGCTTGTACTTTCAAGTAATATTTTATCAATAAATATTGAAATAATTAGTCCTACAGGTATTCACCAAATACCATTAAATGATATAATTTATATCCTTCACTTTATTTGACAGCTATTTTTTGTTTAAAAGTTTGGTTATGTGTTTTACTGGAGCCACAGCACTTCTCTGTCCCCAGTTGTTTCAGTAAAATTAATCTGTCGTACATTTATAAAAGGGTAGTATTTACCACTGAGCTCAGTAACTGAAAGTGGATTTCGGAATGCGTTTTCAGTACTGACAGTACTGACAGTAAATTACGGAACATAAGCAATAAAGCTTCAGCCTGTGACTAAAACTACATAAAGTCAATGTAGATAAATTCAATAAATTGTCAGAAATAAATAAACCATGCAAAATTTATATTTTAAAATATATGTATTTTTTATTCTTTTATATCTTCTTTCAAATGAAAATTCAAAAAGTCTAGACTGCAATAAAGGTTCGAGAATATTCCATGAAACCGCTTCATTCTAGGAATATTCATTTGGAATATTTCATAGAATGAAGTGTATCCCACATAGCAAAATAATATACCTAGCATGTGCTCAGAATCAACTTCTTACGTATAAGGATATTAGGAATATGTTCTGAGCATATGCTAGGAATAATGCTTTTATATACTAGGGAAATGCTTAGCATATCCTTTTGGCCACAAGTAGCATGTGCTATGCACTACAATTGGGAATGTTCTAAGAATATACTGGGAATACTTGGCTATATATACATAGCATATTCTGTGAACATACTTGGTAAGGTAAAAAACAGCTATAGCTATAGGTATACCTATATGCTTAATAACATTTATTAAAAAAAAGGTTATAATATGTATTAGGTATTATGTTCTTCCTCATCCTGTTTGTCAGCCAATCTAAAAAAAATATATATATTATTATACAGGGTGTCCCAAAAAGAATGAGGTAACAGCGTATTCCTTACGCAAAAATATTGTGATCGGCGCCATCTTGTCTTATACTAAAGTAAATAGTAAGCGAGGTACAGGGTGTCAAATTTAAATTTTTAATTTTCTTAAAAATTTAAATTTTTGTTTGACATTTGGAGATCGGGGGTTTTCGAAGTTGGAGATGGAGAAATAGAAGTAGAAACCTTAAGAGTGTCATTTAAAGTAAGAAAAAGTTCTGCTTCACGAGTTTTTTTAGTCACCATACGTCTAAGCGAGCGTTTACTTTTTGGGTGGTTTTTTGTGAACATTGTATGTCCTCCAACTCAGCTTAACCACAACTAACTATAATAACTACCTACTTACACACTAAAGTATATATCAATACTATAGTATACTAGAATGTAGTATACTACATTCTTAGCACACAACTAACCTTAAAAAGTCAAGCTTTTCAGTCTTCCTTTCCAGATTTCAATAAACTTGCACATCAAATACAAAACTTAGGAACTATACCTCTGTGTCTAATATTTAGTGTTTTCTTTTAGAGCTTACACCACTTACGAGCTACACCACAAAATATAAGCCCCTTATCAGAGGAGTGCAATGCAATGCCCACAGAATACAATGCCCCCGTGGCCACCGTTTACGCACTATTTTAACTGCACAACACTTTAACCTTTAACCGTTTGTTTTGAAACTTTTTTACGATAAACAAATCCTCGGACAAAAGACAAACCATTAAAATGGCGTGCGGCCGAGTTGACATACAACATAACAACAGCGCCACCTGTTGCTCGATCTGTCACAGATCGAGCAACAGGTGGCGCTGTTGTTATGTTGCATGTCACAAGCATATACTACGTACATGCTATAACTTAGTCAAAAGTATATCCTGTAAAGTTTTTATAAGCATATAGCGAAATATTCTTAGCATATGCTATGAATAAATGCACGGGAATATACGTTTTAGAATATAGGTGGTACATGTTTATATATTCGTGGAACATGCTAAGAATATAAGAATATGAATATAAGTTCAGGTACATTCTGGGTATATGCTATGGATATGAATATGCTTTTTATTGTTATGTGGGATTCTGGTGTATCCACAGAACAAACAATCTAAAGAACCATAACACTGATAGTTTTAACTTTATTTATATTTATAATTATTATGTCTTAAAACTTTTAAGTTTTAAGACATAATAATTAGACGAAATCTGTCAATGCTGCCATTTTAGTGAACTTGGACATGCGCGCCTTATTAATATACCATACATAAGGCATACGTTCATTATAAACACAACTCATCGTTACCTACAAATTATGGTGATATTATGTTTACTTTTTACGGTCATCTTATGGTTACGTCCATTATGAATGAGCACTAAAACAATACCTCTCACCGTTGCTTACGCACGCTTGATAAGTATATATACAAATAGGTTAAAAATATCAGTTGGAGATGTGCGTCTGTGATGGCACAGCTAAACAATGATTATAGTCGGACTGATCTACTCAGTAACTAATAATGGCTAGGAGTAATCCCCCAAATTATATTAAGGAACATTCTCCTGGGAATATTCTGGTACGTTTGGAATAATCCTGGGAGTCCGTCATGGATTTTAATTAGAAGCAGCCTTCTTGATAAAAATACTTATTAAGTATGACTTGTATTTTCAGTGTTTGGATTGATCTTGACGGTAGGCCAGGCAATAGTCTACGTGATGAGCGGGATGTACGGCGACCCGAACGACATCGGCTACGGGATCTGCCTCTTGATCGTGATCCAACTGTTTATAGCCGGCCTGATGGTGCTCCTGCTCGACGAACTCCTTCAAAACGGCTACGGGCTCGGCTCGGGCATCTCCATCTTCATCGCCACGAACGTCTGCGAAACGATCGTGTGGAAGGCGTTCTCGCCTACCACCGTCAACACCGGAAGGGGCACCGAGTTCGAAGGGGCTCTGGTGGCCTTGGTGCACATCCTGACCACCAAGGGATTCAAGACGAGCGCTCTTCGGGAGGCGTTCTACAGACCGCATCTGCCGAACTTGATGAACGTCTTCGCCACCATCCTGGTGTTCGCCGTGGTGATTTACTTCCAAGGTTTCCGCGTGGATCTGCCGATTAAATCCACCAAATACCGCGGGCAGGCTATGAGCTACCCCATCAAGCTGTTCTACACATCCAACATGCCTATTATTCTGCAATCCGCTTTGGTGTCCAACTTGTACGTCATCAGTCAGATGTTGGCCAATAACTTCCAAGGAAATTTTATTATCAACTTATTGGGCAAATGGGGGGAGGGTGCACATGGTAGATCGGCTCCTATCGGTGGATTATGCTACTACCTATCACCACCTGATTCTTTCTATGCCTTCGTCAGCGACCCTGTTCAAGCCACAGCATACGTAATATTCATGCTAGGATCATGCGCATTCTTCTCTAAGGTTTGGATCGAGATGTCGCAGTCATCCCCAAAAGACGTCGCCAAGAAATTGAAGGACCAACAAATCGTCATTGCTGGTTACAGAGATACTTCTATGGTAACCGTCTTAAATAGGTACATTCCCACTGCAGCAGCTTTTGGTGGGTTGTGTATAGGGGCCTTGTCTGTGTTTGCGGATCTTATGGGGGCTATCGGATCTGGCACCGGTATTCTTCTGGCTGTGACAACGATCTACCAGTACTTTGAAATCTTCGTGAAAGAACAATCCGAAATTGGAGGATTAAGGGGTCTATTCTAGGTAAGTGATTTTTAATTTTCATTTTATTGAGTCGTTAAAGTATAATTTGCGTATTTTTAGGTAAATTAAGTGAAGACTTGATGATATTTAGACTTATTCGTGACTGATTCATTTTAAAGCGATTTTTTATTTATTTTTCATTTAAATAATTATTTGTAGAATGTTTTAGTTACGCAGTTTTGTACATAGTACATATTTTTCATTGTTAATTTTTTATAATAAACAATAATTTATTTTAAAAAATGAGTTTTTAATTCGATTTTTGGACCATAAGTTTGTCAATGTTTTTTGAATTTAAATAATTTTAATTTTTAATATTTACAATAACATCAAAACTGTTGTGTCCCGAAAATAGGGCACTAACGCGATAGAAGAGTTATTTTAAGAATAAAAAAAAATACTTTTTTTGAGTTGGGGGAAATCCATATATAAATCTCGTGGCGCTAAAAATATTCGAAATTGACCCCCTCCCCGTGACAGAATGTGATAATACCCCCTAAATTTGTTTTCTTCGATTTTTTTGTAATAATTTTACTAAAATGAAAAAAATAAGCAATTTCATTCAATTTGTGACAACCCCTCCCCCTCTAGCGTCACAAGATTTATGGACGGCCCCTTATTAAACATTAAAAACTGCAAATTAAAACTTTGCTATTAATTACTTTTTTCTACTCCCACCTTTAAAATGCCCTTTATCGTACATGTTTCCATGACACTAAGTGACCTTTTAAATACACATTGACAAGTTGTGGCTTTATGGCGCTTTAGTCACGGGCTGAAGTTAGCAACAGGTTTTTAGTCACGGGCTGAAGTTAGTTTTAAGTTAGTTGACAGTTGTCAAATGTCATACAATCGTTAAAATAAATTGCCTTTCTTGTAAAATAATACCAAATGTGAAAAATTATCTCAATACAAAAGTATTAAATAGTTTCTCAACGCCAATATTTGAAAAGTTTAGAGATGGCGCTCTATACAAATTTTTGATTAAAATCATTTTAAGATAATAATAAGTATTTGTCGTAAAAAAAGTATAGTATGCACCTCGTTTATAAACTTTTCTATACACTAAATTAAATTCGTGTATAAAATGGCGTTTATCAAACTTGATACATACTCGGATACATATTATACTATTTTATATTTAAAACCTCATTATTAAACTGTTTTTATATCATTTTAAACAAATTAAAATATTAAAAAAAAAATTAAATTAATCCAAATAATAAATTTAAATAATTCTTACAGATTTAGAAAAACTAAATTTATAAGTAGATCGAATTTGTTTGTCTAATTTCTGAACAAAAATAGTTACTTATGTAATTGGGTCTTGTTGTCTGTTTTTCAGAATTAAAAGCCAGTTTTATTTGTTTAACAATACATAAAACATACAATTATTAAGAGTAAGGTTAGAACTGTCTGACGGATGTCGAATCTTATGACAGCGTCAAATCAGTGAATAATAAAATTGACAGCTAATTACTACCCATAATGACTTTTTTCTACTTCTATTATATATTATTGACTTTTTTCAAATATACTCATTATTCACGTTGTTAGGCATCATTTATTGGTCGATTTCAATATTCACTGTGATTTAAACCGATCGGTAAAAAGTCACAAATTATGTGGATTGTGGGTATATTACGCCTCCACTCTTTTCCCTACTCTAAGGTCTGACGTATTTTATGATTATTATTTAAATTATTATATCTAAAAAAACTTCATTTTTCTTTGTTTAACATTATTATTAATTCGTTTTTAATATTTTACATTAATAAATTGTCTAAATATAATAAATCAAAAAAAGTAAACAATATTTTCAAAACCGAATTACCTCAACAAAAAACATTGTACAAACTTATCCTTCAAAACATCGCTTCCCTGAACAAAAACCACCCCCTATAAAACATAATTAACGTTTACCTGCCTCGCATATCTCGTAAATCTTCATAAAATCGCCGAGAAACACCAATCCACAGAACATCTGTCACATTCTGCAGCAGGGTTTTTGTCACAGAACAGGGTTTTTGTTTGCGTGGTGGTGCACCAACATGGAGCCGTCAAGTTGACCACCCTGCTCTTCGCCTACCAACGTCGCCAACATCATCGGTCACGTGACCGGCTTGAGCTGCTACGTGTCTGTCGTGTCAAGTCAAAACTCTTTCGAAAGTACCGTAACGCGTACAAAAGTTGGCCACTTACCGAACGTGTGCACTTTGAGGAGGACTGTTTAACGTTTTAAATTGACTGTGATTTAGTTTTTACTTAGTTATTTAGTGAAGAAACCCTGCAAAATGGGCAGTAAGTATATTTAATTGGTTGTTTTTTAACGCTGAAAAAAGGTTAACTTTGTATAATGTATATTTTTTATGCTTGTTGCAACTTTAACTCGTGTATATTAGGTTTATATGGTGTTTATACGTGTTATATTTTATTTCAGTCAAATTCCTCGAGGTTATTAAGCCTTTTTGCAGCATTTTACCCGAAATTGCCAAGCCAGAAAGAAAGGTGAGTTCAAGTCAATTTAACACAGTTATTACAACTGTAATTCATTAAAAAAACTCCATATTGTTTTATTAACAGTGCACCTTAAAAATATTCCACAAATTGTTACAGTTTAATTCAAATTTTACATCCAGCTGTTATAATATTCCATGTGTTACAGATTCAATTCAGAGAGAAAGTACTGTGGACTGCAATCACACTATTCATCTTTTTAGTATGTTGTCAGGTAATTTTGCATCAAAAACTCTCAAAAACAAAACTAACATTAAATTCTTTAGATCCCACTTTTTGGAATTATGAGCTCAGACTCAGCCGATCCATTCTACTGGATTCGTGTGATTCTGGCTTCAAACAGAGGTACCCTTATGGAGTTGGGTATTTCACCCATTGTAACATCTGGCCTGATAATGCAACTTTTGGCTGGTGCCAAAATAATTGAGGTCGGTGATACACCAAAAGACAGGGCTTTGTTTAATGGAGCACAGAAATGTAAGTACCTATATGTTTAATAAAAATTGTTTATTTTTGTGAATTTTGATATTTTTGGGTAGTTAAATGTTACTTTAAAGATATTTGCCTAAGGATGTAAATGTGAATGTAAACTATAATTTGTTTTATTTATTTATAGTTAAATAATAATTTAGTACTTTTATTGATATTTAATCATTTTAAAATAATATTTTGTAATAATTACATTTTTTTCTTACAAGATTTTACCTATAACAACCTTTTAACATGTGGATGTTTTTTGTTCTGATTTGGAACAACACAAGTTAATTATGCAATGCATATTTAATTAATTTTATTCAACATCATTTTAGCTAGGTTTGCTATTTTTTTGAAGGTCAAAAAAGTATTATTTAAGATGATTTTTGTAAATAATTATTGCTAATATTATTATTATTTGAATTTTTTATTTAAAATGTTTTGTTAATATTAATTTAGTAAATTTTCAATAAATAAGTTAACTGCTAATTTTACATATGATTTTAAAAAATTTTTAGTTGCCAAATTCTAGTGACCCTAAGTTTATAAAAAAAGTTTAGTGGAGAATATTAGTGTGGTTATGTTACAATTATAAATGTCAAATATAAGTTGTACAAAATTGCTATAACTTTACCTTTGATAAAATTTAGGTGACTAAAGGGCCCGAAAGAGGCAAATTTGCATTCCCAGCATACAAAAAAACATGTATGTGTAAAAAAAAATTATTGTGAAAGTTTGAGTCCATAATATTAATATTAAGAGGTCTGTCATAGCAATTTTATTTTTTTTCTTTAGCAAGTTTTAGGCTCAGAACTCCCAAACCATTGAGTTTAGCAAAATTGACTTAAAAATATTTTTTTAAGAAAATTAAATGCTCTACAAAAAAGGTTAAAGTGAAATTTTCCGTCAGATGAACCGTTTCCTTAAAATCATGCCTTAAAAATTGGTATAGTTTTACATTTTGATCTTTTAAATTGGAATTTTGTAATTCATGTAAAAATCAGTACCCATAAAAAAACCGATAAATATTCTTATGGGAAATCAATTGCTTTACAAAAAAAACCTCTTAACATTTTTGGCTAAATTCACTCAATCAAAAGTTATTCAAGGTTAAAATTTCGTTTTGACTTCAAATTTAACCTTGAATAACTTTTGACTTTTTTTGTAGAGCATTTGATTTCCCATAAGAATATTTATCGTTTTTTTTTCAGGGTACTGATTTTTACTTGAATTATAAAATTCCAAAGTTAAAAGATCAAATTGTAAAACTATACCAATTTTTAAGGCATGATTGTAAGAAAACGGTTCATCTGACGGGAAATTTCAATCAAACCTTTTTTGTAGAGCATTCAATTTTCTTCAAAAAATATTCTTAAGTCAATTTTGTTAAACTCAATGATTTTGGAGTTCTGAGACAAAAACTCGCTCAGGAAAAAAATCTAAAATTGCGATGATAGACCTCTAAATATTAATAATATGGACTCAAACTTTCACCATAATTTTTTTTTGTCACCCCATACAATATTTTCGATATAGGTATTTTCCAACAAAAAAAATATTCGATTTTTTTGGCCCAGTCTAATGTCTAATGTTTATTATACTTCTGACAGTTAAATGACAAATGTCAAAGTATTTAAAGTTAAGGGCTTAAACAGAGTACTAATTTTAAATATTAAAAGTACCAAAGTAATTTAACATACAATACCAACATAATCAAATGTGTCAAATTCAGAAAAAAAAATACGAACGAAACTTTTGAAACTTTCATTTTTATATTTCGTGCGTTAACCTTAAAAAAAAACACAAAAAAGACAGTTTTAAACCTTAATTTTGACATTATAACAACAAATTAACATTTTGTATTGTTACTTTTTTACTTTTTATGTTGATTTTAGGTTTTAATGATAATTTAATTCGTAATAAAGTAGGTAGTAGGTAATTTGCTAATTAAAATACGTTTTATTTTTACTACGTTGGTACCGCTGAATATGCTGTCGCAGCCTACTGTTATTTATTTATCAAACTCTTCAAATGAAGATACTAAGTAAAAATTTTAAGTTTTTAATTTAAAATACCTTTTTTAAATTTTAATAAAAAGTATCAGCATTTTTTTGAATAAATTTTTGTTTGCTTATCTTAAAAAATTTAGAAATAATAAGAACATACAATATAGGTTTTTTATTGAGATTGGATTAAAAAACAGTATTTTAAAGTTTATTATTATTTTATCTATTTTGCGTTCATAATGACTTCATTATAACACTTTATCCCACCCAAAATTTTGATTTTATAGGTTGGTTATAATTTAAACAGCATAATATTTTGCATATTGGTTATAATATTTTTATGATTTTTCTAGTACTTTTTTGGCAATAAATTTTGTTTAACACCAAAGAAAATCCTTTTTTTCCTCTTTAACATTAACAGCCGCTTATTGTAAATAAGTAAATTAAGGAAGGCATGGCGAATCGATTTTGACATTAACTGTCAAACCAATGACTGTGATACCAACTATCTAAAGGGTCATTCCACGTTACTCGGTAATTTTTGTCCCGCCCGTCACAATTAAAAATTGTGAGTAAAAACTACAAGTTATAAAATTAATATTTTATAATATTATTTTTATTGTGCTTATAACTTATTAAAAGCATAATAAAACACTATTTTAAAATAAATTTTATAACGTATAGTTTTTACTCACAATTTTTAATTGTGACGGGCGGGACAAAAATCCCCGAGTAACGTGGAATGACCCTAAAGTAAAATTCGACCAAATTAAATTTAAGGGATAAAATTATTTTTTTTATAGAATTTTTGCAAAATAGATAAAATGGCATAAAGAACTCATGTCATAAGACCTTTTGTCGCACTCGTCCATTATAAAACTCGCTAAATTGTCCGCGTGCGACAAAATGACGTCTTATGACATTACTTATTTTAAACTTTATATATTTATTTAATTAGAAATTTAGCCTGGGGTTAAAGTCGAATTTCACCCACCGGATGAATTTAATAAATGAAATGGGTGTTGGATAAACAATTTTTAATCTTTGTTTTCGGAAAGATTTTAATGTCGCACTGAAAATTAGCTTAGGTTGGCAGTACTAGGGTTGTAGCCGTAGGTCAGTCAATGAACAAAATTATAATTTTTGCAATTATTGCAAACAATAGGGTCATTCCACGTTACTCGGGGATTTTTGTCCCGCCCGTCACAATTAAAAATTGTGAGTAAATACTACACGTTATAAAATTTATTTAAAAATATTGTTTTATTATGCTTTTAATAAGTTATAAGCACAATAAAAATAATATTATAAAATATTAATTTTATAACTTGTGGTTTTTACTCACAATTTTTAATTGTGACGGGCGGGACAAAAATTACCGAGTAACGTGGAATGCCCCAATACCAAAGTCTGATAAATATACTACTACCAAGTATTCCAGTTACGGAGTAATGCTTGATAAAAATAAGAAATAGCAAACAAATTGTTTTGTTAATATTTTAAGTGCTTATGGTTAAGTGATGAAATGCCTTGATGGTTCGAATATTTTGAAAATTTTATTAAATATTTTCCAACTTAAACATTTTATTATTATTTTTTTATTAAAGAAATAAAATCACATAAATGATCCACCAAATACCCTAATTAAATTTATGTTGACATGTTAAAGACAATTAATATAACTTAAAAATACAAGTACCAAACAAAAAATTACTGAGCCTAGTTTAACCGATTAAATTCATAGTTCTCGTGATATAATATATAAATAGGAAGTTTTCAATCAACGCTTTTAAGCTCTTTAATGCGGCTAGCCTCCACCGTATACCGTATAATTGCTCATAGGCAGTGATCGTGAAACGTCAATTAATGAACTTTGAATAGCAACGGAATCTTTGGATTCGTAGCCTCCTTTGTGACGTAGTTCACTTTGTAAAGTTCATTATTTATTTATTTCAATGGGGTAGTTAAATTTTTTCTGACCTATATTTTTTATGGTTTTATTCAAGGCGTTTTGTAATATTAAACATTTCTGTAAAATCAGAATTTCAATTGAGGTTACCGTTTTCGAGATATTTACAAAAAATATAAATTTTCATGACGTCACAAACCTCGCCATGATTTCTATTGGTTGAAAATTACCCTGTTGTCAAGTTGTCTTGTTAATGATTTCATTCGGTTATGTCAGAAAATACCCGAAGAGGTTATGTACAAATACTGTCACTGTCAGTTGAGTGAAAGATGGTCACCAAATTCATTAAGTACCTATCTTCCTTATTACGAGGTATCATATTACTGTTTGATATTTTAGAGTCCAAGATATATCTAAAAGAATATAAAGAACTAGGCATTATACTAATGAAATGCATTTACGACAAAATATGATTATATGATTATAGGTACTTACTTTATTTGTTTAAAAGCTCCAATGTTCAATGTAACCAACCATTCCACAAGATTCCTGTGCTTTGGAGTCCGTTATTAATAAATCACTTATCTAATATCAATTACAAATAACATAACAATAACATTGATTTTCAATAATTTAAATTTAAAAAAAACATAACCCGAAAAAAGAAACGTCAAAAAATCAATTCTTCTACTCAACTAAAATTATAGATCAAGTGGTTTTAAAACTAAAATATTATAACGTGGCGCCATCTATCGTAAGAATCTTAAACTAAACACACTGGCAACCATAGAAAAAGCTGGCAACGTTGTCAATAGCCTAGTGACGTAATTAGGAGATTTTTTTTTGTAAATATCTCGAAAACGGTAAACTCAATTGAAATTCCGATTTCACAGAAATGTTTAAAATTACAAAACGCCTCGAATAAAACCATAAAATATAGGTCAGAAAAAATTTAACTACCCCATTATTACGAAAATATATTAGTGTTGATAAGTATAAGTGGAAGATTACAATTTCACTAATTAATTAATAAATAGTGGTATCACCACTAACATATTTGAGTAAAGCATACTTAAGTATAATATAATATTATTAAGTATAAGTGGAAGATTACAATTTCACTAATTAATTAATAAATAGTGGTATCACCACTAACATATTTGAGTAAAGCATACTTAAGTATAATATAATAATTATTTAACAACCTTAAATCATATACCATAAAGTACAAACTCTCAAAAACACATCTTATGTTTAATCTTTTTCTTCCAGTGTTTGGAATGGTGATCACAGTGGGTCAAGCGATCGTCTACGTGATGACCGGCATGTACGGCGACCCGGCCGAAATCGGCGCCGGAGTGTGTCTCTTGATTATCATACAACTTTTCGTCGCCGGTCTTATCGTGCTCCTCCTCGACGAACTCCTCCAAAAAGGTTACGGTTTGGGGTCCGGCATCTCTCTCTTCATCGCCACGAACATCTGCGAAACCATAATCTGGAAAGCGTTCTCGCCCGCTACGGTAAACACCGGAAGAGGCACGGAGTTCGAAGGCGCGGTCATCGCTCTATTCCACCTCTTGACCACCAGACAAGACAAAATCAGAGCTTTGCGTGAGGCTTTTTACCGCCAAAATTTGCCCAACCTGATGAACTTGCTCGCCACCGTGTTCGTCTTTGCTATAGTGATATACTTCCAAGGGTTTAGAGTGGACCTCCCGATTAAGAGTGCGAGATATCGCGGCCAACATTCGAGCTACCCAATCAAACTCTTCTACACGTCCAACATCCCCATTATCCTGCAATCCGCTTTGGTTTCCAACTTGTACGTTATCAGTCAGATGTTAGCCGTCAAATTCCAAGGCAACTTTCTAATTAACCTTCTCGGTGTTTGGGCGGATGTTGGTGGGGGCGGCCCGGCTAGATCGTACCCCATCGGCGGTCTATGTTACTACTTCTCTCCGCCTGAGTCCGTAGGGCACATTCTTGAAGACCCCATCCACGCTCTCCTCTACATAGTCTTCATGTTAGGCTCTTGCGCGTTCTTCTCTAAGACGTGGATCGAAGTTTCGGGCAGCTCAGCCAAGGATGTAGCCAAGCAGCTGAAAGAACAGCAGATGGTGATGCGGGGTCACCGAAACGACTCGATGATCCACGAATTGAACCGTTACATACCTACGGCAGCCGCTTTCGGCGGTCTCTGCATCGGCGCTCTATCCGTATTAGCAGACTTCATGGGTGCTATAGGTTCCGGCACCGGTATTCTCTTAGCCGTCACCATCATCTATCAGTACTTCGAGATCTTCGTCAAAGAGCAATCAGAGATGGGCGGTATGGGCGCCCTATTGTTCTAAACGCGTCGCAACTCTATATAGGTTAGTTTGGTATCTTTAAGCTGAAAGCTGACTGATATTGGCCGGCCGGTCGCGTTGTTTCGTTGCATAATTTATATCGCAACCCGCACTGCAAGGTCTGTCCCATCTCGTTTCGCGCACACTGAAAATCACTGCAACGGCGGCCATTTTTATGCTCTTTGTTGGTTTGCGCCGTTTAAACAGATTAATAATCGTTTTAAACGACCTCTTTTGTAAAAAATAAACCTTACTATCAGGGCTGTCATCAAACTGTAATTTGACGAAAGCCCTGATAGAATAAGGCACAATCCACACAACAAGGTCTGTTCTATCTCATGCTAAAAATACTAAAAATCACTGCAACACTGCACAGAGTTTAACGGCGGCCATTTTTGTTGTTTACAATTCTTGTGCTTTGGGTTTGTGCTGTTTAATAATTGTTTTAAACGTTGTGTTTCTTACAGAGGTGCTAAGGACAACCATTTTACTTCTCTTTTATAATAAATATACCTCATTCTATCAGGGCTGTCAAATAACAATTTGAAGGTTAATTTGTGGGTTATAATTTAACCTTAAAATTGACATTTTACAGTTTTATGACAGCCCTGATAGAATAAAGTTTATTTTTTACAATAGAGGAGTAAAATGGTTGTTCTTGGCACTTTAAGGCCTCTCTTAAGGCTTACTATGAGAAACACAAAGTTTAAAACGATTATTAATCTGTATAAACAGAGCACAAACCCAAAGCACAAAAATTGTCAACAACAAAAATGGCCGCCGTTAACCTGTGCAGTGTTGCAGTGATTTTTTTGTATTTTTAGTACGAGATAGAACAGACCTTGTTGTGTGGATTGTGGAATAAGGTTTACTTTTACCAAAAGAGGAGTACTTTCAAGACATACAGAAAAAACGAATATCAATCTGTATAAACGTCTCAAACACAAAGCACATTGTAAACAACTAAAATGGCCGCCGTTAACTCTGTGCAGTTGCAGTGATTTTTAGTGTTTCTAGTACGAGACAGAACAGACCTTGTTGGGTGGATTGCGATTTATTTATTATTTTACTGCGACTCTCAGGCGTTTTGGCGATGTCAGCGCGACCGCCGCGCGTTGTACAAAGTACACATTTTTTGTACTATCGATATTGAATCTCCTATAAGTGATTCTAAAACGTTATTTTTCATTGTACATTTACATTTTTTTAACAATTTGTTGTTTTTGTCAAGTAATTTGTATCGCTGTTTTGTACAAAGCCATTGAACGAAAATGTAAGGCTTTGCATTTAAAATAGTAATCACCAGTGTTAATTAATACGGCTGATAATTCTTCCAAACTCGAACGAATCTCACATTTTAAGTTAAAGCACAGCCAGTTTTTCTTTATATATTGTTTATAAAAGTATATATTAAAAAAATATTATTTATGTTTTGTGTGGATGTCCATGCACTTCCTTTTTTATTTAAACATCATTTGTCATGCAGTGTGGTTGTGTCAAAGTCCATTTGTTAGAATAATTTATTTTAAATACATTTAATTTACGATAAAATGCTTTTTATTTCATTTGTACACCTTTTATTATCCTTACAAAATATACATATCTTCATATAACAAAAGGTAGAAAGTATGCATTAAAAAATAGTTATTTGTTTTACAAGTTTTGAAAAGCAACTTTTTCTTACAAGTTGCTCACGAGGCCGTCAGGCCGAGTTGCATTAACATGAGCTTGAAGAAAGCTTTTCTTACTAGTGAAACACAATGTTTTTCTAGGACCCTTTTATTTTTTATTAAATACAAAACAAAATAACCTTAAAACGTGTTTGACAACTGTTAAAATTCTATCATCTTATTCTTTTAATAATTAAATCAATAAACTTACCTTCTCAATTTAAATAAAGGCAGTAAAAACTAGAATTTATTATTCAAACACAATTAATTGTGTTCTAAATGATATTTAAACATATACAAATACTGAAAATTATTTTATTATCTCAATACAAAAATATTAAATAGTTTCTCAACGCCAATATTTGAAAAGTTTATATGAACATTGTACTGACCTTTTAATTTCGCCGGCAGTAAACTATAACTTAAATTCGGACACGGACTCTACTGTAAAATCCTCATAAAACATTTCTTTTACTTTCACTCTGAAAAACTGTCAATTTTCAATGTAGATACATTTCGATTTAGAACCTTTATAAAATGTAAAAATGTGACATTTGACAGTTTACCCTGTTGTTTCATAGATGGCGCTCTATACAAATTTTTTATTTAAATCATTTTAAGATAATAATAAGTACCTATTTGTCGTAGAAAAAGTATAGTATGCATCTCGTTTATAAACTTTTCTATACACTCATTAATTTAAGAACTCGCTTGCAAGCTCGCTCGAGCCTAAATTAAATTCGTGTAAAAAATGGCGTTTATCAAACTTGATACATACCTAATATACTATTTTATATTGGGACATATATTTTTATATTAAAAGACAACTTAAATTATAACAAAAAATTATGATTGCGTAACTATTTTTAGGTTTAGGCTATACCCTGTTCATCATTTTATATTAATAAATTGCAGAGACGCTTAAAATACCAATAAAAATTAAAAATTGGCGCAAACATTCATGTTTCCCGCTAAATTCTCGCAAATCTAGTGACATTTTCGATTTTGACAGCTGTCTGGCAAATTATTTTTTTATGGGTTGGCAGCGCTGGCCAGGGAACGAGTGAAAAAGACGGTTTGTCGTATTTGGGGGTTAAATTTTCCAACGAAGGAAATTTTCTTTCGCAACTTTAGTTTTTAAGCAAATTAGGATAAAAAATGGCACTAAATCTACAATACGAGGCGATAGGAAAGGGATTCGTTCAGCAATATTACGCATTATTCGACGATCCTACGCAACGTCCTAACCTTGTCAATATGTATAATGTAAGATTTTTTTGAATTTTAAAAGTGTTTTTTTGTCATATTTGTGATTTTTTGCAGATAGAAAGTTCGTTTATGACATTTGAGGGCGTACAACTACAAGGATCTGTTAAAATTATGGAAAAATTAAACGTAAGTTTGTCAAATGGAATAAGCTGGTGAAAACTAAGCACAAACCAACTTATATTCACTTTTAAAACCCTGTAAAAATAGGCTTATTTTACAATAACATATTTAAATATGTAGCATCTTTTATTTGGCAATAGATTTGGATTTTAGTATACTTTAAGTTAACATTCTTAAGACAGTTATATCTAGGTTAGTTGAAATTATTAAGACATTTGTATCTAACCATGAAGGTATTGGTTTAGAACATAAAATGACATTATGAAAAAAATCTTAACATTAGATTCTGTATTTTTAGGGTCTATCCTTCCAAAAAATCAATAGAATAATAACTGCAGTGGATTCACAGCCAATGTTCGATGGTGGCGTATTAATAAACGTATTAGGTAGACTGCAGGTAAGCATCGATTTAATTAACCCAGCAATTTCTGTCTAAATGATTTAAATTGTTATTAGACAGACGAAGATTTACCACACGCCTATGTTCAAACGTTTGTACTGAAACCAATAGAGGGAAGTTTTTTCGTGCAGCACGATATATTCAGACTTGTGCTACATGATACGATTTAGCCCACCTCAAGCCAGTATGTACGGTTATGTGCGCTTGGTGTTAACCCCCTTTAATTTTTTCAAGTTTGGCATGGTTTATTTTTACCACTAATTTTCTATGTAACAGAAAAATACTAGTACTAATTTTATTAATGCACTTTTTCTGTTTGCTTCTTTGCTATTGTTTTAACATCTTCAATGTTGGTAATTTAAAATTACTCATACTTAATATGACATACTATGATAAGATTTACTTATTTGTAAACAATTTCTATTAATGTACTTATGATAAATACATAATGCAAATATTTCTTAGATTAATATTCACTTAATTTTTAATGTTATTCAGGTGTGAAATGCATGTACAAAATAATACTACATATTTTGGAGACCAAAATAATTAAATTTACTTCTACACAAAAGTTGATAATAATTAAGATAACCCCCAAAAATCAAATTTTGTTTTTAATAAAATTTAATAATATCTTGGTTTTTATCAAATTATTAGTAATAATAATATTATTTTGGTCTTAGGAATGTGGTGTCATTTTGTACAGGCATTTCTTGTATAACTCATTTTTGATATTTACAACTGTGTAACCAAAAACCTTGACTGGGTTTTTTTCCTGAAATTTTCCACCAGTAAAAGGACTGCATTCCCTGTAGCAATCTAGTGTGCTGTGGAAATGCCACACTCTGATTGGTCAATCGTCGTATATGGGCGTGGCTAACTATCACTCGATAGATCGTTTTTATATTGCTACAATTTGCTAAAATGAATAATTTTTTACAAAAAAATAAAGAAATGTACTTGATTTGACTATAAACAAAACTAATTATTAAGGTTTTAATTTAAAACCTTAATAATTAGTTATCACGCGTTTGTATATTGAACAAGGTTTAAAACTTTTAAACCTTGTTCAATATACAAACGCGTGATAGTTAGCCACGCCCACGTCCGACCTCGTAATACTTTTAAGTGCCACTTATACACCCCAAAACTTATGTCCATAAGTGTACCACACATTCAAGGTTAAATATCTGTCATATTTTGACGTCTACATAAAACATTTACCCAGATATCCAGATTGCACCACAAATTATTTGAAATTAACTCGCTGACCAAAAAAACTGCTAAAAACGAGTTTTAAATGTCATTTTTATCTTTTTTTTTTAGGCTGATGACGATCCACCTCATGCATTTTCCCAAGTTTTTTGTTTAAAACCTTTAGGTAACTCATTTTATGTCCAACACGATTTGTTCAGATTGGGAATTCATGATACCGCTTAGGTTTTTACCATTATTATATTCGTAATTTTTTATAAAAAAAAATATATTATTACACAACTACTAAAAAACTTTAAGCTGTTGTTTTTATGCTGTCATTTATTGTAATGCTTGTCTGATTTTTTTTTCAATTATTAAAACCTATTTTCCAAAATTTGTTTTTTATTTAAAAATGACATTTTTAGGATATTTCCTGTAGGTAGGTACAGTTCATTTTTTTTTATCTGAACTCGGTTTTTTGTTAGATTGGTGGCTTATGCCAGTTTGATTTAGTATTTAAAAATGGTACTCTGCTAAAGAATTTAATTAAATACTTTGACACTGTCAAATTTACAATAATATTTATTATTGATAATTTACTTGTCAATTATAAATAAAAAAATAATTATTGCAAAAATAATAGCAACGAATTCAAATGTAAAAGCCCTTTTGAGGGCAAAACTTCATTTTGATGAAATTATGCCAAATGCCACAATGGAAGAAAAAGTACATCCCTTATGGACATTTTTTGGAGTAAAAAAGTAACGAATTTGGTTTTATAAACATAACATCACACATTATTTTCACATTATTCACCATTGGACAACATTTACGTTCACAAAAAATTTTAATTTCTTTTATATAAATTCTTTTCAAAGCGAAGATTATTATCCGCTAGGAATACTTTCTATTCTGGGCCGTAAAGCAACCTATATTTAACTACTTTTTTATATGATTTTACTCATTCAAGAACCACCAAAGCCAAATTAATTGCATTTTTAACTACGAATTTCGACAACTCAACTTGACAACTGCACAATGTAACCTACAATAATTTATACATAACCACAATTAGATTTATAACTAGCTTAGTTTGTTTCAATCAATGCGACCAACTTGACAACTTAAAACCCTAAATTTGCAACGTTGCCGCAGTCCAGATAAAAATTTTTTTAAAATACTTAACCCAAAGTAAAACTACAAAATGCATTAACCCTATTTAATTATTAATTAATTTAAATAAATGAGCAACTTCAACAGGTACAAAGAAACAAATAATTGCAGCATTATGTCACGATATAATAATATTAGTAAAGTACAGTCCGAAATTTAAAAAGTTCATAAAGAACTTTTTTTGCGCTTCTGAGACACTCCAAAACGAAGTGACCTCATCGCCATTGCTTTATTGAAATGTCGGTGGTGGAATTTTGTGTCCGAATCTTCCCCACCACAGTCTACAGAAGAAATTATCACCAAAAGTACGCCCACCACCTAAAAAAGATTTATTTTTAATTAGGTAATTAAAATTGTGGATTTTCGGTAAAAAATTGACAGAAGAAATGTCAGTTTTGTAACCTCAAAAGAGGTCAATGTCAAAATATGACATTTATAACAAAACTTGTGTCAAAATTGTAACCTTAAAATGTAAAAAGTTACAGATAAGTCAGTTTTCACGTTCAAAGATTATAAAATAACTTTTCTTCTGAAACTTACCAAGCATACAATAATTATTAACGTATATGCATGCAGGGTTGTGGTTGGCAGATTTTCCATTTCTTTAAGAGCTAAAATGGCAGGTTCAAAGCCTGGTTTTAAGTCTAAAGTATGCCTGAAATGCAGCATGGCTTCCTGGTGATGGCCGTAAGCCCTAAAAATTTCACCAAGAGTGAAGTACTGCTGCCAGGGAACCTTTTCCGTGGTAAGGAACTCTATGGATCTCCTTGTGAGAAAAATGGCGTCGTCTAAATATTGGAGGGCCATTAGGTTTCTGGCTAAATTGAGGAGGACTTCCGCGTTGTGCGGGGACATGCTGAGGGCTTTACGGAAGCACTCTATTGACTGTTCGGCGTTACCCTTCATTCGGTAGAATTGACCTATTTGGTTGTAAACGTATATGGATTTTGGCTTCTAAAATAAATAATTAGATATGATATAGATCAATAATACATTATTTATACTAATTTTTTGTTTATTTTACCTCTTTCTTGGATTTTTTTAGTTTCTTTTCCAGAGCATCAATATCCAACTCTGGCATACCAATAAGGTGTTTTTTCTTAATAAATGTGAAAATAGCATTGGGTTCAGGCACACTAGGATGTTTTTTCCTGTTAAAAACCCCCACCAGATTATCGTAATAAGTATATTCAGCAGATTTTCCACAGTCTAATATGTCATCATCATAATTAACTATTGCTTCAGCACTGGAGCCATTAACAAATGCATTCCTACAATTTTATAACATTAATAACCTCTACATACATTTCTAAATAAAATAACATAGCATAAAGTTAAAACAAATAAATAAAACTTACAAAACTAAACAAAACAAAAACTCTAAAATCCCTGATTTTACCTTTGATTAAGGTTTTGGCAGTTATTGCAAAATAAATTGATTGGCGCTCGTTTAATCCACCCCTTGCCGTCATGTTCTGTGGAAGCAATTATTTGGAATAAAGGATCTTCTTCGGGAAATATATTGGCCCTCGATGAATACACAATTTCCTGATCAAACACCTTCACCTCGACTATTTTGGACTTGTCCTCGCTCAATCGCCATAAATACGACGTTTTCGAGTTTGTTACCATTATCTCTAAGCATAAAATGTACAGAAATAGGGAGATCTGTTGATGATTGTCACCACTCATATTGACTAGATTGTTTGCAGTTACAGTCGCGTTAAATAATTATTTTTGCATCATTTCACCCCCAAGAACTTCTCTATTTGTTGATTTATTGTTGTTTATACATACTTAGAGACAGGTTAAAGTTAGGTTAGAATTTAACGTCAAAAGTGACGTTCAAAAATAATAATCCCAATTTTACTTACTTATTAGGAATTCAAAGTATTTTTTAAGCCACAATTTATTGAAAATTATTTGATTATGTGTAAGGTATTTTATTTTAAATTATTATTTAAAATTATTTGATTTAAGTAATGAGTTAACTATATAATTTTCAACAGGGGATATAGCTCAGTGGTAGAGCATTCGACTGCAGATCGAGAGGTCCCCGGTTCAAACCCGGGTGTCCCCTAGTTACTTTTTAATTTTTTTTTTAATAATTATAATAATAATAATACCTTTTTGCGTGTTGGGGTTGAATAAAAAGCCTTTTTTCACACCAAACATTTATTGGATAGTTTAACAAAACTGTTTCATGCATTAAAACTCGATAAATACAAATTTATATTATTATATCAACTTTGCATTACTTACCTACTTACTTTTTAATTTTTTTTTTAATAATTATAATAATAATAATACCTTTTTGCGTGTTGGGGTTGAATAAAAAGCCTTTTTTCACACCAAACATTTATTGGATAGTTTAACAAAACTGTTTCATGCATTAAAACTCGATAAATACAAATTTATATTATTATATCAACTTTGCATTATTAGGGATTAGTAAAGCTTTCAGCAACACTAGATAAACTTTATTAATTAAGTTTTTTAAAAATGTAATCAAACTAATGATGTATGTACAAAAACGATAATATTAATTTTTTATATATTGCTCTTAATAAACACATTCTAATAAACATAAATATTTTTTCTTTGATCATAAATATCTACTACTGAATTGTTCTCTCATTTCTCGCCATTTTCTTTCTTTATTGTATGGGCCAACCAGCAGGCAAGGAAAACACCAATAAGCTGAAAAATATGAATTTATTATTATAAAGATCCGGCAACAATTTGGTTTTTAAAGTAAACTATTAAAAAAACACTTGTATTGTTATTTTTTATAAGTTTTTTATTTTATTGCTGTTTATAAAAGCAACTCCCCTTTAAGGTAATACCCCTTTACCCTTAATGTACTGCCCAACCTCCTTAAAGTACAGTTTACACGACAACATTACCTCTATAAAGGCGATTCCAATGCCAACTCCGATGACAATTTTCGTATTCGATTGAATTTTCATTTCCAGTTTGTCGAAACAACCGACGTTGAAGTAATAGGGCCCGGCGCCATTTTGGGAGCAATATTGGCTGGTTGGGTCGTTTCTGTCTCTCATGGAATGGCAACATGACAACGGCATATTTTGTGATTGCCAGTCGGTAAACCCGCTTACACCGCAACATTTGAACTGAAAAAGGAAACAAGAAAAGTGTTTTAGATGTTTTTAGTTCTTAGACGTTTTAGAAATGTTAGTTTTTTGTCCCTTGAAAGGGTTAGTCAAGTGAGTTTGTTTTTCTTTGCGAATAATTTTATCTAGACATGAACGGAAATTGCCAACATTTGTGGGTATATACAGGACCGTAACATATACTTTTTCGAGACGACTTTTGGTTTTATTTTTTAAATTTATTTAGTTCTTTTTTAAATTTTAATTTAAGTAGGTGATCAAAAAGCAATATTAAATATTTGCTCGACGAACACTCCCGTTTGTAGTAAACTGCTTGACTGTTCGGTGAAACGAAGTACGTGATCGATTTTTTTCCGGAAAACGCTGAGCGTAGATATTAACAGCATCATCAAGATTCCTGCCTGCTTCTCCATAAATCAAAATCATTTCTATTTTTTCTTCCACTGTTAAAAAATCCATTACGAATAACTGCTTAACGAAAGGAGGTATTTTTGTTTGCAAATTAATCTTCGAACTAAATTGATTAAATAATGCTAAACTATGTATAAATAGTTTCTTTATACCTCAATAATAATTATTATTTATAACTAAATACCATTTTTTATACGTCAATTAGGATTAAATTAATTAATTGACAAAATAATGTTTTTTTAACCTTAAATGAGGTATTTTCATTAAAAGTAGTACAAGTAATAATCCTTTAGATTAAAGGATTTAATGCTGGTAGGTAAAAAGTGACCATGGTGAGCAATTGATAATTATCACAGAATAAAATAATGAATAAAACTTAAACCAAAGGAAACTTAAATATTAGTTAAAAAATCGTGGGTACTTAAAAAAATCAGATTTAATTTAATAAGATAATTAGGTATTACCCAAGAAAGTGATATTTTTTAGAAAAATTATTGCCGAATCGTAAACAGAAGAAAAATCGAACAAAATTGATTTTTTTTTCAAGCGGCCATGATATACAACCTTACATGCATGTATAGAGATAGTTGAAGTGCGTCTTTTTCATTAGCGGCAGACAAAAAACTCAAAAAAGCCTAGGGATAGAAGTAAATTCATAGGTGACTCAATAAACGTCAAATAATAAAATTAATTTAGCATTTCATACTAAGCAATCACGATGTATTAATTATATTAATTATAATCGCACGGAATATTTAGTGATTATTTATTAAATTTTAATTGAACGAAATAAAGAAAAACTAGTTTATTAGTATAATATTATGATGATAGACGAGTCGCCAATGTCTAAACTTCAAACAAATGTCAGTACGTCAAAATTAATTCAAGCGCAGCATTTTGACAGAGCAGTGTTTAGTTTTAGTTTAGGCTTTGTTATCTATGGTTTAGGATATTTATCGGCATTGTAAGTAAGGGTTATAAGTTTTTTTAGTTTTTATCAATAATTTCTAATGCTTTTAGCCAAAATTTTATACCACATGAGTTATGAGTAAATAAAATAATTCTATTGCTTATCCTATTTATATTACGCCCTTGAAAAAAAAATTGTATATGTTATTTGGAGTAGAAGCTCTTTTTGTGCTTCGTACAGTTGCCTGCCTCAGCTACGCTTCGGCCGTCAATCTCTGTACTTACCACAAAAAGAGTCACTTCTACTCCTTATGACATAATCTACTATTTTTTCATTAAAAATATGAAAAAATGTTTTAGACAAAATCTACCTATTTTTAGTCGAATGATCCATATCTGCAATAAAAAATAGGGCGTTCCATTGGAAATTTTAAAGTTACCCCCTAACAGCTGATCCCCCTATAAGGAGGAGAGTATAAGGAACAATTTTAGTACTGATTGATTTTCCACTTCGAATCATTTAATTTTTATTTTTTCGTAAAATGCAAACTTAAATTTAAAAAAATGATTTTTAATTTTTATTTTTTTATTTATTTTATTTTTGAAATCCATATTTTTTCAAATAGTAGTATATTATTATACAACTATAATTTTTTTATGATTTTTCGTATACATACATATAATAGGAGTGAATATATAAAAGGCAAAAACATTTATTTTTAATTATTAATCCCGATGCATTCGCCATTTTTGCAAATATAGTGATAAATAATAATAAAAATGTTCATTGCTTCTTTTATTAAGTAATTTACATAAATAAAGCGGAATTCTAAGGGTTTACATACATATAATAGGAATAAAAAAATTTAAAAGACAAAAAACATTTATTTTTAATTATTAATCCCGGCGCATTCGCCATTTTTGCAAATATCTTTACATAGAAATGGCGGAATTCTAATGGTTTTGAGGGAGATAAAATCTTGGAATTTTATTTGAACATTAACCTATTTAGTAATTGATTTTTCTATAAAAAGAAAATTTACTACAACCTACAAAGTGTACATATAATATTTTATTAAAGTCCAAAAAAGTTCAAAAAACTCAACAACACTTTTCCAATTATTTTACGACCACAAAGAAATGCCTCTAAAAACATCATTACTGCTGTCAAAAAGGTTTCAATGTAAACATATAAAACAAACATACCTAACAACTATTCACTATCATTAGGTTAAATTAAATATTAATGCATTATTTATTACAATCATTACATGCCGTGAAATATTTCAATACTAGTAATGAAATCCCCCTGTTATTTTTTGAACGGATTTTTTTTTTTAGTGTGAAAAGTGATTAATTTTTCGCTACATTTTAAATAGTTTGCATGTCTAATTTAAATAATTATACATTTATTTAAAAACACGCACCGATTTTAACCAAATTAATTTATTTTACTAATATCTAGAATTCTCACTTTTATAAAATTGCCAATAATGAAAAGTAAACAATACTATACCAAATAGATAATTAATTTTATGAAGGTAAATACTTTTGTAGAAAGTCATTAAACCCTACAAACAAAACAACATGCACACTAGATAATAACAGTTAACATATACATATAAAGAAAACAACAACAATTTATTTAACCAGTAAAAATTGTAATGGTAACATGCGAAGTTATGCGTTTCGATCAATATTTTACGAAGCTTGACCTTTTGTTTATGGCTAAAAGCAATTAGGCGCTAACACAAAAATATTTATTTATCATTCGAATCATTCTGGAAAAAGTTTTCACCAGACTTCTCAGAAACTACCATAGTCGTCCAAAAAAGTTGTACGGGAGAAATTTTCATAATAAAATTTGTTTATTTAATATTACATTTTTATTTATAGAGCATATTTTTTCTTAAAACATTGGTGAACCCTTAATGGCGCCTATTATTAATATTTTTTTTTGCTGTTTTTCGAGATATTGAGCTTTGACTTAATAATATAGAACTACTTTATTTTGGGTTCAATATAGGACAAAAAAGTTCGCACTTTACTTTGGTGGTAAGATTTTTGTTTTTTTGTTAAGAGCATAATAATAATAATAAAAATATTTCTAAAAAGTGTACAGATCAGTGCGTGGTATAAACGTGTTCCTCATGGTTTAAACATTGTCACTTTAATGCGTTTTAATTTTAATTCTGAAAACAAACAGTAAAATTGCCAGTGTCCAATTACTGGTTGGTAAAAAATGTAAATTATTGGACATATGTATGTCCAATATCATACTCTATTTTTATCCCGGACATTTATCAGCCAATTCTTATGTACAATTGTCCCCTGAATCCGAAAAGACCGTCAAAAAATATAAAAGTTAAGCAGTTTTTGAGATATAGTCAGTTCCATATTAAATATAAAATTGATTATATTTCAAAAACTGTTCTACTTTTAAAACTTTTATTCAGCGAATATTATTTCATATGAATTGACTGCTAAATGTCCTGGATAAAAATTGCTGTTGGCGAGAATTATTAGTGGCTGCTTTTTCGCTATGACATTTTTGACTAATTCATTTTTAGAGAGTAAGTAATATAGTGATTTCTTCGTCACAGGACATCTTGCAGAATAACAGTGATTTAAATACAGTGCATGATAGAGAACATACAAAACTAATGGCAACAAAATTAATAAATTCGAAAAATACTTTTAACATATCACCCGAAAAAATATTAGATATATATAAATCATCCTGTTCCGGCCTAAACATTATAAATGCTTCACAAACTAGAGATACCACACTTAATGATATTTGCAATAAACTATTTCAGATCGAGAAATTAGTAGTTACCTTCAGAATCCAGAAAAGGGATGAGGAATCCGAGAAAGAAATATATGAATTATATGATATTTACAAGAACGAAATAAAAAAAATTACCTTAAACAGCAATTTAACTTTAAAAAATATTAAACAATTTATGTTATTTGATGTAATGTTGTTATCTTTATATAAAAATTGTCCAATAACTATGGTCCATGTGTCCAATTACTATATAAAATGTCAAATTACTATACTTTTTTGCATTTTTTTATAAAACCATTATTAAAAATTCAAATATTCTTATTTTTAAGTAAACGTAAATAAAGTTTAAACAAACAAACTATACTTTTTATATTTTTATAAGATAAACAACGGCATATATAAATTTTAAAATGTCCAATAACTATGTGGTATTTAAAAAAATATTTACACTTTTTGACCAAATTTAAGTTTTAGTATTTTTTTTCAAACATAAAACATAAAAGTAACCAACTAAAAACAAATATTTTTTAAATTAATATTTATATTATATAATTATAATATAAAAATGGAAATATTAAAAATTGTACAGAAATTTGCAAATTTGGCGAATGCGCAGGGATTACTCACCTTCTTGTGTACGTTGTTCCAAGCAATTCTCTCCACTTCGTTTTCGCTATAGTTAGCCATGGATTGTTTTAAAGTGTTTTTAAATGTTCCTTGGAAATCTGTCTTATAAACAGCGGCGGCTATGCCACACGCTAACTCGATAACGAAAATCACCAAAAGAAGAACTGCGAACTAAAAAAGGTTTGGATTGAAATTTAGGTTTAATAATACAGGGTGTTCCATAACTCGTGCCACAGATAAAAAGGGAACTCATACTTAAAAATTAAAACCTAGAAATTTTTTATTTTTAAATTTTGCAACCCCATTGTCTCTGTGGCCCGAGTTCTTGGGTTTGGATTTTTAATCGATATTCAATAATAAAATGTTTTTGTTGTGAGAATGACCTATTTTGTCCATTATTTCCTGTACCTACTATTAGTAAATAAATATTCTAAAATTCATGAAAAGAAATAAAAACGATTGAGTAATAAATCAATGTCAGATTTTAACACTTACAAAATTAACTATATTTGACAACAAAAACACATGTATGAAAAACTTTCTGGGTTAATATGGTGAAAGGGGTGGTTTCCATTTTGTTGGGTCGAAAACAAGGCAATTTTTAATAAAAGTATTAAATGGTTTTATATTTATGGAAAATAAAAAACTTTAATTTTTTTTAAACGTAGAATTTTAGTCTTTAGGTAGTTTAGTGGTTTAAAAAAGCGTTTAATTGTCTACACTCGACACTTAAGTAATTGATTATAATAACATTTAAGACCATTCGGGTAGTTTTACAAAATAATTTATAAGGCTAGGAATTCTCTATTTACAGCGTTTGATATCTGTCTGATCTATCTAACCTCACTTTCTACTTTTAATAATTGTACGTTTCATTTATATTTTGACAATCAAATTATGCCTCAATGGTCATTTGAAAAAATACAATTTTTTTTAGATTTAATTAGTCCAAAAAAGAATTTTTTTGCTTAAGGGTGTTACCTCCAAACGGGTAACATTTTTGGGAATTAAATGTTTTAACACCTTAACACTGAAAGTTTCTTACTGATATCAATAGGTTGTAGGACTCTCTGATAGCTCCAAAACAGCCCAAAAAGGCCACAACAAAAACAATAGCTCCGGCTACTATTAAAACTATAGGAGGCCCAAGTAAATCATTATCTGCAAAATGGTGAAAATCGGCCACATCCGATAAAACGACTGCTCCAGCAACTATGATTCCAATACCAGAAATCTGCAAAACAAAACAATGTTAACAGGTGCAAAATGCTCCTACTATCGTCACCTGTAGTCCCTAAACTTAATAGTTATTAAAACAACATGCAATTTTCTCTTCTTGTGAATATTCTTAAAATTAATAAAACAGTGTGTATCAGCCAAATGAAATAAATTTGATAATACATAAATGGAAGCGTGTAAAAATATCCTTCTTTATTGTCAATTTTTTAATATTTCCGAAACAGTTCTTTTTTTCTTATTTGGATTTGTGTTTTTTTATTAGGTTGGTAGCTTATGCCAGTTTGATTTAGTATTTTTAGTATTTAAAAAATGGTACTTTTGCTGAAGACCTTAATTATTATATAATATCGATATAAAAAGATAACTATGCCAAAAATAATATCAGATTCTACACGGAGAGAAATGTATAGTAAATTTTAGATAGTAAAAAAATATAGTAAAATTTACTTTAACAAATGTTTAGGGTAACAAAATTATATATTCGTCAATACAATATTAAGATTGTAATACAAAATACTATTTTTTATTATACAATTTTAGTAAAGATTACAACACCAATATTACTAAATCATAAATGTATAATATATATTTTAATTTTTAATATGTTCGTATAGTAAATTGATTTTACTGTCTACAAATAGTAATATTTACTATATGATTTAAGGTAAATAAACAATATATTTAAATATAATATACAACATAGTAACTCATGACATTTTAAACATTCAATTTTCTTAGTTTCTTCAATAAACTTTCTTGACCCTTTACTGGTAATACTTATAAGAAAGAATTGAACCTACTTGGTTGCATAGTATGTACCGATTGCGGCAAAGGCCACGTCGCGACGCGTCGTTAGACGGTGTGGATCACGTGATGTTCTTACATCTCGCCTCTGTTGGCTTACCAACCATTTTAAATAAGCTCAGGTATTTCTTTGTTTTGGGTGTGTTCCACTACTACAAGTTGCTCGACAGTGTCGTGTCGACACTGATGATACCCAATATAGGTCAAAACACCTGTCTTTCGGTATTTGAAGTTGATGGAACGCACTCAAAACAAAAAAACTTTGTCGAGGTGTAGGTTCAATTCTTTCCCATAACATTTTTGTATATTAAAAAGTACAATAATTATGTTACAATTTTTAATTGTTAATATATAAAAATATACGATTTTAAAATATTTTATATTTAAAATGGCAACATAATATTTTAAAATTTACTATACTTATTAGTAATGGAAAAAATCTAATTATAATAAGAATTAAAAACAAAATTGGTTGAGAATAATAATATTTTACCTTAAGGTTTAAAATACATGGATATTTAAAAATTACTAAATATGCATAGTATCTGGCAATATACCAGATAGTTGTCCCAAATGGTAATAAAAATTATAGTAAAGGGTATTATAATTATGGTAATCAGCATTATACTTTTCTCTCCGTGTATTTAACTACTTTTTGTATTATCAAATTTATTCCATTTTGTAAAACACACTGTATATTTACATAAAGCATTTAATTTTATTATTTATTTTTAGTGCCGACAATAGGATTGTTTACCTGTTTTTTAATTTCAAAAATATATACATATATAAAAAAATTGTATATATGCATGTACTTACCGCAAAAATAAGGTTAAAAACAAACAACAGATATTTAATGAAAGTCATGCCACAGGAGTCCATGACTGTTGTAAAATTTTTTTCGGCGCTTCTGGTTCGACGTCGCGGCGCGTCCTTATATTAACGTGTTGCCGTCAAAACTAAACACAAAGGCGTCGCAAAGCTAAGGACCCAGTTTTACCAAACACGTATTACGCGCAAACATTATGTTTCCATTGGAAACGGGCTTTAACAAATGCACTTCTTTGGCTAGTTATAACATACATATATGTATGTGCGTGCGACTTTTTTGTTTGGTATTCTTGGATTTTCTGGATTTTAAGGCTGTTGAGTTTTATGTTGTTTACAGTGTAAAGTGTGTTAAGTACACGTATTTTAACATAAAATTAATAGTTCGTGTAGTAAAATTTAATTTACGGGTCTATTAGATCATTTATTGGTAAATAATTTTAGTATGATTTTGCCTTTCTTGTTATATGAATTTGCCGTAGTAGTGCAATTAACTGGATTTAACTGATAAAGCATTAAAAATTTTGCCTCGAGTGCCCCTAAAACATTCTCTTCTCTTTTACTGTACAAAACTGCTTTTAAATCAAATGTTAGTCTATTTTCAAGGGATAAATTTGGATTTACACAGAAAAATTTAGACGTTAGACTTTCTGGTCAATTCTCATATAACTTGTTCCGATGCTGTATCCACTTATTTTTGTGAAAACTAATTCTCGCTCAAGGTTTTTTTTTAGTGTAATAAGCATGTAGCATTTCAAGGTAATGGGAACTTAAATTATGGCAACCCTAATCTATTAATTTTTTCCTAAAATGCAGGCTTTTTGTTGCAAATGTCACGTAAGTTACCGGTCACCAACTGCAATATCCTAACATCGATGAATATTTCAACAAAATGGCCGTTCAAACAACTAAGGTTAGTGCTTGATTAACTAAAAATAGACTTAAGATTGACAAAAAATTATTTTATCCGAAATCGGCAGTAAAATAGTCAACAATCGTAAATTAAAATAAATCGGCAGTAAAGTTCAACTTTACTGCCGATTTCGGATAAAATAATTTTTCGTCAATCTTAAGTCTATTTTTAGTTAATCAAGCACTAACCTTAGTTGTTTCAACAGCCATTTTGTTAAAATATTCATCAATGTTAGGATATTGCAGTTGGTGACCGGTAACTTACGTGACATTTGCAACATAAAGCCTGCATTTTAGGAAAAAATTAATAGATTAGGGTTGTCATAATTTAAGTTCCCATTACCTTAAAATGATACATGCTCATTACACTAAAAAAAACCTTGAGCGAGAATTAGTTTTCACAAAAATAAGTGGATACAGCATCGAAACAAGTTATATGAGAATTTACCTTCTAACGGGAATTCCAATAAATACAACTGTCACTTTTTGTATCTTTTAAATTTCCCGTTTAAAGTAATAAAAAAATCAAATTATAAAATATTTTCTTAAAATAATCATATTTTTCATAGTTATTATAAACTTTTCGTTTATAAACTTTTCTATGCACTCATTTAATTAAGCACTCGCTCGCAAGCTGGGTCGTGCATAAATTAAATTCGTGATTAAAATGCCGTTAATCTATTTTGCGTTCATAATGACTTCATTATAACACCGCTTTCGGTGCTGTAATACGATACTTTATCCCACCCAAAATTTTGATTTTATAGGTTGGCTATACTTTCAACAGCATAATATTTTGCATATTGGTTATAATATTTTTATGATTTTTCTAGTACTTACGAGACTTTTCTGGCAATAAATTTTGTTTAACACCAAAGAAAATACTTTTTTCTTCTTTAACATTATTGTAAATAAGTAAATTAAGGACGGCATGGCGAATCGATTTTGACATTAACTGTCAAACCAATGACTGTGATACCAACTATCTAAAGTAAAATTCGACCAAATTAAATTTAAGGTATAAAATTATTTTTTTTTATAGAATTTTTGCAAAATAGGTAAAATAGCATAAAGAACTCATGTCATGAGACCTTTTGTCGCACTTGACAAAATGACGTCTTATGACATTAGTTCTTTAATATACTATTATCAAACTTCATACATAATATGTAAAATTGATTTTAAAACGATAAAAAAGAAAAAGGATATGTCAAAGACATTTTATTAAAAACAAGTGTTGCTAGATTTTAAAATATTTCTAGCAGTTCTAGCGTACGGAATAGGCTAGGAGTGGTAAATAACCAGCAATTAGTTTATTTTTAACATAACTTTTTGCTGTATTTTTCGTATAAATTCGCGATTGTATCTAAGCAAATAACAATAAATAAAATGAGCTCTGTATATAGTCTCTTAACCTAATTAGGTGTCTGTTTAGTTTTCACGCCCTTTTCGGTGGTACATTCATTTAATAAAATTAAAAAGGCCAAATTAGAATAATTAATATCTTTATTGTACCAAAAAACTTCTGCAGAAGATACATAGTATCAGGGGGAAGGAGAGTGGTAGCAATAAATGTTATTTATGCTTTAATGTCACGACACAAAAACAAAGTTCAAATGGAAAATGTAAATAAATTTTTAGTTCGGAAAATCTTTGTTTTAGGATAAATTAATTTTGTAAACCTTTTAAAGTTTTGTTTTTATTGAATTAGTATGTGTGAGATTCTAAACTAAATTATGGTCATTTTAGTTTAACCTGTGTTTTCTTACGATTCAAAAGGAAAAAATTTGAATTGAAAAGTAATATTTAAATAGAAATGTGAAATATTTATTATAAAAATAAAAAGTTTTACTTTCTCTATGAGTCTAACGTAAAATTAATAATCTCTAACCCTGACACACTTTATTCTAAGAATATTTTTTAAACCTTCCAGTGAGAATATTCTTAGGATCATGCTATATTTCTTTTAAAGAACATATTGCTTGATCCTAAGAATATTCTTACTGGCCTATAGGTAGGTTCTTAGAAGGTGCAAAGTTTTAGTGGTAAAAATTAGTATACTCTAAACATATGCTTAGAATGTTAAGAAAGTAATTAGAAAGTTCATTTAGTAATATTCCTGTTAAGCATATTTAGTTCTATATAATAGTAAAATATACCATAAACTACGTAAAAAAAGGTATAAAGGTATAAAGGTATATACCTATACTTAAGTATATTATGACAGTGAGGCGTCTCCTGAAGAATTTTACGAATGTAGAATACAACATATTAGAACGTGGGTATCTAACATATTTGGAAATATTCTCAAAAGCTTCCTAGAAGCTCCATAAGAAACATTCTAAGAACATTCCAAAAACGTATTCTTAAAATGTTCTTAGGATGCTTTTTAGGAAGGTTTTAAGAAGCTTCTAAGAATCTAATTGCATCTTTAAAAGGGTATCTATTGAATGTTTTAAAAGTCCCTAAGAACATTCTTAGCAATAAGGGAAGGTTCTAAGAATATTCCGTTATTCCGGGTCATATCTTCTTAGAAGATTCTTAACATCAAATTTTGCTATCAGGGAATTTGTCCTTAGACAATAAAATAGAGTGCACTCCATGGAGGTGAACAGTTTCATGCATAATTTAATAATATATTGGTAAGAATTAGAGTACCACTTTATTCTCAGACAATGTTGCCATTTAAAGAAAATATGGATCCCCTATCGTTTTAAATAATGATGGTAGAATTTTTTGAACAAGGTGGTATGTGACTTGCGAAACCCTGTATTGTTGAATACATATTTACGTAAAATGAGATATTTAAACGTTAAATAAATTAATGAAGTACAAATTCGTTTCATATTTTTTGTGATTAATAAAAGACTATATATTTTTTAAAAGTTTATTATTAATGGTGGACAAATTTTTACTTTTAAAATCTTTCCCTTTTTATTCCTTTACACATACATATGGCAAAAAGGACTCCCGCAATCTGAAATAAAAAAAACGTAGGTATATATTATTATTTTGTCAATTTACTGATGTTAAAAAAAAAACGTTTTTACCATTATAAAATTATTTTTTCACAATTTTTTCCCAAAATTTGTATAATACTTTTTCTTCGAGAAATTGTTAGTTGAAATTTAGGATTTATTTACCTTTACTATTACAAGACCAAAAGCAATTCCAATAAGAATACCGGCATTACTACTTATAAATTCTTGGATGGTATTAAAACATCCATCCTTATACAGGGTTTTTACATCATTTGCATCTTTGTAGCAAGTTTTTGGAACGGGTTTGTTGTTATGTTCCCAATCAACGTATGAGTTGACTCCACAGCATTTGAACTAAAATTAAAAACTAAAATTGTTTTTTTTTTATAAAAAATAGAATTCAAAAAAAAAAATTATGTAAATTTAAACATTTATCTAACCTAACCAATAGACTGGATATACTTTAAATTAAACAAAACTTAATTGAACAAACAAAATAAAACTTTTTTGTAGATCAACTTTCTCAATTGTTAAACAATATACTATTTTTCTAATGCAAATGCCAAAATTTTCAACTCGCACTAAAATTTCCCTCTTCCAATATCATATTCCTCTAAATTTTAGAAAAAACGAAACATCAGTGTAGGTATAAGTTACTTACTCCCTTTTGAATACCATCCCAAGCATCTTTATCGGGGTTATTCTTGTCTTGTATAGATTTTGTCATTGCATCTTTAAAAGCGTCTTTAAAGTTTTGTTTGTAAAGTGCTGCCATAACCCCAACTGCTATTTCCAAAATTATAACTGCCACAAGAAAAGCTATAAACTAAAAAAAAATGTATGATAGCAATTTATGTGTTATATACATACATAAATGGATGAATCTCACAAAATGTCCCCCGATGGTGTTACCCCGTGATATTTAATAAAACCAAATGAGTTTGACCTACACTTTTATTGTGTTTTGATCTTTCATAATTAATTAGATATTAAAGCTCAGGTTCCAGATTTTTAACCGCAATCAATTATTTTTTACAATATTTTAAGTCTAAAACCTATCCTCCGTGACTGTTACTCTTTCTAGGTTAACCTATAAGTTTGTTTTCAAATATCTGAGGTAGTAAAATCATACTAAAAATATCAGTTCACTAAGTAAATTAAACACATCCAAAGCAGTCGAATCAAATATAAAATATTATTAAAAATTAAAAAAAATAATTTTTATAACCACTTATACATATAGCTGTTACAAAAATTGATTCTATCCTCCGTGAATCTGTTTTTTCTTTAAATTTTATGCAACGGTTGGCGCTTTAATCATTTTAAATAAGCAAAAACCTCTGTTTACGACATTATAGATGCATGTGATTCCTGAAGGTCAGTTAGAATTTATATGCAGATGAGAGTGTTGCTGTTTTATAATTCAAAAGTTTAAGTTCATTAATTTGCTATTTAAAAATCTATCCACCGTGAAGTGTAATATCTCAGGAGGTCGATTTTTTTTATAAATATTTTATGTATGTACAATTGTATTTTTTTTTAATATTAAGGTGTCAAAAGATACAATAACTTATTTCAAATATAAGAAGGGATGTTTAAAAAAAACATACAAAATTCTAACCTCCGTGAAGTTCTAATATTCAAAATGTATGATTTCTTAAAATTCTTGCATTAGTGCAGAACCACTTATGTTATGTTATTACTAGACCTGGTGGCTTCCCAAAAACCCCATTCTAGACCAACAGTGAAACAACCAAAAATAAAAAATAATTATTTTCACTTGGGGGACATCTTAATATATTCACCCAAATACCAAATTTTAAATTCTGTTTTTTTTAAATTTATAGTAAAAATATTACTGTATTCAGCATGCAACGACTTTCTCTCTTGGCTCCACAGCACCCAAAAAATGATATTACGAATATTATGACTCCAGTTGCAATCAAAATTCCTGATGAGTGGATAATCCCTGTATCCAAGAAGGTTTTAACATCTTTAAGGCTTGTCAAAATGTATGCCCCAACACCTATAAAGGCTATACCAATAATCTGAAAAGAACAGTAATAGTATGTTAAATTTTTTTATTTATCTAATAAAAAAATATAATATAGTTTTATACTTTTATTTATAATTGTTATCGTTTTCAATGCAAAACGTATTTTTAAACATAAATTAACATAAATTATTGAAACAACACTATTTAAATGAAGTCAACTTTGGGAAGAAAAAAAATTGCATAATACATAATACAGTACCCGTTCTTGGTCTTTTACCGTTGAATGAAGACTTTCTCAACTCTTTTCTCAATTATTTTTAGTTTTTCGAATTAAAAAGAGTATCAGGTGCTTCTTTATGAACCTTAAGGCCTACCCATTGTAATATATGACACAACACCTTGTTTACTAGATGCATAGAGGAATAACTTATAAAAATATAATATTTCATCAATTTCTTGTCAGCATGCGAATGGTTACAGTTAATAATATCTTGTACAAAATCAGAAAGCTAGATTTTAAAAGAAAATAATTGTTATTTGAGATAGGCTGTTGCTATTCGTTCGATTATTGTCTGTGGATTATTGGATGAGTTAAAAATATGATGACGTCAACAGGTGGGGGGGGGTGGGGGGTAGAGGGGAATTCCTAAACGGGCAAAAATGTGGTAATTCCCATATTCTGTGTTTATCTACATCTACATATTATCTCTAAAAATGAATTAGTCAAAAATGACTAATTTAATAGTTATTAGTGGCTTCTTTTTTACTTGTACCATGGTTAACCATGGACCATGGTAGCACAAAATTTAACAGCCAATTCTTATGTAAAATTGTCCCCTGAATCCGAAAATACCGTCAAAAATTATGAAAGTAAAACAATTTTTGAGATATAGTCAATTCCATATTAAATGGAAAATTGACTATATATCATTTTTTAACTCTAATAACTAATAAATTACTAATTTTTGACTAATTCACTTTTAGAGAGAATATATTTAATAACAACTAATATTAATCAATATTTTTTTTATAAAAAAAACTATAATACTTACACAAAACACTATATTAAACACAAATAAAAGTAATTTAATAAAGCTAAGGCTGCACGATTTCATTTTCTATTTTAAATAATAAATATAAATAAAAAAGCAATTATCTTAATAGACGCACTTATTCAACACACCACAGCAAAAATATTTCTGTTGTTTTATATCTTTGTAAGTATACCCAGGTTATCTTATCTATTGATATTTATTCAAAGTAGTTACGAACCAGGTATTTTTGAAAAAAAGTTTTTATTAGGTATAGTGTTTATTATTTGAAATGATTCATAGATACATAGATTATTTTTAAGTGTTATTATTAAGTTTTATAAGTGTATATAGATTACTCTGTGGTAGTTTTTAAAACATTTTTTTTTTGTATTCCATGTAATGGCGCCACTCCACTTAATTTTGGTATGAAAAACCCCTCATTTTGTAATGTTAACTTATTTTTATATATTTTTTAAAAAATGTGAAAATTTTTAGATAATATTAAGTATTTGTCCTAGAAAAAGTATAATATACATCTCGTTTATAAACTCATTTAATTAAGCACCCGCTCGCTCGTCCCTAAATTAAATTCTTGACTAAAATGTCGTTTATTAAACTTGATACATAATATACTATTAAGAAATTTATTCCATCCAGATTTATATATTTTAAAAAGGATTTTTTTATCTTATTTTAGTGAAACTTTGACGCATAGGTTTAGGCCAAAATCACCTTAAAAATGAGTATGACCATGGGATTTCTTAATATATCAAAGTGTGTTTAGATTATAACTTAAATGAGTAGGCTTGATACAAGTAAACAATAGAGTATTATTCGTGTATGTTTAATATGTATTTATATTTGAAAAAAAAATATATTTTCAGGGGGGTTATAAACTATTATTCTTCTGTAATCAATATATTTAAAAATTTATGTTTTTTCATTCCAACAACCAAACATCTGGATAAGAATATTCCCAAAACCTAGAAATGATAATAAATAACAATAAAAATTATTTCAGTTAATTTTTAGTTACTTTAATTAAAATAAGCCCGAATGTGATACCAATAATTGTGGTTGCTTGGCCTTCCAAATATTCTTCAACCCGATTATAACAACCATATTCGTGAAGTATTTTTTCGTTGGTTCCTGTTACGTTGTCATAGCAACTGTTGGGTACCTTATCGCCCCAATCTTCGACACTATCCACTCCGCAACATTTAAACTAAAAAAATATACAACAATATATAGTTGTTTAACCAACTTGGGTAACCAACAGTTATGTTTCGGTTAAATCAGCATAAACTGCCAAGGAGATTGTAAAAAAGTGAGGTTAAATCTGTCTGACAGTTTTCGGATAAAATATTAATACAGTGTGCATCTTACTTGAAATTGGGTGCGTTTCCAACATTTTGTTGTAGCGGGGGTTGGATTTTTTATGGATTTCATTAAAATTTCTTTAAACCCATTCCTAAAATTTTGATTGTAATATGCTGCTAGAGATCCTGCCACCATTTCCAATATTAAAAGACAAGCTAGGAATGTCGTAAACTAAAAATGTACACAATATTTATTTAGGTATTGAATTGTTTATAGTACGAGGTGTGTTCAGAAAATAACGGGAATTATTAAATTTCGCGGGTTCGGAGGGTCCGGTTGTCATAAAATTTTCTTTATTATGTTGGTATACATGCCCCCGAAGTATGATAAAAACTTTAGCTGTTTTCATTGTTTACTTTGTCTGTGGCAGCCGCTAAGGTTAGACGTGTTTTATGAGCTCGGCGATTTTCGTTCGTTAAAAGAAATGTATCAAAGAATTTGTATCCAATTTTGCTTAAAAAATGAAATAAATTCTGCGAAATGTTAAAAAAAGGCCTATAGTGAGTCTGCTATAAGTAAAACAAGAGTTTACAAGTGGTATAAGAGTTTCCAAGATGGCCGTGAAGACGTTGAAGATGACGAACGCCCCGAACGCACAAGCACATTAACAACCGATAAAAACATGGAAAAAGTGGAAGAAATGGTTATAAACCATCAGAGAAGTCGCTGATGATGTTGGTATATCGATTGGCTCATCCCATGAAATTTTTTCGAATGTTTTGGGTATGAAACGCGTGGCAGCAAAATTTGTTCTAAAATTGTTAAATTTTGAACAACATTTTGGCCAAAAACAATACTGTAATGATACCCCAGCCTCCATATTCGCCAGACATGCCTCTGTCTGACTTTTTCCTATTCTCAAAAATAAAGAGAACCTTAAAGGGCCGTCATTTTGCAAGCATAGATGACATTAAAAGCGCATCGCTGAAAGAACTAAAGGCTATTCCAAAGATCGAGTTTTAGAAGTGTTTCGAGTATTGGAAGAAGAGCTGGCACATGTGCATAATATCCAATGGGGACTATTTTGAAGGCGACAACATTAATGTAGACGAATAAATAAATATTTGTTCCTGATATTTTCTGAACACACCTCGTATGAATAGGTATATATTAATTAGTTTTTACCGTATTAAGTAATGTGATTTTCTTTTTGGCGGCGCCACAACATCCTAAAATTGAGATCGCAATAATAATATAACAGGAACAAAAAATAAATAACGATGAATATTTAAGTTCCTTTCCATAAAGTATAGAACAACTTGACATAGTGGCATACACTAAACCTCCTATAATGCCAAGAACGAACGCATTTATCTAAAATTTATAATAATAAATAATATTAATAACAATACATCATTTTGTTTTACTTACAATAAATGCCACATTAAAAGCGATTAACAATCCTTTCACAAAATTAATGCTGTAAGATTTCATTGTGACGTTCAAATAATAAATATAACATGTATTTTAAAAAGTGCCAGATAGTGAATAGAATTATATTTTACATTATAAGTAGTTTCATAATAATATAAAAAAAAATATGAAAATATTATTTTTTGAAGTAAGATAGGTATTATCTAAAAGTAAGTAAAAAAAATGTCTATACACAGTGCTTGTTTTTACTAAACTATTTATCACAAACAACTATAATAAACTTCAGTGAATCTCACGAAATGTGTTTTGATCTTTCATAATTAAGTAGATATTACAGCTCAGGTTCCAGATTTTTAACCGCAATTTATTATTTTTTACAATGTTTTAAAAGTCTAAAACCTATACTCCGTGATTGTTACTCTTTCTAGGTTAACCTATATGTTTTCAAATATCTGAGGTGGTAAAAGCATACTAAAAATATCAGTTCACTAAGTAAATTAAACACATCCAAAGCAATCGAATCAAATATAAAATATTATTAAAAATTAAAAGAAATAATTTTTATAACCATTTATGTAGGTGTTGAAAATTGATCCTATCCTAAATAAGCAAAAACCTCTGTTTACGACATTATATAATGCATGCACATGTGATTCCTGAAGGTCAATTAGAATTTATATGCAGATGAGAGTGTTGCTGTTTTATAATTCAAAAGTTTGAGTTCATTAATTTGCTATTTAAAAACCTATCCACCGTGAAGTGTAATATCTCAGTAAGTAGATTTTTTTATAAATATTTTATGTATGTACAATTGTATTTTTTTTAAATATTAAGGTGTCAAAAGATACAATAACTTATTTCAAATAAAAAAAAACATACGAAATCCTAACCTCCGTGAAGCTCTAACATTCAAAATGTATTTCTTAAAATTCTTGCATTAGTGCAGAACCACTTATGTTATGTTATTACTAGACCTGGTGGCTTCTTTAAAACCCCATTCTAGACTAACAGTAAAACAACCAAAAATAAAAAATAATCATTTTCACTCAATATATTCACCAAATTGTATACTGTGACATATACATAACATATTATTTTAACTTACTTACTTAGATAATTTTGTACCTATTTTAAGATTATCAATTTTTTATATTATTATGAAACTACTTGTATAAGATAATTCTATACCCATGTATAAAATACATAAATGTATATATAAAATATTTATTATTTGAACTTCACAATGAGATCATATAGCGTCAATTTTGTGAAAGGTTTGTTGATTGCTTTTAATGTGGCATTTATTGTGAGGATAGCAAAAAATTGTGTTGTTATTAATATAATTGTTATTTTAAATTTTAGATAAATGCGTTTGTTCTTAACTTCATAGGAACATTTATATATGCCAATTTATCGAACTGTACCATATTTTATGAAAAGGGACTTGTAAATTCATCCGTACTTGTTTTTTGTTCTGGTCTGGCTGTTTTTGTGATCTCTATTTTAGGATGCTGTGGAGCTACCAAAAAGAATATTATATTACTTAATGCAGTAAAAAGTTAATAATACATGGGAAGTGATATGGGTAAATCGCCAGTGCACTACTACTATCTGGCTTGATTTTCTCATTTCAGGTCACATAATTTTAATAAATAAATAATTTATCGTTTTTAGTTTACAACATTCCTAGCTTGCATTTTGATAATGGAAATATTGGCTGGATCTATGGCAGCATATTACAACCAAAATTTTAGAGCTAAGTTTAAAGAAATTTTAAAGAAATCCATAAAAAATCCAACCCCAGCTGAATTTACTTGTTGGAGGCGTATGCAAAATCACGTAAGAAGCTATATAAGTGTTATAAAGAGGCTTTATTATTATTATATTAATATTTTCAATCCTATTGTATATTATTGACATTATTTGGGTTTTTCCATAAATAATGGTAGCCATTATATCTAATAAAAATTTTTAGTTTGAATGTTGCGGAGTGGACAGTATCGAAGATTGGGGTGATAAAGTACCCTACAGTTGCTATGGCAACGTAACTGGAACCAACGAAAAAATACTTCATAAATATGGTTGTTATCATCAACTTGAAGAGTTTTTGGGAAACCAAGCAACCAATATTATTGGTATTACATTTGGACTTATTTTAATTAAAGTAAGTAAAAATTAACTAAAATATGTTTTATTATTATTTATTAACATTTGTAGGTTTTGGGAATATTCTTATCGAGATGTTTAGTTGTTGGGATGAAAAAAAATAAATTTTTGAATATATTGATTACAGAAGAATAATATTTTCTAACTACCCTAAAAACATATTTTTTTATAATATACCTAAATACATATTAAACGTATATTCTGTTGTTTATATTTATATATCAAACTCAATTATATATCAAACTCAATTATTTGCGGTATTAGTAGTCAAAATTTTGAAATAAACCTATAAACACATTTTGAGGTATGTTATAACATTTAATAGATTTTTAAATATTTTAATTATAATAATAAATGACATCAACAATTACCTATGTATTTTAATTAAAATTATGTACAATAATTTAACAATTATTTGTGCAAAAATTTGTTGATTATGTAAATAAATTTTAAAGTCTAAAATAATTTTCGTACATTTATTTTATTAATCACAAAAGAAAGTACACTATTTTCTACAAATTAAATATGGTACATATAAATTTTTGATTGAATTTTTTATAAAAAAACTAAAATTTTGACTAAGCGTACTATCATTCCTTATTTTTTATTGCTGATGCCAACCAACATGCCAAAATAATACCAATAATCTGAAAAAAAAATAAAAATATCAGTTTATCGTTTGTAACATATTTCAACTTTAAATCAAAATTTATTGATTCTATCCATCTACATTTCTTTTTCTCCGGTTCATAAACTATATTTGTTGATCGCGTTAAATTTGGCAACACCGCTTAATAGTGCAAGAAGATTTACTGAAAGTATCCTGAAGATATTTAAAAATTTCCAAGTACTAATATAATGCAAAATGACTTAATAAAGGTATCCTAAAGATCTTAAAAATTACCAGATTCTGGGAATCTTTGTAAATTTGACAACACAGCTACATAGTAGGGTGATTCATTTCCGCAAAGTTTTTGTTTTCTTCGGTGCTCAAGCAAAATATTAATCTGCATATAGAAAAAAATATTCTCACCAAGTTTGAGCTCTTAATATAAATTTTAAGTACTTACTATTTAAATTTAAAGTTTTACCGTTTAAAATGCATGTAAAAAATATATTTTTTTTTTCAAATTTCTAATGCTTACCCACCTTTGACAATATTGCAAATCGGTTTAATACACCTTATGGGGAATTTCACGCTCTTTAAAATTGCTTTTGAGTTTTTTTTTGTAACTCGCATTGGTTCACCAGTAGGAGTCGTCAAAGGACAGTTTTTGAAAAAAATCGTTTTTTTTTTAATTTATTTCTAACAAACCGCAAAAAGTAGGGAGAAAAAAGGGCTGAATTATAAAAAATGTTATCCAACCAATATTTTATGAATTTACAGCCATTTTTATAACTGAAAACGTAAGAAATTGATAATTACCAACTCATAATGTTATTTAGATTGATTTTTTCTATTTATTATCATTATATTTCCCTACACTAAGAAGTTTTTTAAAATTATTGATTTCTCACTTATAATGAATATGAAAACAACAGATAAATTCATAAAAAAACAATAAGAAAATTGTAACGTGGATTTTGCAATTTTTCAACATTTCTGTCATATAGCAAAAAAATATAAATGAAGATTATTTAATTTTTTGAAGCGAAATTTGAAATATGTTACATAACCTTCTGTATATTCCGATTAAAGTTTTGTTGTTTTTTTATGAATTTATGAAAAAAAAATATATTTTTTACATGCATTTTAAACGGTAAAACTTTAAATTTAAATAGTAAGTGCTTAAAATTAATATTAAGAGCTCAAACTTGGTGAGAATGTTTTTTCCTATATGCAGATTAATATTTTGCTTGAGCACCGAAAAAAAACAAAAACTTTGCGGAAATGAATCACCCTACTACATAGTGCAAGATGATTTTTGATGTTTGAAAATTCCTAATTTTCAACAAATACTTTTGTTAATGGGTATACAAAAAGGTTTGTAAAAATAAGGTTCTTTTTGAAATTACAAGAATTATGGTTGAGTTATTGACAAAGTACCTGGATTAACAAAAAATCTGGCTAATATTTGATTAAATTAAAATTGTAGAATTTCATTCATGATACAAACAACATTTCATTCAAACCTTGCATACTTACTTCAATAAAGGCGATTCCAATGCCAACTCCGATTAGGACTTTCGAAGCCTTATCAGCTTTGATTTGCAATTCATCGAAGCAACCGTAGGAATAAAGGTAATCTGATCCAGGGACGGCGTTTCTGCAGTGAACTGCAGTGGGAGGATCTGCTCCTTCGCGTACTGCGTGACAACAGGATAAAGGACGCTTGTCCTGCCAGTCGTTGGGCCCTTCCACACCGCAGCATTGCAACTAAAAACGAATAATTTCATTTTTTAAGCTTAGAAATATATTTCTATAGGTTAATATTTATAATGAAAATCATAAATGTCCTAACCCTGATAGCACAGTTTATTCTAAGAATGTTTTTTAAACCTTCCATTGGGAATATTCTTAGGATCATGCTATATTTCTTCTAGTCATGTTCTAAGAATGTTTTTTAAACCTTCCAGTGAGAATATTCTTAGGATCATGCTATATTTCTTCTAAAGAACATGCTTAACAGAAATATAGCATAATCCTAAGAATATTCTCACTGGCCTATAGGCAGGTTCTTAGAAGTTGCAAAGTTTAGTGGTAAAAATTAATCCACTCTAAACATACATATGCTTAGAATGTTGAGAAAGTAATTGATATAGAAAGTTTATTTAGGAATATTCCTGGAACATTTTGTTAAGCATATTTAGTTCAGTTAGGTACCTATATAATAGTAAAATATACCATAATCTACCTAAACTTAGTATTAAATACTAAGTAAAAAACACAATCCAAAATATTTTAGTATAGTTATTTTCAAATTAAAACAATATTTGAACAAAAATACTTTTACTATAGGTATCTAAATTATCCGGCTTTTACATAAAATCTTCTATCCAACTTAAATACAATAAAAAATGTTTTTTTATGAAGAACTATTTGGTTTTTTCTTTTATGAAGAATTATTTTATAAGGAAATATTTTGTTTTTTTATATTTTATTTTATGTTAAAAATAAATATTTATTAATTTGTATACCGATTTTTTATTTCTGAATTAACATTTTTATGTATAATAATCCTAACTATCTTCAACTTCAATCTAATCTGACTTATCCCACAAAATTTTCCAATTTTACTTTTTATGAAATAATGTCATACAAATTGTTTATTTAATATTTTTAAATAAATATATATTAATATGTCGCAAATTTTTTTAAGGGGACGACAAATACATTTCACTGTCATATTATGAGAGTGAGGCGTATTTGTCGCCTCCTGAAGAATTTTACGAATGTAGAATCCAACATATTAGAACGTGGGTATCTGACATATTTGGAAATATTCTCAAAAGCTTCCTAGAAGCTCCATAAGAAACCTTCTAAGAACATTCCAAAAACGAATTCTTAAAATGTTCTTAGAATGCTTTTTAGGAAGGTTTTAAGAAGCTTCTAATATAAGAATCTAATTGCATCATTAAAAGGGTATCTATTGAATGTTTTAAAAGTCCCTAAGAACATTCTTAGCAATAAGGGAAGGTTCTAAGAATATTCCGTTATTCCGGGTCATATCTTCTTAGAAGATTCTTAGAATCAAATTTTGCTATCAGGGTTGGTTAATGTTTTTACATAGATTCACAGTCTAAACGTCTTGAATAGAACTTTCTTTAAATCGTAATTTTTCGTTGTTATTTCCTTTGTATTTAGTGTTGCGTGCGTGTGATGATGCAATCAAAAATTTGCTATCGATATTTCGCGAAAAAGCAGGTCAGGCCAGCGAAGCGATCATATTATTGCCTTAAGTAAAGAAAAAACAGGTGACCACTGTCAAAGCAGTGGCGTATCAGAATAGAATTTAGAAATAATCTTAATTTTTATTTTATAAAATCCATAGATTGTACTTCATATAACAAAACAAAAACCAGACTATTTACCTACCTAAGAATTGCGTCCATAAATCTCTTGACGTTCTACGGGGGAGGGAGGTTAAAACATCACGTGACAAAGTCAATCCAATGAGATTGATAATTTGTTCAATTTTACTTTCAATTAATATTTTAAGAATGTCAAATTAAAAATGTTATTTTAATAGTTTATTTATTATTTAAATCAGTATATCAACACTAAACGTTTATTGAATAAATATTGTTAAGAAATTTCATCAAATTATTTTTCTATTAGTTAAATAAATAGTGTTTAAAAAAACCTATTTTTTTTCAAAGAACATTGAAAAATCGTCAGAGTATCTCTAGTAAACGACCCTGTGAAAATATGAGCTCTTAATATTAATATTTTGTAATTTTCTATTTCCCATTTAAATAACATGGGAAATTTTGTTTTCAAACTTTGGAATTTTGTAACGTGATAACAAGCTACTTTATAAGTAAGACAAAATTACCCCTTATAGGAAATTGAATGCTCTACAAAAAAGGTCTGATTGACATTTTGCGTAAGTCAAGCCGTTTCAAAGATATCGAGCCTCAAACTTCAGACTGTTTAAAATTATGCTTTTTTTCTTAAATACAAAAAAAAATTATTAATATGTATTAAAAACCCAAAATTATTAACTTGAATGATATTTTTCATATAGTAAACTACGTATTTGTGTCATAAATAAGAGGGTACCTACCCTACGTGTTTTCATAAAATAATAAAGCTACGATTAATAAATAAATAATTCAAAGCAAAGTAGTAATCAATAATACTTAGTCAAGAAAAAAGTTTTGCCCATTACATTCAACGAAATGTACATAAATGAGGTAAGTAACGTTGTTTTTGTTTTGGGAAAAATATTGTTAAATACCATTATTATTAATATTGATGGCACGCAACCAAAATTCGTTTTGATGTAATAGGAGTTGCATAAATTAGTACCCATTTCTTTAAATTATTTTTTTAGTTTATTTCAATGTTTTACACAAAATCATTTTATAAAAAAAAAACGTAAAAAACTATTTTAAACTTCTTTACCTTTGATTGTAAATTGTCCCAAGCAATCCTGTCAGGTTTGCTGATTTCGTAATTTTCCATAGATTTGTTCATTAACTCCTTTACTCCAGAATGAAACTGACTTTTATAAACTGCCGCAGCTATTCCAACTGCCAATTCCATTATAAATATTATTAAAAGACAGAGTGCAAACTACAAAAAAATCCAACAGGTTATTTTGACAAAAACTTGTACATATACATATACTCGTATTAGACTATATTAGACTGGGTCAAAAAATCAACTATTTTTTTTTGAAAAGTATATCGAAAATATGGTTTGGGGTGACAAAAAAATTATTGTGAAAGTTTGAGTCCATAATATTAATTTTAAGAGGTCCATCATCGCAATTTTAAATTTTTTTTCCTCAGCAAGTTTTTGTCTCAGAACTCCCAAACTATTGAGTTTAATAAAATTGACTCGAAAATATTTTTTTAAGAAAATTAAATGCTCTACAAAAAAGGTTAAAATGAAATTTTCCGTCAGATGAACCGTTTCCTTAAAATCATGGCTTTAAAAATTGGTATAGATTTACATTTTGATCGTTTAACTTTGGAATTTTGTAATTCATGTAAAAATCAGTACCCAGAAAAAACCGATGAATATTCTTATGGGAAATCAAATGCTTTACAAAAAAGCCTCTTAACATTTTTGGCTAAATGCACTTAATCAAAAGTTATTCAAGGTTAAAGTTGAAGTCAAAACGAAATTCTTGTTTTTTCCTCTGTAGATTATTTTTTTATGGGTGATAATTTGATTTTTTTCTTTATAAATGTGTATTATATAACTAATTAGCAATTTCCAATAAAAAACAACATAATTGTTATTATTTAAACGATTAAATAGGTAACATTGAAAATTATATTTTCTAAAGCGAAAAAACTCTAATGTGTTATTTTTTTTTAATTTTCAGTAATTTTATAAATAACATATAATAAAGATTATCATCGATAAAAGAATTCAAGTTTTAAAAATGTAAAGCGAAAAAAAAAAGAATTTCGTTTTGACTTCAAATTTAACCTTGAATAACTTTTGATGGAGTGAATTTAGCCAAAAATGTTAGAAGACTTTTTTTGTAGAGCATTTGATTTCCCATAAAAATATCTATCGGTTTTTTTTCGGGTACTGATTTTTACATGAAATACAAAATTCCAAAGTTATAAGATCAAATTGTAAAACTATAGCAATTTTTAAGGCATGATTGTAAGAAAACGGTTCATCTGACGGGAAATTCCAATCAAACCTTTTTTTAGAACATTAAATTTTCTTCAAAAAATATTCTTAAGTCAATTTTGTTAAACTCAATGGTTTGGGAGTTCTGAGACAAAAACTCGCTCAGGAAAAAAATCTAAAATTGCGATGATAGACCTCTTAGAATTAATATTATGGACTCAGTCTAATGTATGTATTTATATACTTACCGCCATGAGCATTTGATAGGATTCCCTGATGGCCCCGTAACATCCCAGTGACGCTACCAGGAAGACTATGCAACCCGTAACTATCAGGACAACAGGAGGAGCAAGAATCTTGCTCTCCATAAAGTGACTATACTCCCCCACATCTGAAAGGACCAATGATCCTGCTACTATCAAACCTATCCCTGAAATCTAAAAGAGTATTTTAAAAATATAAATCATTTATTTGTATCTATAATTATCCTAAACTAAATAAAACATTTATTAAAAATTGTTATGTAAATGCTATAAAGATTATAAGATTTAATTCATATTAATAAAAATAAAAAAATAATAATAATATAAACGAACAAAAAGTATTAAAGAAATTATAGAAAGTTATAAAAAATGTATGTATTTGAAAATTAGCATACAATTTTAAGGTAACAAATAAAACTTTAATTAATATTAATTAAAATATCATAATTTTTCAAATTAAATATTTTTTATCATTTTATATAAACTTGTATTAAAAAACAACTACTTACCGCAAAAACCAAATTAAAAACAAACAAAACATATTTAATTAAACTAAGCTCGCAGCTTTTCATTTTTCCTATTATTATATACACTCCCTTCAATAGTAACTAAGAAACTATTCCCAAAGTACCCCTTTAAAGCACATCTCAAAGTATTTAACCCCTGGGATGAAACAACCCCTTGCCATTGGTCGAATTTGTTTACTGTGACTTCGTCGCCAGGCAACACGCTTTCTGCGATATTTCAATTGCTGACGAATCAAATTAACGCTTATGGACAAAAGAAGATCTTATCGCGGTTTAGTGCTAATATTTTTTTTGCTATTTAAAAAATTACTTGAATTTATTGTTGGTTTTTGTAACCCACTTATACCATTAATGAAGCAAAAACAAAACAAAAAACATTTATTTATAAATATAAATATTGAGCAATACAAAACATTTATTCAATTTAATATCACAAATTATTTTCCATTGGAATTATCTTGCGCCATTCTGGTGAGGTTGGTGAAGCTGGAAATTTTGGCGATGCCACCAACATTCAGCTTCAATCTGTACTGGTTCACCATTTTCTTTTTCAACTTGTCAGGAACCACCATTATTGTGGTGGCTGTGTTACCGATGAATAGCACTATGAACAATACTATTATGGCGGGAACATGCCAGGTGAAGTCGTAGTATCTACATAGATTGATCAATCTGAAAGCGTTGGCTAGTTGGATGAAGTAGGCTATGAAGAGGAATGGTAGCAAGAAGGATAGACCCCTCCACATCCATTTGTGGAACCCTTCGATTGTTATATCCATGGTATTATCTCTTTTTCCTAAGGCTTTAAGTCTATATAATTGACCTTTTTGGTATTGGAATAATAGGTATTGAACCAAGCACACATAGATATTGTAGCAGTAAAACTGGTATCTAAACGTTAACCATATTTGATCGCTGGGCCATGTAAGTAGTATGGCTGATAAAGCTATGGAGAAGAGGTGGTGGACCCTCCACCATCCTCTGATTTTGGAGCCGTTTACCTTCAGAATGGTCTCACGAACTGTCAGTGTACAGTAATACCAAACCAAAAAGAAAAAATATAGTAGCTCTAAAGGTCTAAAGTACACCTGTAGGTTTATTAGTATAACTATAAAGCAAGCTATGTGGGATATCAACTTGAACTCCTCAAAATCATCTTTGTAACGAAGTTTGGCCTCTTTGTTTAGAAATGAGACATCTACATTACCCAAAATTACTCTTAGGTAGGTAGCGCCGAGTCTTGGTAGGGTGGTTTCTATGTTCTGTAGGTCTTCTTCTCTTTTTAGCATGTCGTTTTTCAACTCCTGTATTTTGGTGTCGTTGCTATTGTTATTCCTCTCATAATCCTTCAAATTTTTCGACAAAACTCCAATCCTATATCTCTGATGGGTGATTTGCTTCAAGCAGTTCTGTTGAAGATTATTCAGCTCACTTAATTTCCCCAAATATACTTCATTTTGTTTTTCTAGAGCCTTGTACTCGCTTGCCAATTCTTCCCATTCTTCGAACACACTTTCAGCCATGATGCAAAACTTTCACCGTGTCATTAGCAACGATAGAACTAAATATTAAACTGATACGTAGTTGATATCACGATAACATGATTTATACACTTTGCACTGACACTTAATACAATAATTGTTACAATGGAACCTTGTTTATGTGTCTAAGGTCAAGCACATATGATGTTGCACCTAAATTTCACTTGTATTACTGCGGCCACTAGTAGACTATATGCTGTCCCCTCTTGATTTAATACAAGCGTTTTTTATTTGGTCTGAATTTCAACTTTCGATTTTTCGACTTTAGTAGCCAGCGTTCATTGTATCATAAATTGTATCACGTAATATTAATTTATGATTCATTTACTTAAATAATGATGAATATATTAACAATATCATATCTAAGTGGGCCAGCCTTATTTTAATTTCTTGAATATAATATTTAAAATATTTTACATAGTTACGAGTTTTATTAAACACAAGATAAGCTTGCGAGCGAGTGTTTAATAAAAACGAGTGTCTAGAGAATTTTAAAAAACGAGTTGCATTCTATACTTTATCTACAACGAACACAAAAAAGAATTTAACGCCAATTTTATTTGTTAAACATTTAACATTTGTCAAACTGTCAACGTCAATGTATTGTATGTATTGTATGTATGTATTGTATGTATTGTATGTATTGTATGTATGTATTGTATGTATTGTATGTATTGTATGTATTGTATGTATTGTATGTATTGTATGTATTGTATGTATTGTATGTATTGTATGTATTGTATAAATAAAATTGGAATTAATAATTAAAAAAATATCAACAAAAAAAAATTTACTTTTTAAATTGTATGGGTATAAATTCTCTTTAACTATCACAAAAACACCAAAAATGCATGAAATAAAAAAAAACATTTTTAATTTTTAATTCAACACTGTAGCTATAAATATAAAATAAAATTGCATTTGCGTTTTTTTGATGTTCTTATACCTATATAGTTTAAAAAATAATAGTTAAATTTACCAACTATTTTCTTTATTATTGATTATAGCTAGGTAAATATGTTTTCTTTCTTAACTTAACTCTAACAAATTCACTAAGGTTATTTTTGTTAATGATTCTCAAGAACCATTTTTTAGATCGCGTGCCGTGTTTTTACTTTTCTCAAGAATAGAAATATTCATACAACAAACAATAAATTTTCGAAAGGTCAACTGTATAGGCAAGACAATGGTTTGTTAACCCCTGAAGTAGGCGTATTAAAATACACTGAGAAAAAATAGTTTTACATAGTTTCTAATCGATAGGTATATTTACTTTTATTACTTAAATTTTGTCTGTCAAAAAATTTCTTTGTTTTGTAAAAAACAAAAACAGTTTATGCTTTAACTTAAAATATGAGGATACCATTTAACCATATTTTGTCCGTTATTATGGGACACCCTGTATATAGATATACGATCGTGTTAATTTTAAAGGAACGTAATTTCCAAAAATAGCCCTTGTAGTTATTCGCGAAAATGTCATAAAACTGAGTGGTCATTTTCATTGTTCGTGTAGGGTAAATGGTACATTTAAATTATTCAGATATCGATTAAAACTTGGCGTTATAGAATATAAGTAATACGAATCATCGTTTCATGAATAAAATAATAAGAGATAATTTTGGATCGATTTATTTTTAGGGACGTGTTCATTTTTAATTGGGTTGTATTTATTAATAAATAAATGTTGGTTTTATAAAAATATATTAAGAGTAATTATAAAACATAATAAGTTGTGTTAGTCATAGGTTTATAAAGTAGATTAATTTACATTATTAAAAAATATACAGTCGTTAATATTGTAAGAAATGTTCCCATGTTATTGGAATATAACATACTGCATCCTGAGTTTGGTGGATCTACCCTAAAAATAAAAATAAAAAAAAGTAAAAATTTTGTTGTTATTTTTGGTGCGCTACTGGGATGAATAATCATGCAATCAAATTTAAATAGCGTTGAAACTGCCTACAAAATTATATAGTTATGTCTCTACAGGAAAATCAAATAGAAATTAGTTCTATTTATACACTATTTTCATTAATAAAGTGGCTATTAGATATTGTTAACTTAATAACAACAAAAGCTTGTAAATATTTGTTATAACTGACAATTAGTTTTGGTGGTATATACCACCAAAACTAATTGTCAGTTATTTATATAAAGCATTTTATTTTGAAAAACGCTGTATTCCATATTCCATATTTTTCACTTAGATTGCTACTTGAATAACTCAAACAAGGAAACTAAAATTTAAACGGTTGACAGATGTATTTTCGTAAGTAATATCATAAGGGCATTTAATTTTTCCGAAAAGAATCGAAAAAAACACGTTGCTAAGTAATATTTTAACAAAAAGCATGAGTGCTGGTGGCAACAAAAATCCGAGTCGAAGAGGAGGATTTTTGCACCTGCACGAATGCATTTTGTTAAAAAATATTACTTAGCATTGTGTTTTTTCGATTTTTTTCACAGGAAAAATTAGATGCCCGAATGGTATTTGACAAGACTATTTCATGAGTAACAGTTAACAATTAAAATATAAATTGCAATTTTTGGTGACAACAGCTGTCAAGTTTTGCCGCGGGTAAACTCGAATAAACTGCTGACAGGTGCTGTCACACAGTTTTTTCACCTAGAAACCATTTGTAATTCAAAATTGCGCGTTTGTGATTGGTGGAAATTAAGACGAGGGAAATAGTCTTTGATACATCATTAGAAAATTGTTTTTCTATTGGTTTCCATCTTTTTATACAAGGGGTTTCTAGTCAAAATAGACAACGCAATAGACAATAACACTTTTTTATGAGCTTCTTTTTTATGTCTTGATATTTTTGTTTAAAATGTTTTTTACGACCATAAATAATGGAGATAAAAAGGTTCACAAAAAGTTTTATAAATGTCGTTTTGTTTACGAGTATTATTAGGCACGAGCGAAGCATGCAAGTGAGTGTTTAATAAAAACAAGTATCTATAGAGAAGTTTATAAAACGAGTTGCAAACTATACTTTATCTACGACTAACACAAAGAAGAATTCAAAGCCAATTTTGTTTGTAAAACATTTGACAGCTGTCAAATTTCAACGGATTTAACCTCACTTTTTCCCAGTTTATAATAAAGCTGACTTCATCCCGTGACTAAAATGCCATAAAATCACAGCTCGTCAATGTAGAAGTAGATAAAAATGTTAAGCTACCTACAAATATAGATTATAAATATTAGTTAAATAACCTCATTTTTAGAAAATTTAGTTCAATAAAATTAATTTAATATGTACAGAGTGCACCGTGTTTTTTTAAGCATTTAATTAATTTTTTTTTTTTGATTTTGTCACATCATTTTAAGGTTAGTTTCAACTTACATGACGATATTTTAGCTTTATTTTTTTTTATTTAAATTAAATATTTGTGGATGAATCTCACGAAATGGTGTTGTTACCCCGTGATATTTTATAAAACTAAATGAGTTTGACCTACACTTTAATTGTGTTTTGATCTTTCATAATTAAGTAGATATTACAGCTCAGGTTCCAGATTTTTAACTGCAATTATTTATTTTTACAATGTTTAAAAAGTCTAAAACCTATCCTCCGTGACTGTTACTCTTTCTAGGTTAACCTATATGTTTTCAAATATCTGAGGTGGTAAAAGCATAATATTTAAAAATATCAGTTCACCAAGTAAATTAAACACATCACCCACTTGGCAAGGATCTGTTGCTTAAACGTTTTATTACTGTTAACGAGTTACTGTAACGTGTCCATTAAGGTAACATAAACGTAACGGCATCGTCACAGTTACAGTTAATGTCCGCCTTCTGCAACGTAACATTGTGACGGTATTTTTAAAACGCTTATGTAACGTTCCCCTTGTGATGTTACATATGGTGGTTCCGCGCAGCATCCATTTAACGTTATTATCAAAACGTTTATGTAACGTTCCGGTTGTGGTGTTACATATGGTGGTACCGCGCAGCATCGATTTAACGTTGGCATAACAGTGGCGGCTGGTGGATTTTGCGTATACCGATATCTTAATTATTAGACATGGTACCCACACAAATTTATATGAGTTTATAATAACACTAAATTAACAAGTTCTGCACAAGCAGAACTCAAATATAAGTTTACGAAAAAAAAAATAGTTTTTGCTCCGCCTACCCTGCAGCCTGGCCCTAATAAAGCTAATTCAAATTTAAGTATAGTTTATTTAATTTTTATTATCTTTATTAGGGCCAGTGCAATTTATAATTTACCATAGTTTATCAACAAATTTCAAATCAAAATCCAAATATTACAGATTTAAATTTTTATTTATTTTCCTAAAATAATATGGGATAAAATATGTTATACTTGGATTTTTTAAATAAATTTTGAAATTTGTTAATAAACTGGTAAATTATAAATTGCACTATTTAAATTTTTATTATCTTTATTAGGGGGGCCAGGCTGCAGGGTAGGCTGAGCAAAAACTATATTTTTTTTCGCAAAATTCTATTTAAATTGTTAATTTAGTGTCATTATAAATTCATATAAATTTGGTGTCTAATAACTGAGATATGGCATATGCAAAATCCACCAGCCGCCACTGTGGTAATAATGTAATTTATGAAATAAAAATGTTTCACTTAAAATTATAAAAAATTTATTAAATATTTTAACAAAAGTAAACAAATATTCTTTGGTTTCTTTATTCTCTAGTCATTCATGGTCATTTATTCAACGGCATTTTTTTCATTTGCAACCTTTTCTGTATGCATCAACTGGATTTATTTGCCGCAGCTAGATTCGCTTCTATTGGATTTGCCTCTGAAATTATGAAAACTCCAGTAATATTCATAAAATTTTTCTAAAGTATTACCTTTTTGCACTTGGTGGTTTATCTCTGGAGATGAGCTCAGGTCAGTCAGTCCATCATTTGACCTTGGAAACTCTTAACAGTGTGGTTTTCATTTACATATTTCTAATAATAATTGTTTCAAAATAAATATGACACCAACAAAATATTTAAGGAAAGAATATCGAAGAATTTTTGTTTTAGCAAAATAGGATCGACAAAGCATTAAAATTTGTGCACCTTTTTGTAAGTATGATTTACATTAATGTTTTGCAATGGAATATACCTAAGCAATTACAAAAGAGTAAATGGTATACTCACCTCAATGTTTTTTCTATTTTGTTCCATTGTCCAAGCAAAAGCGTGCTGTTTAAATAATAATAACCCTTGAATAATAACAACAAACAAACAAACGCCCAACACGTGTGACGCCAAACAGCCATATTGGCTTAGTTTTTTGGCGGCTGCGCATTGCTTCTAAATTTTCACTTGACTATAAACAATCAATATGTAACGTTTAATAAATGTACATTTATAAACCTTCTAGAAACGTTCTTAATGAACGGCTGGATAACGTTATATTTTCGTTTGGGAATCAACAGTCATTATGTACCGTTTAGTTAATGTAAATTTATTAACAATTCAATAACGCTGATAAATAAGCGTTGCATATACGTTTAAGGATTAACAGTTAGCATATATACCGTTTCATTAACGTAGATATATTAACAATACACTAACGTTGTAAAATTAGAGTCATCACAACGTAAATGTGTTAGGGTAAAGGTAAAACGATACAGTAACGTTTATGTATTGTATAGCTTGTTGGCATACGTTGGCTTACGTTCAGAATACAAAACAGGAACGTTTAAATTTGAGTGTTTAAAATATAACAGTACGAAAACGTTTTTAGGGTTTCTGTTACATTTCTTGCCAAGTGGGCAGGTTTTACAAAAAAATATTCTATCCTCCGTGAATCTGTTTTTGCTTTAAATTTTATGCAACGGATGGCGCTTTAATCATTTTAAATAAGCAAAAACCTCTGTTTACGAATTTATATGCAGATGAGAGTGTTGCTGTTTTATAATTCAAAAGTTTAAGTTCATTAATTTGAACATACGAAATCCTAACCTCCGTGAAGATATCTTCCGTGAAGCTCTAATATACAAAATGTATGATTTCTTAAAATTCTTATAATTTTTACTTTAAATTAATAAATAAGAATAAAAAACTAAATTTTTTGCCTGAAGCTCGAAAATTCTGTTACAGTCTAAAGAACATTATAAAATTGTCATTCTTATTGTACAAATTTTTCCTTATTCTTGTCACTAACCTAAATTAGACTAAAGAGCGAATGGATTTTATTTATTTTATTAAAATATTCTTTTATTGCTTTGGGGGACATACAAGCATAAAAACCAACACACCACCAAAATTATATTTACAAAAAAAATACAAGCACACAAAATATTTACACAATGCCGATGACACCGCAGGCAACCCTGCCTCCTGCGTGGCCAGTTGTCAAAGAGTCGTTGAACCCGCCCTTTCCAAGGTCATCTTCCCCCTCATGAACGACTATAGCGCGCCCTATGATGCAGTGGGCGCCACTGAGAGAAATCACGTTGTCCTTGAAGTTGATGTTGGCAACACCGTCAGGCCCGGCTACAATGTTGCCGAGATCCCCTACGTGGCGGTTAGAGTCTTCTGGAGCACCGTGGGTTTTCTAAAAAAAAATTATTTTGTTTTGTTGCACAGAAAAAAATCTAACATAGTACCAAGAACAGCGCTGTCACTGAATGCATTAAAATTGAAGCAATCTAAATTGTTATTTTCTCGATTGATTACTATTAAACCAAAATAGGAAAATATTTTGCCTAAATGTCAAAGAATTTATTGCGTTAAATGTATACATAGTATACATACAATAGTAACGTTATTAAGTAAAATTAAATGCAATAACATTCTACCATTCTAACAATATGAATATCAATAGATTTAGGAGCGATAACTTTTGTTGTTAATTTAAAAACAGTAAACGATTATAAACCAAGTGCTAACTATTGGTATTACAGGAACTGTTATTCAGGAATACGGATTACAAGATCCCATTGGTTTAATGGCTCACCCATTCATGCTATGCTAGCGTTTTTTCTGTGTGTTATAAAATTAAATGTTCGACCTACGTTTAGCGGATTAAAATGGCCGGCAGCGGAAGCACATCCGTTGGATAAATCTCCCTTTGCGTGAACGTGGAATCCATGTTTTCCAGGCTTGAGTCCACTAATGGAGCCTTCAATAGAAACTGTTTTATCGTCTATCTGGGTAAACGTGACAACACCGCTAACCGTGTCCGTTTTTAAAACAACATTTGCAGATGGTTTGTTCTAAAAAACACAAAAAATGTATGTTAATATTGAGATAAATAAATATCTAAATTGTCTAAAACCAACTTCTAAAAGATTATCTCTCTAAAAGATTAACTCTTTTTGTGTTCCCCTGTGTAATAAATATTAAAAACTCATAATTTCTTACCTCTGCACAAACGACTGCCAAAACCATGGCCAATACGAGAAACTTCATTTTTCTGCAAGAAAGATCGTCGGTATACAGAGAGAATATGTTAACAGAATGGCTAAGAAATTGTTTATAAACAAATTCATAACAGTTTAACTTAAATATACCTCTTATGTTCTTTCAAGGTGACCATCTTAACGCTGCTTATGCCATGGGCGTACGTAAATAAATAAATAAATAAAAATAGGTTATATTTTACATAGATAACTAATCATTATACATACTTATTCTTGTATGTTCAAAATATATATCATTTATTGTTCATGTAAACATTAAAGATAATATTTGGTTACTTGAGTTTAAGTTGTTGTAGAAAAAAATTAAGACTAATAATACAATTTTTATATTAAATTAATACAAAATTCAATTTAAGGAAATTATTTTAGATACGCTAGCCTTATTGTTCTAACAGGAAATAGTAGAAAACAACAAAATTAACAAAACTTTTATCTTTGCTAAAATGCCATAAAATATCCCTAAATGATCTAAAAAGGTCCTGGATCTGCCCAAAACTGAAACTGTTAAATAATAATAAACATTTTTTGGTATATACTTAAAATAGTGAAGAAACATCAAAAAAATTAATAATAGGTTTTATTTTAATAATTTTTATAATTTATCTTATAATTTTTTATAATTAAATTTAAAAAAAATAACAATATAAAATATTAATATTTTTTTGACCTAATTTCTTTGTTATTATTAGAGGTGATATTATAGGTTGCAAAATTTATAAAACTAGGTTTTCCCAAATAAGTTTTTTGTTGTTTAAGGTGAGAAAATTCTTAAATTAGGAAAACTTTTAGGAGTAAAATTTATTTTTGTATAAAATTGTATTGAATAAGATTTTTATGATTTAAAATTTGAAAATAACTGACGTATTTATTTGTAAAACTATTATAATACCATTACACATACGTACGAGGTGTGTTCAGAAAATAACGGGAATTGTTAAATTTCGCGGGTTCGGAGGGTACGGTTGTCATAAAATTTTCTTTATTATGTTGGTATACATGCCCCCGAAGTTTGATAAAAACTTTAGCTGTTTTCATTGTTTACTTTGTCTGTGGCAGCTGCTAAGGTTAGACGTGTTTTATGAGCTCGGCGATTTTTCGTTCGTTAAAAGAAATGGATCAAAGAATTTGTATCCAATTTTGCTTAAAAAATGAAATAAATTCTGTGAAATGTTAACAAAGGCCTATAGTGAGCCTGCTATAAGTAAAACAAGAGTTTACAAGTGGTATAAGAGTTTCCAAGATGGCCGTGAAGACGTTGAAGATGACGAACGCCCCGAACGCACAAGCACATTAACAACCGATAAAAACATGGAAAAAGTGGAAGAAATGGTTATAAACCATCAGAGAAGTCGCTGATGATGTTGGTATATCGATTGGCTCATCCCATGAAATTTTTTCGAATGTTTTGGGTATGAAACGCGTGGCAGCAAAATTTTTTCTAAAATTGTTAAATTTTGAACAACATTTTTGGCTAAAAACAATACTGTAATGATGCCCCAGCCTCCATATTCGCCAGACATGCCTCTGTCTGACTTTTTCCTATTCCCAAAAATAAAGAGAACCTTAAAGGGCCGTCGTTTTGCAAGCATAGATGACATTAAAAGCGCATTGCTGAAAAGAACTAAAGGCTATCCCAAAGATCGAGTTTTAGAAGTGTTTCGAGTATTGGAAGAAGACCTGGCACATGTGCATAATATCCAATGGGGACTATTTTGAAGGCGACAACATTAATGTAGACGAATAAATAAATATTTGTTTCAAAAAACGAAAATTCCCGATATTTTCTGAACACACTTCGTATGTTTGCAATATATATGAGCCAAGTAAATTATAAAAAACTGTATAACTACCCTCTTAGGCATATACCCCCTCTAGTTACGGCACTGCCTTGTTATTTAATTTAAGACATCTTTAAACCTCTATAACAATATTTCACAATTAAACCACAATAAATCACTTAATTTTTTTAAATAAATTTTCCAACCAATTTTGCAGCGTTAAGGTCCAACTTTCTCTGTTTCTTATATAAAATATTGCGCAATAAGTTTAAAATATTAATATTGTCAAACTCGTTTGACTTTTTTTATGCTACGCTAATGATAACATTGCTAATATAATGTTAATTCCCAAACGTAATTATTCAAATTTAATTAACTGTAAAACTTACCCACAATATTTTTGTTTTTTTAACGTATTAAACAAGCACGATGTACTTCGCCAAATTTCAAACTTACACTTAATAATAATATTAAGTATTTTATTAAAGGTTGTCTGATAGATTTGATCTACTTTTCCTTAGGTTAAACGGGGATTCTACCTTGGGCAAGGTTATTTTCAACTAACTGCGAAAATATGGTACTTTTATTTATGTATAATGCTCGACGATATTTTTTATCTTCACGTGATATTTTTAATGTATACAGAATAATATACTGAGTACCACAGAAAAAGTTTATCATTTATTATTTTTTAACCACTTAGTTTTAGAGTATAAATTAGCCAAAATATATGGTTAACCGTTTTATTTTTTACCACCAACAGTTAAAACTTGTTTCTCCTATAATAATATTATCTTATTTAATTGCCTGATATTTGGAAGCCCAGGGTGTAATATAAAATCTGTTAAAAAATAAAAAAGTGGATTTATATTAAAAAAAAAATATTTCAAATATGCTATATGAGTTTTTATTTTTCTTTGTATATAAGAACAATATAGAATGTATTGTTTGATGTTTAAATAAGATTATAAATTACGTGGGGAACAAATTAATTATTTCTATATATTTACGGATGTATTTTTTTTTTATTTAATAGGTTGGAAAAATACTTCCTTCAGAATATCTTTTTTTTACTTATTTATCACGGGGAGCTAGTACTTAATATGAATCACAAACGAAAATTTGGTAGATTAGTGTTATAACCTATGAATTTTTATAAACCAATATAAAAGTAATAATTTAAAAAAATAAATTTATAATTAAAATACCTTAAAAACAAAATACTGCAAATCATTTGAAATTTAATATATTAAACAATTCAAAAACTTGTCGAAAAACAAAAATCTTAATAAACCTTGAAAATGATAAAAAAAATTAGCATGTATTGCATATTTGCTATTTAAGGAGATATGATTTTTTCAAAAAATCACAATTTATTTTTAAATGACTTTGAAAAATAGTTACTTTTAAAATGGTACCATATCATTTTTTCGTTTTTATATGTACTTTTCTCCAAGAATATGTACAAAAAATATAAATTGGTTTAGATTTTCATATTTTAAATTTTGAAAAAATCCTTAAAAAAATGTTACCAATTCTACAAATTTTAAACCCTGACTGATAGTGGTAAGGGGACATCCATTAATTACGTGAGATAAAAATATTAAAAATCTCATGTTAAGGGAGGGGGGTCATTAAAAATTTCACGTCAACTTTTGGGTTTAAAGAATATGTATTATAATTCAAATTTTTATTTTTTGGGTTTATCATGTCCGCAAACAAAGTTTACTGGCTAGAATCTCAAGTCTCACCAAATCTCACCAAGGGTCCAAATTCCAACCATTTTTTTAATTAGAGAAAATTTTTGTCGAATTCGATATTTTTTATTATTACCAAAATAGATTTTCAAAAATATATAAAAAAAATGAAATTTTTGTTCTTTCAGAAAGTTTTTAGTACTTAGTAATCCTGGCGCATTCGCCATATTTAAACTTTAGTCTTAATTTTAATAACACATATTTTAATTTTTTAATTAATAATAAAAAATCAATAACCATTTAGAAAAATTAAATAACCGTTGGGATATAAATCACGACAACCATTGAATTGATTAATTTTATCATTTTAACATTTAGATTAGGAAAATGTAAATAAAATTTTTATATTTTCATAAATCATGTCAAAGTTTTTAAACAAGTTACATACCTACAATACTTTTTTACGACAAATATTATTGGGTATAAAAATAATATTTATTACTACCCTCTAAAAATGAATTAGTCAAAAATGACTAATTTAATAGTTATTAGTTGCTGCTTTTTCACTTGTACCATGGTTAACCATGGAATACCATGGCATCCCAAAATTTAACAGCCAATTCTTATGTAAAATTGTACTTTTTTAACTGATGGTTACTTTATTTTCGTATAGGTGTCGCTTCAAACAAATTTTTAATTTAATCATCATTTTTTAGATAATAGGTATATATATATATATATATATATATATATATATATATATATATATATATATATATAGATATATACCATACTATTAAGTTTGCATGTCTTGAGATTTATAATACTTAAATTAAATGATGTCCATGCATGGATTATACAATTAACCTAGTTTTTTTACTACAATAGATTAAAGGTAAGTGGAATGAGCAATGATCATGTCAATGAAACTCATAAATTTTATAGAACATACCTTACTATACCTACATATTTAAATGGCAGTACAAATATAAAAATAAAAAAAATTGCATTTAATTCTTTATTGGTCATCAAAACTTAAAAATAGTTTCTTTTGGTTCCACACTGTTATAACAATCCATATTAAAAATCAGCAAATATTTTGCTTAAAACTTAAAAACACTGGCGTACCCAGCGTTTTAAATCATCTTGAAACATTTTTATTTTTTATTATTTTTTTCAAAAACAGCAAGGTACGCCAATGCATAAATCAATAAATTAATATTAAATCATTTATTTAGTTGACATATGCTATTATACCGCACGCCAATGGTTTGCCGGAGTCCCCTGTGTTCAAACTGTTCGCTGTTCCGCCCCTGCCCAAATCATCGGGGTTCTCTGTCACCACAACGGCCCTGCCCACGATGCCCCTGGGGCCGCCACTGAGCGACATCAGGGGGTCGACATAGTTGAACTCTGCTTTACCGTCTGAGTCAGCTTCGATGTTGCCCATGTCGCCTACGTGGCGGATGTGGTCTGAGGGACCGCCATGTTGAAGCTGAAAAAATAGAGAGGAAAGGGTCTTTAAAAAATCATTGAAATATCTAAAGGCTAAAATTTATAATATATATATTATAATATATATATATATATATATATATAATATTCTCTGGAATACCTAATTGAGTCATTAATGACACAGAGATTACACTGTTCAAAATTTCATGACCATTTTAACACTAAATTAACACCATACATGGTCTATATCGATACAAACCAAAATGGTGTTAAATATGGTTCGTTGGTCCAGTGTAAATTCAAACACTAAAATGGTGTAAATTTGACTTTCACACAGTATTAAAATAAATTTTACCTGGTGTAAATTGAACTACTTTTCAGTGTTAAATATTATGTGTTTTTGGTCAAATTAAATCATATCTACTACACAGAAAAAAAGGAAGTTCCTTGACGCATTCCAAGTATATTACCAGTGGTATTATTCCAGGAAATTGAACCTTCAACTCGCTAGAGATTACGTTTTTAGTGCGTTCCACCAACTTAAAATACTTCAAATATTGACAGCTGTTTCTACCTATTTAAGGTCTCTTTAGTATCGAACAACTTGTAGTGTCACACCAAGGCAAAGGACTACCTGAGCTTATATACTCTTCATGTAAGTCAACAGAGGCGAGATTTAACAACATCACGTGATCCACACCGCCTTTGCCGCGATCGGTACACACTATGCAACCAGGAATGCACGGCAAATTGTTTTAATCGTTTTAACAGAGTGCTTTAGGTTGAAGTAACTCTTATTTTACAAACAACATATTTAGTAAACTGAACCATACAGCAGGTTGGTTTCAATAAAGTTTTCTGGGTTAATTTAACCAATTTAAATAAAAATAAAATAACTATCTGGTTTAGTACCGTCAAACTAATCTTTGTTTATATTAACCTTCCCACAGTTGATTTAAATAAATACTTATGGGTCAACTAAATTAATATAGTTAAATGAACTATTCCTTTTTTTATGTGAAGGTGCACTTCTCAAATATTTTTAGATAAACACCGTTTTGGTGTTTGCTGTATAAAACATTTTCAACCATAATTCATGGATTTATATTAACACCACTTGGTGTTGGATTTTGACACTTTTTTATGACTACTCTTCACACCACATATATTTTAAACAGTGTAAATTCAAAAATTCTTTTTCAATGCTCAACTTTTAATAGTAGACACATCTTAAAATGTATAATGGGTTGCATAGAATACTCGTATTAAATCGGCAGTAAAGTTCTACTTTACTGCCGATTTCTTTTACTTTACAGCCGATTGTTGACTACTTTTCTGCCGATTTCGGATAAAAATATTTTTATTGGTAAAAGTAAAATGTTTTCTTAGAGATATCAAACACTTATTTTCTTACCAAAAACGGGTTAAAATGAGGCCCCAACTTGACGCATCCTTCTCTAAGGTCTCCAGCTTGGTGTATATGAACTCCATGTCTTCCTTCTGACAATCCTGTTATGTTAGCGCGAACGTAAACAGGTCCTGCTGGTGGATGGCGTTGCAGGAAGAACACTTCTCCTGAAATGCTGCCTTCTCCCTCGCTTTGTACCAGTGCGATTGCTGTTAAAGGTCTGACGTCCTAAAAATGTAGGTACACTGTTATGAAAATCAGTTTGTAGAAAATTATTTTCTCCACAGTTTAAGAATGAGTCACTTTCTCAATTGAAATTCATGGAGAAAAGTAGACATTCTTTAAAATGATTATAAAAACATATTTTATCTCCACGCGGTCTATAATTTAAACTTTATTGTTGTCAACATTCGATAAAGAAATACCTTGTTATGCCGAGGCCGATAAAAAAATTTATGAGGCAAGTAATTAGTTTGATTTTTTCTCGCTAGGGGTGTTTTGACAAATTAATCCTTTTCTAAGAAATTAACATACTAAACTGCACGGAGAGAAAAGTATATTACTGATTACCATAATTATAATACCCTTTACTATATTATATATTACTATTTGGGACAACTATCTTGTATATTGCCAGTTACTATGCATATTTAGTAATTTTTAAATATCCATGTATATTAAACCAATTTTGTTTTTAATTCTTATTATAATTAGATAGTAAATTTTAAAAATAAATATAATAGATACGTAACCCATAAGAAACTAAATAGTGTATTTTATTATTTTGTATAATACATTTAATTAAATCATATAGTAAATATTACTATTTGTAGATAGTAAAATCAATTTACTATACGAATATATTCAAAATTAAAATACGTATTATACATTTTTGATCTAATAATATTGGTGTTGTAATCTTTACTAAAATGGTATAATAAAAAATACTATTTCGTATTACAATCTTTATATTTTACTGACGAATATTTAATATTGTTAAACTAAACATTTTTTAAAGTAAATTTTAATATATTTTTTTAACTATCTAAAATTTACTATACATTTCTCTCCGTGTGGTTTAATTTATTTATAATAAGCAGTAATTTGTTTGTTTTACTGTTAATGTTTAATATTTGTCATTAAATTATTGTAAAATTAAATATAAATATTAAAACAAAAAGTGAGGTTAGGCAACCCAGAAAACGCACGATTCTTTTTCTACGATTTAAATTATCTTTTATTTTTTATTTGCTTTAAGTTTTCAGTGAAATTAAATGTTAAACACATCTTAAACATTCCAACTCCCTATTTTTTAAATAAAAATCCAAACAAATTGAAATTACCTACCTATTTATTAAACAATTAATTGAATTCAATGTAATAGCAAAAATCCATTTCTACTTAAATCATGTAGCTAGGTATTGTCAAACTATTACTGCTTCTAAAAGCAATAAGAATTATTGTACATTTAATGTGATCTTTAGCTAATAAATAAATGAGATTCTATAAAAGTGAGGTTAGGCCGCTTTGATGTTGGATTAAATTGACCTATATAAAATACTTTGAAGATAAAATGTTGTATGCCATTCGGCCAAGAAGTGCCTTTTTGTGCTTCGCTCAATTGTAGGCCTCCGCTACGCGTCGGCCTTCAAACCTTGAGCTTAGCACAAAAAGCCTTACTTCTTAACCTAATGACATAAAACGAGCGACGAAGGAGCGACAAAACGACGTCTTATGACATTAGTTCTTTAATATACTATTATAATACTTATTACATATATTTATTATAAAAAAGGAAACCAGTGATTGTTAACCTTTGTCCTCAAAAAATTTAAAGAACCATTCACGCAACCATTTGATTAACTAACTAACTAAGGTTACAACAATCACACAGCGTAATTTTTCGCGTAATGAGGTGTATTACCTGTACAATTACACGTATTTATTAAAATTATTGTCAATTGCCGATGCAATCTACTTTGTTGAATTACATATAATTTTTGGTGGATATTATTTAAATTTAGGAATGAATGGGTATACCTAAAATTTATATTAAACTTGCTGTATAATAAATTTCGGTTTTATTCACCTAAATTTTTTGTTTTTTTTAAGGGGTTGGTACAAATATCACTTAAATTAAGAAAATAAAACACCCAAAAAGTTTAAACATATCTATGTATACATATGTAGTTAACTTTTTGTCAAATATAATAATTGTTACATTATAACTTTTTTTGCGATTGGGACGATATGGGTGAATATATTGAGATGTCCCTCAAGTGAAAAAAATTATTTTTTATTTTTGGTTGTTTCACTGCTAGTCTAGAATGGGGTTTTTGGGAAGCCACCAGGTCTAGTAATAACATAACATAAGTGGTTCTGCACTAATGCAAGAATTTTAAGAAATCATACATTTTGAATATTAGAGCTTCACGGAGGTTAGGATTTCGTATGTTTTTTTTAAACATCCCTTTGTATATTTGAAAAAAGTTCTAAGTATCTTTTGACACCTTAATATTTTTTTAAAATACAATTTTACATACATAAAATATTTATAAAAAAAATCTACACTTCACGGTGGATAGGTTTTTAAATAGCAAATTAATGAACTTGAACTTTTGAATTATAAAACAGCAACACTCATCTGCATATAAATTCTAACTGACCTTCAGGAATCACATGCATCTATAATTTCGTAAACAGAGGTTCTTGCTTATTTAAAATGATTAAAGCGCCATCCGTTGCATAAAATTTAAAGCAAAACAGATTCACGGGGGATAGAATTCATATGCTTTTACTACTTCAGATATTTAAAAACATATAGGTTAAGCTATATAAAACGAATCACCCTTAGATATATGTATACATGTATATATGTACATATTTTATAAAATAACTATAGTTATATATAACTATATATACAGTTATTAAAAATTTTCCATGTTGATTTAAAATTTAAAAAAAATAAGCGTTTATGGTTTCAGTTCACTAAAAAAATCCTACTGCAAACTTATTTTTTTAATAAAATCACTAATAAAAAATACTCACATAACTATAAGGCTCCGCATATACTTCATACAAATCGCTTTGGTAATTTTCCACAGCAGGATAATTCTTGACAATCAAAGGTCTTCCTGGAACAATTTGTGGAGCGGGATACAAACTATTAACCCCGACATTTTCCATGGGATAATTCCTGATTTTCGCGACATTAAACGCTAGGAAAAGCAACATGACCAGCCGGAGTTTGAACATTTTACACTGATGACAATCGGAGAGCAAGTTTCGATATTTTTTCGCGGAAAATTATTTATCGCAACTTTCTTAATGGCAATCGACGGCAAATTAAAGAAGGCACTGGGCAAACATCGCATAAATAGCAATCACGTCGATGAGTATACCATGACACATGCGAACCACCTCTGTGTTTAATAAACTTTATCAGACATTGAGAATTTTACACTGCCCGAGGACTTTTTTGATCACTGTTTACGTTTTTATTTACCTCACCGTATTATTATGTTACAACCGTCTATTATAATTTACTTGATTTGCTACCTGTTTATTAAATTTTAACAAAAAAAATTCTTTGAAATTGTAACCCATTGTGTGAGGCGTTAATCGAACACAAAAATTGTGCAATCCTGTAAAAATTAATTATTATATAATAAATATTCGCAAAAATTTTTAGTTGTTTAGTTAAAAAAACAAACATTTTCAACTTTATGAAAATTTCTGGAATCAAGAGCAAAGAACCAAAACTATTTCTTCGGAAGATATTTCTCTTTTGAATGAAGAAAACGTTTTTTAGGGAACTTTTTAAGAAAGAAAATTTGTCTTGCTACAAAAGCATATACGTACTATTGACCTAACCACATTTTATTTTGATTTTAGAGCGTATATCTCTTGGTCCAATAGTATGTATTTCTTTATTCAAAAGCTTTTGATCTTCACTGAAACTAACAGCGTTGTTAGTATTTAAGCTTAAATTCCCCTCACCACATAGACCTTTTGATTTTAATTATTAAAACATGTATATTATACGAAGTGTGTTCAGAAAATAACGGGAATTGTTAAATTTCGCGGGTTCGGAGGGTCCGGTTGTTATAAAATATGTAGGTATACATGCCCCCCGAAGTATGATAAAAACTTTAGCTGTTTTCATTGTTTACTTTGTCTGTGGCAGCCGCTAAGGTTAGACGTGTTTTATAAGCTCGGCGATTTTTCGTTCGTTAAAAGAAATGGATCAAAGAATTTGTATCCAATTTTGCTTAAAAAATGAAATAAATTCTGTGAAATGTTAACAAAGGCCTATAGTGAGTCTGCTATAAGTAAAACAAGAGTTTACAAGTGGTATAAGAGTTTCCAAGATGGCCGTGAAGACGTTGAAGATGACGAACGCCCCGAACGCACAAGCACATTAACAACCGATAAAAACATGGAAAAAGTGGAAGAAATGGTTATAAACCATCAGAGAAGTCGCTGATGATGTTGGTATATCGATTGGCTAATCCCATGAAATTTTTTCGAATGTTTTGGGTATGAAACGCGTGGCAGCAAAATTTGTTCTAAAATTGTTAAATTTTGAACAAAATTTTTGGCCAAAAACAATACTGTAATGATGCCCCAGCCTCCATTCCTATTCCCAAAAATAAAGAGAACCTTAAAGGGCCGTCGTTTTGCAAGCATAGATGACATTAAAAGCGCATCGCTGAAAGAACTAAAGGCTATCTCAAAGATCGAGTTTTAGAAGTGTTTCGAGTATTGGAAAAAGAGCTGGCACATGTGCATAATATCCAATGGGGACTATTTTGAAGGCGACAACTTTAATGTAGACGAATAAATAAATATTTGTTTCAAAAAAACGAAAATTCCCGATATTTTCTGAACACACCTCGTAAATACCTATAATAGAATAATTATTATAATATTATATCACTGCCCCTAGAAAATGACGAATTGCAATTGGCAATGATACAAAACGTACTAAACTCAGAAGCTACCAGATTTTGTTGTAAAATTGACATGGTATTGGGATAATTGTGATGTATCTTGAATGAATTGGGTAAATCTAAATAATTTTCATAGCTCTTGACATAAAATTTGTCCCCTTACAAATTTTTTGTGACTTAAGTGGTTTCTGAAATATATAAGTATATCTTACGTGGACCACCCTTTGCAATAAAATGGCGGATACGCTGGTACTAATATCCATTATTTTTATTTTTCTGCCAATCAATTTTGTCGCTTAGTTTATCCAAAATGCCTTAACTGATAAACTTTATTTATATTAATTTGAACCAAAATAGACTTTTACCTGGTAACTAATTGTTTACAATTAAATTGCTGCTAGATACAAAAGACAAAGATAACGTTTATTGCTAATAACATTTTTACAATATGATTGATTTTTGTTTACACATAACATTGTGACCTTATGTACGTAATATTTAATTGTAATATGTAATTCAATGCTATTTTATTTATTTAAGTGTATGATGCCTAACCTTGTGAAAAATTAAGGACTAATAGATTTTTGTGGGGGAACATCCCACAAAAAATGGTATATTTTTTATCACCCAGTATTTTTATAAAGTAAATTTGAACCGAGTACCTATTATGGTTTATATTGAAAAAAAACTTAATTTAATATAATAATGGATTCAATAAAAAATTATTGTAGGTAATTATAATAATGGTAATGGTAATGGTAATCCTTGAAAATTCAATCAATCAAAAATTCACTCATTTATACAAATCTATGTTAAAGAATTCAATAATTTGTCACGAAAGTTTACAAAATAAAAAAAATACAATTGACTTATTATTCTTGAAATCATAGTTATTTTTAACTGGGTACTTTAATTTATTATTTAATAAATTAATTTATTAGTTTTTTTCACAATGAAGCAATTTTCTGTACTTAGGCATAATTAGTAATGTGTTTTTGTTCTTCCAATGTATGTTTAAGGATATATCCTTGAATGTATATTATATACATGATGTACACTTCAGGTGCAAATTGAAAAATTTCACCACAAATATATATATTTAAATATATTGAGTTGGTTGTTACACTGTTAGTCTAGAATGAGTTTTTGGGAAGCCACCAGGTCTAGTAATAACATAACATAAGTGGTTCTGCACTAATGTAAGAATTTTAAGAAATCATACATTTTGAATATTAATGCTTCACGGAGATTAGGATTTCGTATGTTTTTTAAACATCCCTTTGTATATTTGAAATGAGTTATTGTGTCTTTTGACACCTTAATATTTTTTAAAAATACAATTGTACATTCATAAAATATTTATAAAAAAAAATCTACTTACTGAGATATTACACTTCACGGTGGATAGGTTTTTAAATAGCAAATTAATGAACTTAAACTTTTGAATTATAAAACAGCAACACCCTCATCTGTATGAGATTCACCCATATAGACAAAATTTATTGAATTTAATAAGAATTTTTTACAATTCACTTTGTATCTTAGTAGGTATTTTAGATTTCAAGATACATGGTTCAAAATGCAAAGAAAATTTAAATTTTATATCATTAAGAATTAACAACTAATTAAAGGAATTAATTCCGTAAAAAAACAACAGCCTCTATAATAAATTAAAAGTACCAGAATATTGTAGAGCTTGTTAAAAAACCTAATAATACCAAATTTGCGATTAATCCAAATCTTATAAAGAATAACCCATTTTATATTTTTTTTACCTTAATTTGGAATCACCCTGTATCTGCCTCGTAACTTTAGACAAAAAGTTCAATTATCTACGTCCATAAACAATTAACTCATAACAATTTAAAATGTTCACTAAACGTCTTTCAAACAATTATTAGTAACGTCATTAGTATTTTTCAAAATTTTTATGTAAAAGCTGATTTTTTGTGTGCAAGAAACCAAAAATTCAAAATGTGATAAAACTCCATTGTAAAATTATGAGTACGGTAAGAAAATCTGTTCGTCATCTAATTTTATAGTAATTTCATGAATTTAATGCAATTTTAGGATATAGAAAACACAATAAAAGAACTGGAAAATGAAATTCATGATCTAGTAATAATTGGGGAGGGGGGAACCCCCCAACAAGTCAGATTTACGGGCTGCAATGACTCAAAAAAATGCAAACGTCCGAAAAGGTAATGATTTATTAAATACATTTTATTTTATTAACATCATTTTTATTTTAGTTCTTCCTCAGTGAATTCTGGAATCAATATAAACAAAGCAACCCTCACAATAAATTTATCCGATCACAAAACCAAATATATAACCAAAAATGCATCGACTTCCAAGCCCAGGATAAATTTTAGATCGTTTTCAAGGGATCCACCTAAGGCATTAGGTAATGGGATGATTGAAAAAAGCAGAAGTTGCCCCTGTTCAGGAACTAGAAGTTTCACACATGGAATATTTAGTGGCACTGTTAACAACAAGACTTCCAGAAAAAATCAAAGTGTCTACATGTCTAATAAATCTTCTTTTGTGGATACTCCAAAAGTAATTACATTTTACAAAAATACCTCATACCTATTAAATATTATTATCTTCAATTTATAGAAGAAATTCCAAGCTTCAACTTCGAGACCAAAATTAAGATCCCATACAACCCGCGTAACATCCAAAAATGAGAGCGATAGATCACTTAATTTTCCAAAAGTAAGAAATGTTTTGCTTTGAATATCACACACTTAAAATTTTTGTAGTTTATTCCACCACCAAATTTAATGGTGGACAGCCAAGATGAACTAGACAAACTAAAACACGAAATACTTAAGGTTAAATCGCAGTTAACTCTGATCAAAAATTCTAACACTCTAATGGCCAGAAAAACCATAGAAGACCTCACGAACGATATGCTGAAACTCAGAAACGAAAACGCAGAATTAAAAGGCACAATCTCATCCAAACAAGTGGAATACAACACGGTAGTAAAGGACCTAAAGAAGGTCAAGGATATGTTGAGTATATACGAAGAAAAGGTGGGGTTACTGCACGAGAAAGCCTTAGTATCCTCAAAGGTAATGACGGAAAGCAAGGATAAATTTTGTAAGTGCCTTCAAGAAAGAGAAAAACGCATCAAAAAACTATCTGAATCCATGAAGGTCCTCAAAAACGAACTTAAGGAAAAAGATGAGATTTTTGAGGCGTTAAACAACAAGTTGCAGACTCTAGAAAAAACCTATGAAAGTTCGGCAGAACTAAGCACTTTAAAAGAAGCAAATAGTATCTACTCGCAATGCATATGTGAATTGGAAAATAAATTGAAGAAAACCAACGAAGAATGTGAAAAAATGAAGACCAAGGCTTGTAAATATAATGCAGTTAGTATTAGAAAAATTTTCGTCGTACATTTTGTATCTGAACCTTATTTTTTATATATATATAGCGAGTGATAGAGTTGGAAAAATCCCTGAAAGAAAAATGCGACTGCTCTTCAAAATTCGAACCAGAATTGCTGAGGTTGCAAGAAAACGAAACCCATTTGAAAGAGGAAATAAATTATTTAACCAAACGGATAAACTCCATAGAATCCGAGAAATTGGAAAGCGATATCACCACTGAGTGCGAGTACAACTCTCTGAAAAAGGAGTACGAACATCTGCAAGGGAAGCACAAAGAGTTGCTGAGTAAATACAAGGACTATGAGGATTGTGCTAAGAAGTAAACACACATTGGGATATACAAATATTAGAAATATTGTCCAACACCAAAAAAACACCCCAACGATGTTGGCATCTTCAGAACCGAAGTGTGACTGGCGTTGAAGAATATTTCTTATATTTGTGTAACAATCACAAAAGTATATACTGGAAAACTAATGACTTTTTTAGATGTGATCAATTGGAAATGAAATACCAATGCATATCAACTGAACTTTACGAGAAGGAATCGAAATTCTTATGTGAAAGAAATGACCTACGTGACTTGGTGGACCAGTTGACATCAGTTGTAGAGCAAAATAAGCATACCTTAATGCATTTATCTGTTGTCAATAAAGAGCAAGAAACCATGTTGAAAACGCAAAGTGAAACCTTGGAAATCAAGGTAAATTTTCTCTCCAAACGTAATGTTGTGGTTATAGTTTTTGTTAAAGGATAAGAAGATTCAAGAAGTTGTAAGTGAGTATGAGATGGTGAAGAAGAAGAGTGAAGAGTTGGAGAGAGAGGTTGAGCAGTTGATGAAGACTCTGTCAACCAATGATGACATGACTTGCAGTGATATGAGGCAAAGGGTTCTAGATTTAATGTAATATACTATAATATACATATGTAGAAACTTTGCATTCAATACTTTATTCCAGGAGTAAAGTCGACAAAGACAAAATCTCCCTCGAAAATAAAAGCAAGATGATTGAAGAACAATCCAAGACGATTACGAACTTGCAGGACAAAATTAGGGAACACACAAGGGAAATAAGAAAGTCCAAAGAAATTGCCAACGTTTCAGTTGCAGAAGTTTACGATTTAAAAGAGGAGTTAAAGAAAAAACAATACGTAATGGACAAAGAAGCACGGGACAAGGAAATATTGATTGTCAAGCTAAGGGTACGAATGTTCTTGGTGTAAATTATTACCTTTCAGCGTAACAAATTGCTTTTTTATCATTAAAATTAATCTGACCTTTAGGACATGCAATGATGTTTTTTCTTTTAGAAACTTGAAATGCACAAAAACAAGCTGAACAACGACGTCTCCGAAATGGAAAAGTGGGTAAAAGAGTCGCACGCTCGTATAGCGACTACCAAAATCGAGAAAACTCAACTCGACGAGTTGCAAAATCAAGTAGACGATTTAAAAATCGAATGGCAACGCGAAAAGAGGATGCTTTGCCAGGAGAAAGAGCAAGCCAATTTAGCTGCTCAGTTCGCCACGAAAAGACTAATGGACACCGTAAAGGATTTCCAGAATCAAATGGGGCAACAGAAGCAGTATCAGACAATGCTGTCTAGCATGTTGCAGCAGAAAGAGAAGCAGTTGAGAGTGATTAGTTCGCAGGTAAGAAGAAAGTGTCATTTTTTTTTTATAAAAAAATCATAATTTTTTTTATAAGTAATGTAGAAATTTTCGGACATTAAGTGTCCGACACCGGACATCAAGTGTCCGACGCCGGACATCAAGTGTCCGACGCCGGACATCAAGTGTCCGACGCCGGACATCAAGTGTCCGACGCCGGACATCAAGTGTCCAACACCGGACATCAAGTGTCCGACGCCGGACATCAAGTGTCCGACATCGGACACGTATTTTTTTTTATCTAAATACCATGTGCTCCTCTGTAATATGATTGTGCTATACATTTGAATCTTTCCTGACCTATGACAACCGACGCAAAATATGCTTGCACAGTGGGAAATCTACATTCATTACATTAAAAATTTACATTTGTGATATCTTTGATTACTTACTTTGTAGATAATTGTTTTTCGTTTTGTGCCAACCTAGTACTCTATATTAATACTTAACAATTGTTTCTAAAATGTTTAAATTATTACATTGGTGTTACATTCTAAAAGTACAGTGTGTTCCTATTTTAACCAACTTTTGACTTTTATACAATACTTAATAACAATAATCTAGAAACATGCTGTAAATTTGTTGCATCAGGGTGAATATATTGAGATGCCCCCAAGTGAAAATGAATATTTTTTATTTTTGGTTGTTTCACTGTTAGTCTAGAATCGGGTTTTTGGAAAGCCACCAGGTCTAGTAATAACATAACATAAGTGGTTCTGCACTAATGCAAGAATTTTAAGAAATAAAACATTTTGAATATTAGAGCTTCACGGAAGATAGCTTCACGGAGGATAGGATTTCGTATGTTTTTTTAAACATCCCTTTGTATATTTGAAATAAGTTATTGTATCTTAATTATTTTTAAAAATATTTATAAAAAAATCTACTTACATTACACTTCACGGTGGATAGGTTTGTAAATAGCAAATTAATGAACTTAAACTTTTGAATTATAAAACAGCCATCCGTTGCATAAAATTTAAAGCAAAGACAGATTCACGGAGGATAGAATCAATTTTTGTAACACCTACATAAACGGTTATAAAAATTATTTTTTTTAATTTTTAATAATATTTTATATTTGATTCGATTGCTTTGGATGTGTTTAATTTACTTAGTGAAATGATATTTTAAGTATGCTTTTACTACCTCAGATATTTGAAAACATATTGTTTAACGTAGAAAGAGTAACAGTCACGGAGGATAGGTGTTAGACTTTTAAAACATCGTAAAAAAATTTATTTAATTTCTTTTTTAGATGTCATCCTTTAATACATACTACGGATATCCAGAACAGCCTTTGCAACAAATTTACAAGTGTAACGTGGAGTCTTGTTCCACTCCAAACACGCCATCTACTTATTCCACGTGCTACGAACCCACGCCAACGTCCAGTTCACAAACTAAAAGGTCTCGGTCTTGTAAAAAACATCGTAAAGTTTAAGTGTCAGTGAGTATTTTGTATTTTGTTGTGTAATAAAAATTGTATTTTCACGATTTTGTGTTTGTATTTTTCACACTAATCCTTGAAAAAAGCAACAACATTTTTTCGAGTAAACAGGATATATTTTATTTTTTCAATAAGTGCTAGGCTCAAGGCAGTACATTAAGTTAGCAGTAAATTAGGGTTATGCAGCATACTACCAACCATTATCATAAAAAACCCCAGACCACTAGACTTTTTGTTAAAATCGAAGTCGTTTGCTGTCATAGTAAACAAAACTTATTTACATTACCTTGCATAAATCGGAAAGATTTGTAAAACGCAATTTTACAAAAAAATGGCCGATTACAACAAAAATTTCTGTGTGAAATGCGACGAGAATATCGGCGAAGTGCCCGAAGATAAAGTTATAAAATGCAACAACATAAGTTGCAAGGGTTGCATGCATTACAATTGCAGCAGCTACAACGTTTCGGAGCTTCAATTTTTGGAGTCCAATAAAAGCAATATTAAGTGGTTTTGCGACGATTGCACCAAAGATGAAGTAAGAGAACGTATTAATTTATCGATGAAATTAATTTTTAAACATTTTAGAAACAAGAATAGACGCTAGTTATATTTTTAAGTCAGATTTAATATACTACTGTATTTTTCGCTAAATTTTACATGGTGAGTCAATTGGGCCACTCCAACCCTGTCTTAAGTTATCTCATTTAATAAGAAAACTTTTTTGCAGATAAACACCATTTCTACCTCTCAACACTGCGAAGAAAGCCAAGAAAACAAATTACAAAACTCTCTTCAAACGGCTAAATTTGCCTGCGTTTATCTAATAGAAAGTCTTATCAAAGCCATAGAGAAACATGTCAATTACGTCCTTAAAACGTGCGATTCTTCCAGTGAATTTTCTTCGTGTTGCAGTGAATCTCGCCTATGTATTTGTTGATTATAATTTTATCCTGTATCTATTTCTAATAAATTAATCATTTTAATAGTCTTGTTGAGCAACTCAGTATACACTACTGTAATCTTAGTTGCCTATTTTAATCTTGTTTTTTTGTTATATGGTTTGCCACACTTTGTGGTTGGCACTCCTTCAAAACCTCCCGATCGCGAGCTTTTTAAAAAGATGGTTTTAAGCCGAAATACAACAAACTAAACAATCACAATGGTACTTACAGCAACAACTACATGTATTCTTAACAATAAATGCAAGTGCTTACTTTACAATGTGAGTAACAAACGAATAAATAATTACGTAATATTGAGGTTATGTTGCGACAGCTAACGTCAAAAAAATATGTTTTTGAAGGTTTTAAAGAGAACTGCCAGCTCGAGACCGCCACAAACAGTATTTATCGAGAAAATATTAGAAGACCCTGTTGTAGTACTCAGAGAAGAAGACGATGTTGATCTTATAGGGCCACCGGATGCTGTATCGAACTTAAGACCAATTATTAGAAAAAGATTGTTAAACGAAACACCCTTACAGGTAAAATTACGCGAGTTACAGGATAGCACGCATGCGTGGAACAACGAATTTTGGGCCAAACACAACACAAGGTTTGTGAGTGAACGACTGGCATACATTGAAAGTCATCAAGTTAAAGGCGAAGAACAAAAACAGTTGACTGCTGATGAAATGAGCGAGTTTTACAAAAGTTTTTTGGATAAAAACTGGAGGAATCACGTCAATTACAATGTGGAGTGGTACAGGAAGAATTTTACTCTGTTGTTTTTAGCTTTGAGAGTTAGTATAGAAAAAAGTTTACCCAGGATTCTTTGATGAGTTCATTTAGTACTATTGATTTGATTCTCAGGTGAAAACTGTTACCTTGTTATTTATTATTAGTATTAATAAAATAATAATATAAAATCAACGTTTTTTTGTTTATAACATAAATAACAATTGTATTTTAAAAACTATATTTATATCAAAAATATTAATAAAACAATGTAAAAATCTGCAGTGCTGTTAACTATCCTCTGGGTAAATCCCAATAATAACATTAGAAATCCTTGTATACAAAGGGTAAAACTTGTCATCTTCCAGAGTACTCCACTGCTTCCTTAATTTTTCTTCACAAAAAGAAACAGGTTCATTGGGAAGCCTTTCAACTTTCATTGTTAAAATAATAAAAGAATTTTCAACTAGAGGCTCATATTGATCACAAATAGAATGAAAAGCCTGAGCTGATTCTGTAGGAACGTCTTCCAAATTTCTTACAATAAAAACCCCTTTTTTCTCCATTTCTTCTTTGTATGTTGTTAAAATCCTCCCATAATCTTCCGTAAAAAAATGTTCTGCTAATTTTTGTCCCTCAATATCTACACGATCCAAAGAACAATATTTAAATTTACAGTTATAATAGTTTGTTATTTTGTCAACAATTTTATCTAGAACCTCTTTGCTATTATGATCTGTATAGAGAAACATAAACACAGATATTCTGTTTAACTTTTCTATATCATTTACAGCCCCCTCAATGTTGTACCATAATTCTTTATTTTGATTCTTGAAATCATGTTCAAAATCTTCATTTGTGTATAATTTAATATGCAAGGTTGATTGATCATATCCAAATGCAGCAATACCTATCACAATTAACATTAATGGGATGATTAATACGTAAATACAAGAAAACTGATTATTATTATCATCACTAGGTTTGCTATGAATCTTTTTCGGAGATAGTGTTGATAAACTTTTGGTTCTCACACAGTCTTTGTAATCATTTCCACTTGACTCTGAGTCTGAATCATAATTGTGTGATGAATTACTTGAATGATTTGTAAAACTATCCCTCAATTCTTTTTTTCTTGCTTTCTGTTCCTTGACCTGTTTTTCTGGAACTATGGGACTAACAACATCTGGCATATCTGGTTTACGTATTGGTGGTCTTCCAACAGGATTAACACTTCTGTAAGGCGTACTTGTGTGTCTTGGTGATTTAGACATCTAAAATTTTGAATTTTAACCCTTTAATAACCTAGAAAATGAATATAATTACCTTGTTGTTTAAAGCACAAAGGATTCGAAAACATTGTAAATATAAAATATTGTAATTATTAGGTGATTAAATTTAAAGGGAGTTTAAAAATAAATTCAAAATAAATTAAAAGGAGCCCCTTTGACTGTTGTGACATTTCTTGCCAACCAAAAACACACACCAGAAAATAAAAGTCCCTAAAACACGACCATAGACAAAATAGGTTAGTTCCAACCGGCAGTAATTTTTAGTAATATTACTGACACACATGCGCATTTGTATTTTCATTATTTAAACATGCTTTTAAAAAAGTAAGAATAAAGGAAAAAAATATTTAAAAAGAAATTATTTTGTATTTTATTCTCTATTTCGTTTAAAATTAATTTAAAATACTTTTAATCCTAAAATAATATTATGTTTATTTAATGCGCATGTGTGTCAGTAATATTACTGCGGTTGGAATGAACCTAATGAACACGACCTACAAAACAAGAAACTACAGAATTTTTGCTTCAAAACCAAAGAACACCAAAAGCCCTTTTTTAAATATACTTTTTTTACAATTTTATACACTATAAACGTTAGTTTTAGTACAATAAAATATTATTCCATTTTAAAATTAAAGGTGCATTATGGGTTGCATAATAACAGTCAAATTTAAAAAGTCGTTTATTAAAAAAAAATATCAAAATTTGTGGCACTTTATTCCACTACACTTAGTTAGTTGCTGCTCTTTCTTCTTATTCTTCTTAAAGGCTAAAAGAAAAAGCTAAAAACCTATACATTTTACTTAAAAACATCTTACAAATTATGTCATTCCCAATTTCTTTGCAAATGTCCGGTTTGGTCATTTCTTTTTCGATTGTATTATCGAAAGTAAGGGCGGCTACCCTAAAAAATAAATCCGAAATATTTTGTCCGGTTTTGGAAGACACGGCCCAATACTCTGCGTTGATTGATTTGGCTATTTTTGACACTGTTTGTTCTAAATTTTTGTAAGCGTATTTTTTCTAAAAAAAATATTATCGAGTAATAATACTTGGGTAGAGTAGAAAAAATTCTCACAATTAAATCTTTTTTTGTCCCAACTAAAAATATAAAGGGGGTTGTTGTAGTACAAGCATCTACAGCCTCTCTTAACCATGTTTTGCAGTTATTTAAGGTGTTCATGTCGGTCAGGTCGAAAACAATCAATATTCCTGAAAAATACAAATAAATTTTTTGTCCGGACATACGAGTATGGTGTCCGATGCCGGACATCAAGTGTCCGATGCCGGACATCAAGTGTCCGATGCCGGACATCAAGTGTCCGATGCCGGACATCAAGTGTCCGATGCCGGACAACATGTGTCCGGTACCGGACAACATGTGTCCGGTACCGGACAACATGTGTCCGCCGCCGGACATCAAGTGTCCGGTACCAGACACCTGTTTTTTTAATTCTAAAACGTTTGAGTAACAAAAAAGTACCATGTGCTCCCCTGTAATATGATTGTGCTATACATTTGAATCTTTCCTGGCCTGCCGTATCCCATCTAAAAGGGAAATATACATATGTAGTTGTATTATGAAAATTTAATAATGTTAACGTACATTTGCATATTGTATGTAAGATTTAAAATTTCAAATTTTTCCACTTCAAAATCAACACCAATCGTACTTTTGTAGTTGGTATCAAATAATTTTTGTGAAAACCTAAAAAATAACGGTGTTTACAATTACCGCGGGTGTTTCTTAGGCAATATTTATTTATATTTGCGACTTTATAAAGTATACTTTACATAATATAAAGAATATAATATATACTTTATATTATAACCAATCAGAGCAAAGCATACTCAACACTACTATGTATATACATTCTATAATGTTAAGTATGCCCGGCATACTACGCCGTGATTGGTTTATTGCTTTCCAAAAAAGTATACTTTATGAAGTCGCAACTTTCAAGATGTAGGTATTAAAATAAATACCTAGATTACCTGTTAATTATACACGTTTTGCCCACAGAAACATCTCCAACAACAATAATCTTACAAATATTAAACAAGTTGGACAGATTGTTTTCAGTCTTGCAAAATTTATAAGTATTCTCACAAAAATCCATTTTTTTATAAGGCGTGATCTCTATTTTGTAAGGTTCCGGGAATTTATTAAGTTTTCTATCTTCAGACACCTCACTTAACATTTTAGAAATCGAACTTTTCATCTTAACACGCTGAAACTTTTAAAACACCCATTGTTTGTTTGTATTTCTATTTTAAGACTGTTTGTATTTTCGAAGTAATTCGAGCAAAACGAACTAATTACTACAAGTGTTTTAACCAATTCACCGGAAAATGTGGGTGAAGTAATGCATATGGTTTTAAGAACAATAACCCGTTTAATTAACGCTAATTTAAAAATGAGTAACAAGTCGAACGTTTGAATTTCGCGCGGTGTTCTACTGCGCTAGTCAAAAGTTAATTCCGGTTGTCACTGCTAGGTTAACTTCCTTTTACTGTAGTTCTTTCTAAAAATGGCACCCGCAAAGCCAAAATCAGGGGAGAAACCCGGTAAGTTTTATGTTTATTACGGCCCAATTATTCGAAAATAAATGAATTCGTACTAACTAAAGTATAATCTATCGCGTGGAGTGCTTTTTGTGAAAAATTAATTGTTCAAAACTTATTAAAACATGACTTCGTTGAGGCCACGCGGTATACCTCAGATTTTTCTTCCATGTGTTATAAATATAAGCTTATTATAGCCAAATAACGTTCCTTATTAGTTATATATGTCTTTATATTACCAAATCAGTCACTTGGGGATAGATTAATGCAAAAATTGAAGCACTTTAGTAACTTGTTGACAACTTTCAATATTGAGGTTAAGTGTTATTTTATTTGTAGCTGCAAAGAAGGAAGAGAAAAAGAAGCCAGCAGCTTCGGCTTCCACCACGTCTGCTGCTTCTTCGTCCTCCAAAACGCCAGCTGCTGCCCCAAAAGCAGCCAAGGCCGCTGGAGCTAAACCTGCTGAAAAAAAACCAACCTCGAAGACCCCAGCACCTAAGCCAGCTGCGGCCAAGCCAGCTGCAGGAGGTAAGTTTCAACATTTATTTGTTAATTTTAATTATTCTTACATATTAATTAGTTTTTGTCCTAATTTGATAATCTTTCAAGTAAATAACACCATTTTTGGTCACCCCAAATAACTAAGTGTTTAAAGGTATTAAAAAAATCCCAAGTCAGCAAAATAACATTGTTAATAATTTATTTATATTTAACAATGATATGAATTTATTTAATTTTTTAAACATATTGAAAATGGCGCATTTTTTATGATGATTTTTTCGTGGGAATCTCTTTGACAAAAATCAATGAAACCACAATTACACAACTCTGATTAAAGTTTTCAAAACAAAATTAAGACATTTTTAAAAGATTTTTGTTTAAAAAACTCTTTTTTTGTAGCCAAAGCTGCCCCGGCTAAAGCAGCCAAGCCAGCCGCTAAGGCTGGAGCTAAGGCTGCCAAGCCAGCAGCCAAGGCTGGAGCCAAGCCCGCTAAAGGTGCTGCAGGCAAGAAACCCGCAAAGGTCGCTGGTAAAGTAAAGGTACCACCAAAGCCTTTGTTGGCCAAACCTAAAAGGAATGTGCCGGTTAAGCAACAAAAGGGAGTCGCTGCTGGCAAGAAAACCGCCGTAGCTCAGGTGGCCAAGGCCTTGAAAGTGCAAAAAAAAGTAAGTAAAATAGTTTTTATATATAAAGAATATTTTAACTTATTTCTGCCATTTATTACAATTTTACAATAATAATAGTTAAAACAACATTGCAATTTAACAATTATTTTCATTATTATTATTATTTTAAATGAATTTGCAAAATGTTCATTTTTATTATTACTTTTAAAATTTAATGGTATTGCAATTTTTTCTCCCAAAATCATAGATTTTAAGCATTTTAATAATTTTTGATTGGTAATTTAAACTCTTTAGTATTTATTTATCTCAATTTTACAATTTTGTGATTGTGAAATTATATTTTTATTTTAGAAAAACTAAAAAGTTACTTTTCTGTAAATTTTACATATTCTGCATTTTATTTTTTATATGCGTTGTTGACAAAAACTTTGCGTTTTTTAAATTTATATCGTTTTTTCATCAATTTTTTCCACGTGCGGGCGTTTTTGTTTTATTTTTTGTAACCCCAAGTTTTGGTTTTACCCATCCTTAAAGTAGTTCCATTAAAATTAAAAGACTACTACAAAATCCAAACTGATATTTTTAATTTAGTAAATTTAAAATATCTGTTTCTTATATTTGTATTTTTCTGTTAAATACAAATTTTTTATTTAGTTAATTTAAATATTTTCTTACTATATTTGTATTTTTTGCAAAACGGCCATTTCAAGCGGACAGACAAATCAAAAAACTGTTTTTATAAAAAAAATGTAGGTAATTTATTATATATTATTTTGCATCAAAATTGTCAAATATATTCTTCTTTTATTAGGCTATACATTCAATAAAAAAAATCGGAAGAAATATTTTATAAAAGTTGAGTGGGACAAGATAAATCTTTTTTTTGTCCCATCCAGTTATCTCTACTTTTAAAAAATATTTTTTGCGTTTTTTTTTATTAAATGTATAACCTAATAAAAGAAGAATATTTTTGACAATTTTGATGCCAAAATATTATGTAATAAATAATCTAAAATTGTTTATAAAAACAGTTTTGAAATTGCTTGAAATGGCTGAAAACACATATTTTTATTTCGCTAAATTAAAAATATCATAGGAGAAATTTTTAAATGTATTAAAAATATCATAGAAGATATTTTTAATTCGATTTAAATAAGCAAATTTTTTTTATTGAATCATTTTTAATTCAGACATTGAAGGTTTGGACACCCCTGTTACGCCATCTAGCGACAGAATTAGTTTGGAATACCAGGGGTGTCCAAACTTTCATTTTAAATTAAAAATGTCACATTTAATTAAAAATATCTGCCTATTTTAAAAATAAAAAATTAAAATGAATTAAAATATATCCTATGATATTATTAATGCAAATACATATGTGTTTAACTTAAAAATAAAAAATATAAGAAACAAATATTTTAATGTATCAAAAACCAAGTAACCCAGCACTTAATCATGTTTACGATTGAAAATAGCGGAAAAATGTAAAATTCAAAAAAGTAATTCAAAAAATATATAACGTGTTTAAAAAAAAATAATATAGTTTGGCTCTGGGGTACAAAAATAAATAAATGTTTTAAAAATTTAATACAATTTAGAATATTTAAACGAAATTCACGCAGTAGCATAAATGGTAGTACAAATTGTTTATAATACTTTTATGGGTATTTTTTTGTTTGAAGACCTACATGATTGGTTAAATTAGAGAAAAGATGCCTATATTTGAAAAGAACTTAAAAGTTTTACTTGTACACATTAATCCACATTTTTATCCAGTTTACGATTTTTTTCCAATTATCGGAATTTGAGGTTAGGTCATCTATCAAACTAATCTTTTCATTGATAGAAGTTTTCCCATTTTTTACATAATTTTTTGAAAAGCTTGGTGAATGTTTCGTTTTTTTTTGTTTTGATTAATATTCTGACAGTTTTTTATGGCTGTCATCATGTTTGTTTCTCTATGGCTGTCATTAAGTTTTAAAATTGAATGTGATACCAACTTTGTGAATATAAAAACGCGTTAATTGTCATTGTAGCCAAGCTAATAAAAAAACACACCTTTCAATTATTAAAATTATCTACTTTTATAAAATATTTCTTTCGTTTTTTTATTTAATGTATGTATATCCTAATAAAATAAGAATATTTTTGACAATTTTGATGCCAAAATTATCTAAATTTTTTTTATAAAAACAGTTTCGTAATTCGTGATTGAAATTGCCGTTTTTGCTTTATACAGGTTGTATAAGTAGTCGAAATTCCCTAGATTAATTAATTACATTTCCAAAAGAAGCTTTACTTCAGCTGTGTGTTTAACATGTATTATTTTTATAAATTTAAAGATTTAACATGATGAGTTTTAGTGTGGGAATCTCTTTGAAAATTCAATGAAAACTAAAAATTTTAACACAAAACTGACTTTGCTGCAACTCTTGCGTTGTTTTCAAACAAAAACGACAGATTTCTGACGAAATAAATTTTAAAGGTGATCAAAGGACCCAATGGAACGAGCACGCGTAAAATCCGCAACTCGGTGCACTTCCACAGGCCGAAGACCTTGAGACCGCCTAGGAACCCGAAATACCCCAGGAAATCCGTTCCCACCAGGAGCCGCATGGACGCTTACAACATCATCAAGTTCCCGTTGACCACCGAGGCGGCCATGAAGAAGATCGAAGACAACAACACTCTAGTCTTCTTGGTGCACACCAAGGCCAACAAGCACCACATCAGGGCGGCCGTGAAAAAGTTGTACGACATCAACGTTGCCAAAGTGAACACTTTGATCAGGCCCGACGGCAAAAAGAAGGCGTACGTCAGGTTGGCGAGGGACTACGACGCCCTTGACGTTGCCAACAAAATTGGCATCATATAAGTTGTTTTGTCTTCAAATTTGTTTTTGTACATTTTGACGCATTAATAAAAGTTGGAGATAAATATATTAGTTTTAATACAAATTGTTTATCTTGTTTTATTTTATACTATAATAAAATAATTTGGAAAAAAACTCTCAAAATTTATTGACATTTTAGGTTAAGCCGGTATCAACGCCCCCTTTACTGTAATTGGCTCAAACCAACTAAAAACTTGGTAAGTATAGTATGTTATTGGCTGAAAAGAAGACCCAGCCTACTTAGGTAGAATCTTCATTTGAAGAGTGATTAATAAATAACAGCGGTGCCAATGTAGTAAAAATTAAAACGTATTTTTATTAACAAATTAATATTTATTACAAATTAATTTATCCTTAAAAACTAAGAACAATATATAAAGTAAATAAGTAGATAACAATATGAATTGTTATTTTTTTGTGATAAAGGCAAAATTAAGGTTCAAAACTCATATTTTTGTGTTTATTATGTTGGTAGCGCGAAATCTAAAATAATTTTAAAAAGTGCTAAAAATGTGTTTTTTTAGATTTTCTTAAAAAATATACTGTAATAATCAATTTAAAGTCATCCATGATCCTCTTTTAATACTCGAGGTTAGAAACGATTTTTTAAAAGAATCTATGGCCCATTTTTAGCTTTCCTTGTATTATAATTAAAATTATATTTATTAATAAAAATATTAATTTTAATAAAAAACTGTCGTGATAAGGTCTTCCAATAGATCTTTTTATGCTAATATTTTTTACCATAAAAGACCCATATATATGGCAATTTTTAGTACCAGCTGTATCCTAGTATCCTTTGGTTAACGCCATATTTTTAAAATGACGCCCAGTTTAATTCCTATAATTTTAATAGAGTGTTATATATACCACATAAAAAATAATAATAATACTTAATGGTAATTTTACAAATTTTAGAACTTATTACAGCCAAAATACCGCAAAAGAATTTAGTAGGAAGGTTTATCTGGTACGGTCAAAATTGGGGCAATCAAAATAAATGAATAATGGAACGGAAAACCTTGTTATAGAGGACAATTTACCAAAAAAATGGAGTGAACTTATTTGTAAAGTTCATTTTTTTATCTGGACTGCGGCAACGTTGCAAATTTAGGGTTTTGGTTGGTAAATACAGTTGTCAAGTTGGTCGCATTGATTAAAGCTAGTTATAAATTTAATTATTATTATTATATGTATAAATTATTGTAGCATTGAGTAAAGAAGTTTTTACTCAATGATTGTAGGTTACATTGTGCAGTTGTCAAGTTGAGTCGTCGAAATTCGTAGTAAAAATGCAATTAATTTGGCTTTGGTGGTGCTTGGATGAGTAAAATCATATAAAAAAGTAGTTAAATATAGGTTGCTTTACGGCCCAGAAGAGAAAGTATAGCGGATAATAATCTTCGCTTTGAAAAGAATTTATATAAAAGAAATGTGAACGTAAATGTTGTCCAATGGTAAATAATGTGTGATGTAATATTTATAAAACCAAATTCGTTACTTTTTTACTCCAAAAATGTCCATAAGGCGATGTACTTTTTCTTCCATTGTGGCATTTGGCATAATTTCATCAAAATTAGTTTTGCCCTCAAAAGGGCTTTTACATTCGAATTCGTTGCTATTATTTTTGGCATAATTATCTTTTTATTTATAGGTAATTGACAAGAAAATTATCAATAATAAATATTATTGTCAATTTGACAGTGTTAAAATATGTAATTAAATTCTTTAGCAGAAGTACCATTTTTAAATACTAAAAATACCTAGTCTAACTGGCATAAGCCACCAACCTAAAAAAAACACGAGTCCAGATAAAAAAAAATTAACTGTATATATTAAATTTTGACATTCAACAAAAACCTTAAATAAAACATTAGGTATATTCTTAAACATTTATTTATCATGATTATATGCACAGGTTATAGAATTATACAAACAACCTTGAGGGTGGTTTTCCAGAAACCAGCAAGGTTTATTTTTATATTTTTCCGTGTTGGAATCCAATTTTAGTGGTTCCCTCAAATAAATTTTATTTTTCTTCATTTCAAATAAATATCTGTGGTTTCTTAGTAGAGTTTGTAAGCCGCCACACTCATTTTTAAGTTGTTTTTTGTCTTCAATTGGAATTATTGTGGATAACTTTTGGAAATCTGTATTTGTGCCTTTATTCCACTTTTCACCATCGTCTTTTACGATAAAATTTTCTTCAGATAAAATATTTGATATGCAGATGTTTATAATTCTGTCTAAAAGTTGTTTATCCAATTGAGTACAATTTCTAGCTTTACTTGACTCAATTCTTGCTGTAAACTGATTTTTTGTAAGTTTTTCATCCACAAAACTAACAACATCACCAACAATCCTCAAATAATCCTCATTTCCATGGTAAATATTCTGCAAACCCACAAAACAAGTCCTTTTAGTTGATGGTATCCTCAATTTATCAACCTTTGTCGTAAAATTACACTTCTTACATACACCCTCAATATAATTCATGTAATCGCAGTATTGGCTAATTGAAGTGTTTTTTCTTACAAACTTTTTACCACTGAAATCATAGGAACAACACGGCAAAACGAAAAAGTTGGTTTTGGGGGAACTTTTTAGGGACATTACAGGAATCCAGGGTGTCAATTCGTCCGAATGATTCCCTATGAGCCATGAACAGTCAGTAAATAAAGAATCTGGGGATATTGTACCCTCCTAAAACAAAACAAAAACTCTTGGACATAGAAAAAGGATATTTGCAATAAAATTCAAGTAAATCTCAAATGAAGCTCCACCCTCTTGAATGTTGATTGGCTAACTAGTCAATCAATGAAAAAAGTTCGCATTTTATTGGTTAAGATATTAACAGCCTACTAAATTGTAATAAAATTAACTTAAACTTAACAAGTAACACCCCCTTGAATGTTGATTGGCTAACATTTAAAAAAGCACTCATTTTATTGGTTGAGACATTAACAGCCTACTAAATTGTAATAAAATTAACTTACCCTTAAATCTGTTTGAGGGTATAAATCCCAAGTTGGTCTTCTCCTTATGTCAATTCCATACCCTTTGAAACCTTCAGAGTTTAAAATAAATACTAATAAACCATTTCCACATCCACAGTCAACAAAATTAACATAATTTTTATTGGTATATTTGCTCCAAATACATATTAAATATGCTGCAATGGCAATATCTTCAAAAACGAATTTTTGTGGGTCTGTAGTGGCTTTGGAGGGCCACTTTTTGACTAAATCATCACCATATTTATGTTTCAAGTCTGAGTACAACAAACAGTAATCATCAGGTGATATTAGGTTCAGAGATTGTACCGTATTTTCATTTAATTCACTTTCTGACCATTTAATCAGTTTACTGAATAATTTATCACCCAACCATTGAGCATGATTTGTGTCTGCATCCTCAAACGATTCAACTGTTATTCTTAAATTCAACGAATTAATTAAATCTATTTCATAGGGAAACGGGGGAGCTAATGGGGTGGAATCAAACTCAAAGGCACATAAAAATGTTGCCACAGAGTTATCTTTATCCAAAACAACAACTTCAACGCATTTACCATTATTATTTCTCCCCAAAAGAACCCTCACAGAAATAAATACTCCTGTCGTAGCAGAAATAAAATCACTTTTATCTTTTTCATTTATCACAACATGTTTGTCATAACATTCAACTATATTTCTTATAAAATCTACTGTTATTGAATCTTTATTTAACTCACTAAGTTTTCTAGCTTCATATAACACAGCAGCCCTAGTAAATAAATCTTTAACTTTGCTTATACCGTTGGTATTAATAATAACTTCACAAAACAAAGCTTGTGATACTGCTAAGAGCTTGCGATTCACTAAATGTGGTCTATCATGGTATATTAGTAAAGTTTCCCAGAATTTTTCCACACTCAGTGACGTCGAACTTTGTGCTAAAGGTATTTGTTGCATTTTTATTTACTTAAGTACTAAAACAAAACAAAAAAATATAAATTGACTTAAATATATTTTTAAAATGTTTAACCTTCTTTAAAACCCACTCAGCATCCTCATAAGACCTTTCCATAATCTGCTTTATTCTTTGAGGATCAGACTCAGTGACGTGTTGTTTAAAACTCTAAAAATTTAAAGTTTAATCCCTTTATAGGTAACTTAAAAATTCAATTGCGAGTACCTGCTTAATCATAAACTGATAATGTTCTTTAGCACCTTTCGGCAATTTATCACATTGTCTTATTAAATACTTAAATAGAGCTTTTGGGGAATTATTCGTTGGTTTAGAGGAAAATTTTGCCAATTTTGTAAGAAACATGCCTGATTTGAGGTTATATGTCAAATAATTGGTGGCTAAAATCACAACGTCAATGTTTAATTTTGTAAATAATAACTATTTTAAAATATAAATCACGTACAAATTATAGTAATTATTTAAAAATTATTATATAATTCAATTTAAAACGATTTACATTGCAGGGAATAAATTAAATTAAAAAAACTTATTTACATTTTGGGATGTGAGACACACGTCAAATTAAATTTACATTCTAACCTAAGCAAATTTTATATTTTTATATTCACAGTTTACAATGGCTTTTCGACGAATATTTGTACCGAGACCTTTAAATCAAATACGTAGTTATTGCAGAAGTGCGACGTGAGTAATATTTACGTGTTTTTATTATTGCATTATAAATTATCTTTACAGAAAATGCGAAGAAAAAGATACGAGTAAAGGCACACAAAAACAAACTTTTAGTAAAGAGGGCGACAGTGGGTTTTCCAAGACTTTAACGGGGGAGACTTTGTCTAAGGATCACAATATTTTTAATGCCATTGGGGCTACGGAAGAGTTGTTAAGCTCCTTGGGGTATACCAGGTTTATTTGGGTTTTTGTTATGTTTTTGATGATTTTATTGTAGATTAGCCAGGGAGCATGCTCACGAAAGCGAATTAGAGTACACAGATAAGCTGAAGAGGATACAGACAATAATAATTGACATTAGCACAGCTATTTCACGATCTACAGACAAAAATATTAAGGTTATACCAAATACTTATACTAGAGAGCTGGAGGATTGGATTGGGGAGTATTCTAAGCAATTGCCACCTCCTGAACAATACATTATCCCTGTAAGTATGTTTTCACAGATCATAAAGTTGTTTTAAAATTTACATTACATTTTTTTATTAATTTCATTGGGGGTTATTTATTGGGGAAATTTTTATTCAGGAATTATTTTATGTGTTAACACTAAACACTAATATCACAAGAATTTTTATTCTGCAAATTAATACCGAATTTCAAATATTTGCTTATATAGTGTATGTTGTATTTTTTTGCTAAACACATATTTTTGATTTGCTTAACTAAAAATATCATGAGAGAAATTTTCAATTGTATTAAAAATATAGGGGATATTTTTAATTCAATTTAAGTTTTATTTTTTTAAATATGCAGATATTTTTAATTAGTTTGGAATACCAGGGGTGTCCAAACTTTCAATCTAAATTAAAAACATCAAATTCAATTAAAAATATCCGCTTATTTAAAAAATAAAAATCAAAATGAATTAAAAATATCTCCTATGATATTCTTAATGCATTTAAAAATTTCTCCCATGACATATTTTATGTAGCAAATTAAAAATATGTGTTTAACTAAAAAATACAAATATAATAAGATATTTTTAGGAATCCTAACAAGTTTATAATCTTTATAGTTTAATTATTGATTAAGATCTTTACTGAACAGTTTTATATCAATCAATATTTTACCAACTTTTTTTACAAAATATACCTATTACGACTATATTAAGGTACTATTTTTTTAAATTATTTCTCTTACAAATGTTAGTTTTTCAAATATTACTTAATACTTGCTGCTCTGTTTAAAGCGCACAAATGCATAATAAATATTAAGCGTTTTTATACATACCATAGATTTGAAGCCGTCCTTTTAAAAGGACAGTTAAACCGCATTTTGTAGCGTAATAAATATTTAACGTTTTTTTGCGGTATACAACACATTTTTCAAACCGACATTCTAAAGCATAGGCATAGTAAAAATTTAACGTTTTTATGCACATACAAACATCAAACCGACCTTTTGAAAGGTCGTTCGAAATGTAGCGTCCTTTTTAAAGGAAATTCGAACTGTAGCGCCCTTTTAAAAGGACGTTCGAACTGTAGCGTCCTTTTAAAAGGACATTCGAACTGTAGCGTCCTTTTAAAAGGACGATCGAACTGTAGCGTCCTTTTAAAAGGACAGTTGCAGTATAGGTGCCAATTAACACTTTTAATGACTTTTTAGGGTGGAGGGGTGGCCAGCGCCTCTCTGCACGTTGCAAGAGCAATTTGCAGGAGAACAGAACGCGTTTTGCTCTCCTTTGTTCAGGAAGGTCTCGTCGATAAAGAGGCTCAGGTGTATCTAAACAGGCTTTCAGATTTTCTCTTTACCGTGTCGCGTATCGCGGCGAAACACGACGGAAGGGCCGAGTCGATTTACATCCCGAAACCCGACGAGAAAATCCAGGAACAGTAATGGCGTCCAATGGTGTGTTTTTTACAAGTATTTAAGGTTTTGTTATGTCTTTTTAGGATCGTAAAAGTTGATAGTATTGTGTATGTGAAGAAAATTTAGATCATAATACATATGTATTGAATCTTTTAACTGGAGACTGCCAATGAAATATATGTTATAAATTGTTGTAAGGGTTTTTATCTTTGACTATTTATAGTCAAAGGTTTTTATAAATACTGTTATTTAGTTAACGTTTTTTATTATGTAATATACACTTAAATATGTAAAAAAAATATGTACCAAATATTGAACAAATAAATTAATATTTTTTTTTAGAGATATTCTTCACCCAACACCATTTCTTTGTATGACATAACTTCCAAAAATGCTGCCCCTTTGGTCTCTGTTTTTAACATTGTATCAATATCCTTGAACAAACCAGGGTCAACCAATAAAACCATTGTAATTTGGTCTTCAACCCTATCTTCACTTTCAACCTCAACGCTCTCCATTTTAATCAATTTATCCTTAATCTTCTTTGCCTCCTTACCTTTAAAATTAACCTTCAACCTCATTTTAGCCCTCTCTATTGGTATGGACTCCTTTAACAGCTTAATAACATGCAAGGCTTGCTGCTTAGCCGACTGATTCGGCTTAACAGAAAAGTGTACGTCCTTCATAGCCTTCTCAATCATTGTCACAGGATAAGGCCGCTTAATCTCAGGGTTTAAGCATTTATCGGCCACTGTGGTGGCTATATCCTTAAATAATTGATCCAAATGACTATGCCTTTCCTTATCGCTCACTTGTAACTCTCCTTTAGCCAAAATATCCTTACATATCTCCGTTTGATCGTCTTTACCAAAAGCCTTGATTAGATCCTCCTTTTTCGCAACCTGACCTTTAGACACGTTTGTAAATACGGTGTGCGTTTGCAAAACCTCGTCTATATCCTTTTCCCTGCAAATAAAACGAATTCGTAACATTTCACAACCTTTTATGGTTACTTACACTTGATTTCTCCATGACACAACTTTATTTCGATAGCACGCAATCTCGAACCTCTTTCCGGCCTTTTTAATGCGCACCACGGCCACATTCGTCAATCGTATTTGATTTGTAGGGGTAAAAATCTTCGACATCGTTCAAAATATTATTACGAAAGTAGACTATTTTGAGGTTATATTAAACTTGAAACTTCCACCGATAGATGGCAATAGTGGCGCCGTTTTCATTTAAGCCCCTAACTGGCACGCTATTGGCCGGAAATGTGTGTAGTGCAAAAACTGTCAGATCGTGGCGGTACGATTGGTCGCGAGTATTGAACATGGCTCTTCGTTTTGACGTTTGTAATCTATTGTCAAAAACAATGTAGTGATTTACCATGATTTCGTGAAATTGTCGAAGTATTTTTTTATTTTATACACTCATGTTTAGTGCGGTTCGTCGATAATGGCTTTAGTCACCGTTCAGAGAAGCCCAACCAGCCATAATTCACCAACTGTAAGTCCATTTATGTCTATTTTCATATAGGTATTATTTTTATTAAAATCCGTCTGTTTTGGTGTGTTTTATGCGTGGTATTATTAATTAGGCGTTGTTTTGTAAAGGGGATAATAAATATTATTGTATTAAAATATTATGTTTATTTATAATTAGATAGCAATGTAAGTTATTTCCGATATATGTATTTACATTGATTAATTATTTAATCATAAAGTGGTGTCAACTGAAGAAACATAAAAACGACCTCAAAAATGTTTGCAAACATAATTTTTTAACGTCAAAATATTTTATGGGAGACATGGTGCCAAAAATGGTAAAAATTCGCGAAGGTTACATATGAATTTGACCCGCATTAATTTTATCCTTCTTCGGAACAAAAATAACGGTAACGGGGAATTTCGATTGCAACGGTTGGCCACCATGCCGATGCAATCTTGGATCCGATTCAGTTTGAATGCGTTCGCCTGGGTGGGAGGGTGTCGAAGTGTGCCTTGCCCACCGAAAATCCGCGTGTTTCGTTTTTGAATGACTTGGTGAAATGTGATTTGTACGAAAAACGGTGATAAAATGTTGTTTATTCTGCCACCCCTGACAAGTCAAAGCCCCCCCAGTCCGTGGAACGCGATTTGCTGCGATGACAAAAACCGGCAAAACAAAAACAAGCCTCCCAGGATAACACTGAGGAACCTGCAGATAATCAAATTTGAGGTAAGATAAAATGCTTAAATTGTCATTGAAACCATAGAAACTATTTTAAATGTCTAAAACCAGATATAAGTGTCTAAACTGTCGCAGGCTGTCTAAAATACCTCAAATAAAACTTAAGGGTTACAACATATTAAAATAAATAAAATATCATGTTCGAAGTGTGACATATCCTAATAAAGCGAAGTGTGCTATGATTAGATTCGATTTAGTTGGCAGTAATTGGGTATTCGATTGTTTCGATGTATCGGTATGTTTTCAGCAATGGGGAAGCGTTCGATTTTATTTGTTTGTTGTGGTATGAGGAAGACGGTTTATTTTTTACCGACTTCAAGTGGTTGTGTGTGTGTGTGTATTGAATCGGTCAACAGAATAAACGTTGAACCGGTTTATTAACCGAAGAAACAGCATTCTGCTTATTAACCAGACATGTGTAGACGCATTTGAAATTCAGTTTTATTGATGATTGAAATCTCGCTGCTCGTATCGAACTGTTGTTTAGTTTAATTGAATTATTATTGGATTTTATCATTGAGATAGAATATAAATATATCTCAATGAATTTAATTAATATAGGTAAGCAACGTTTTTGACTGTTTTCTTTTACCTATGCAACGAAATTTTTATCAATTTAAGGAAATAAATCAAGGTTTGATTAAGTTTTGCCTTTAAACAAAAAATCTTATTTCTGTATTTTAATGTTCATAAAAATATGTAATCAGGGGCGTGCTGGGCCGCCGGGACACCGGGCGAATGCCCGGTGGCCTGCGCTACCATGGTGGTCTGCTGGACTTGTTATGGTATGCATAATGCAAATAGGGTATACCAAACAGGGACCCGGACCGAAATGAAATATCGGTTCCGGTACGGTTTTGGTTCACCCTATTTTCGTTTTAATGGTTCCGATTCCGGTTTCGGTTTCGTGGAGTTATAACGGTTCGGTTCATTTCGGTTTTAAGCGGTTCCAGTGAGGTTATTTGTTTTACGTAATTTTAATCTATAACCTCACATATATATATATATATATATATATATATATATATATGTTATATAATGTTATTAGAATGAAAGCAAATAAAGGTTTCGGTTCCGGTCCCACAGATTTTATCAAAAGCGAAAACGGTTCCGGTTCGGGTTTCGGTTCGGAAAAAAAAACCGGTTCCGTTCCGGTTTTCGGTTTTTTTCGGTTTCGGTCCGGGTCCCTGATACCAAACAAAAAGTTTTTTCAAGTTATATCACTAAACACTAAAATAAATTTAAAAAAAAAGAAAGTTTTAATTGACTCTTAAAAAAATCTAAAACACGTATTTTTTTGCTAACCCTTAACCAAGAAGAAGGTGAAAACCCTAAACCGTGGGGATATTTTGGATGCTTTCGTAATTATTTTTCCGTTTCTTTGAAAATCCAAACTGATCCGGGGCCACTTCGATAAAAATTCAATTTTAGTAAATTTATAAATTATCGGAAGGGGGGATCAGCTCGGATTTATAGAGAAACAGAAACATAATTACAAAATCATCCAAAAAAGGCCCCTCTCGCAGTTTTTGTCTTGATTTATTTGTGATAATACTTTCCTTTAATATCAGTTTGAAGTGACGTAAATTTGGAAGCTTTTATGCTGATTGCTGTGGAGAGAAAGGTGAAAAATTGTTAAGATTGTGACTTAATAATTGAAGTAGCTGAAAACAGTTCTTTGTTGCGAAGAGAGATATCGGGACATTTTATCAGTCGAGGTATTTAATTGTGATGTATTTTTACAATTTATATGAATTTGGCTTGGGCCTGGACTGTTCTACCATCTAGTCCAGGCCTGCATTGATTCTGCCAGCACGCCCCTGTATGTAATTAAAAATAAATAGGTATTTATGCATGCAGTCATTTGAATATTTTTTATAATCATACAGAATCATCAATAATTATTATCTATAAAGCTCGTGTTTGTGAATGAACCGAGTATGTAAATAAGTTTTTTTTAAAAGTGATAAAATACGTTTTGTTTAAGTTTAAGGGCTTGATTCATCACCGTAAATGAGAAAACTTGCAAATATGTTTTAAATTGTACCTACATTTTTATCTTATCTTTATTATTTAGTAATTAAGTGCATATTTTTTTAATTCGTATAATTATTAATTAATTCATCGTTGAATTATTTATGCTATGTTAGAGAAAACCTATTGGAATTTTAGTACTATAATAATAAAATAAATTGCGCATATTTTTTGTACAATCATAACTATCCAAGGCCATAAATTATTTTAAATTTTGGTTAAAATATACCTTAATTGTCATAGAACGCTGTAAAACTGACACAACTGCTTAGAGGCCTTAAATTTGTTCTTAAACTCTTAAAAGAGCTCTATCAAAAATTTGTCAAAAATATAGGTACCTTAAAACTGTCTTAATTGCCAGCTATGGCATATATCGGTTAAATTAATTTAGTGATTTAGTTGGTGAACTAAATCAAATAATTTTTAAAGCTAGGTAATGGCTATAGCATATATGCTTTTTCGGGGTTTTACAGGTAACTAATTTGTATGTGTCTCAATAAAGGCCTGAACAAATAAATTTAAAATGGTAGGAAAAATTCGTAGTAACATTATAAAAAATGGTGGGACAAATTTTCAAAATTTTAAATATTTCCAAAATTTTCGCAAAACTTTAAAAATTATTCTTTTTAATTTTAAAAATTTTTGAAATATTTAAAATTTCCAAATCTTTAAAATGTTTAAAATTTCGAAATTTGTTTTCATTTTTTATTTTTTTTTCGGAATTTTTTTAATTTCCAAATTAAGAGCGTATATAAGCTTCTATAGGTTAAATACCTAAATACCCAAATTTAAGTTTAATAATATATTTCTTTTACCTTTCTAAAAGAAATATTGTGATTATCATGTATAAATAATTATACACACTGACTCGTGTACCTAACTGTACTCCCATACAATACGTTGATCTTTTTTGTGGGAAACCTTGGTATTGTCCAAAAAATCTAGGTTAAAAACTATTCATTATTTCCATGCATGTTCGGAAATAATGACAGCGTTTCAATTTTTGCGGCATTAATTTTGATGTTGCGTGCCCAAGCTAATCAGCCAGTATTTCTTCACGACAATGGAAAACATTCAAAATAAACACCTTGTTTTAAGGTTCACGCAATCAAAATAAATAAAGTGTTACTATTACTATTTTCACCTTTATTATTGTCTTTTAAAAAATATGAAAACAAGTTATGTAATTTTTAAAACGCTTATTTTTCAAGTAAAATGTGATTAAACAGGTTAGTTGTCCTCTGTAATAAAAGTGAACGCTGCTGTTATAAAATATGTAGTTGAATAACACTTTTTGATATCAAATTTCTTGGAAACAAAGACAAAGGAAATGAGCTTTAAATTAGATACATATCCAGTAGGTATAGTCACTAGGAAGTAGGTACATAATTATGAATAGCAAAAATACAATACCTACAATAAGAAAAATATTTATTAGAAAAAAAAACAAAAATCATTAAATGACGTCGATTAAATTGCCTTAAATTATGGAGCCTCTGCTGAGTGGAAGTATGCATCTGAAATTAGGATTCTTAACGGCCAATTAAGAAGAGGACCACGTGTTCATAAAAATTTTACTGCGCTTCTACGTTAATACATTATAGACCTGAAAAATAAAGAAAAAAGTCTCCTGCATAGGCACAGGATGGTTTTAATAAAATTAATTAAGAATATTCCTTGGAGAAGAATTTGTTTATCTTTCCCACATGTTTTGCGCATTATTTATTAAGTATTGTTTACAAGTGTAAAATTGTGTTAAAACATGTTTATTTATGCGAACCGTTAGGTTTATTGATTTTTAGGTGGTTTACAAGCCAAACAACATTATTTTAATAATGAGTTTTTTTAACTTAAACTTTAACTTTTAATTTAAGTTAAATAAAACTCGTCAACACAGTGTTATTGAAATACATAATAATTCAAATAAGTAATGATAGTTGCGTCCAAAAATCAAAACTTTGTTACTAATAAAAATACCTACGAATAAACATTTAAAAAAATCGTATTAAACTGTCTGGATTCTTTGTTTGAACGTATCCTGTAGATATAAAGAGTAGGTAAAGAAAGACCGTTGCTGAAGGATGGTGATTCGCGTTGTTTTTTTTTCTTGCGCATGGCTGCTTTGCCCGCCAACTAGGCAGTACGCAGTAATTCGATAAAAAACGCATTAAGATCGGACATTTTTGCCCGTTTCGTTGAAATTTTACGCCGTCGTTAAAACCGGTTGCGACAGACCGTTCTCGCGTCGAGTTACCGTACCTCTTCTTCTTCTTCTTCTTCTTCTTCTTCTTTTCAGTCAGTTCGTCTTTTTTACCGAAGAATTTGTTTTTTGAATAAAAGTATTTTAACAAGAATGATTTAACTAAATAATTTAAAAAAAAAATGGAAATATCATTCTTAAATATTTCCATGTTAAACAATTTTAAAATTTCGTAAATTTTGGTAGTTTTAAAAAATATAAAAATTTTGGAAATTTAAAAAAATTTGGAAATTTTAAGAACTTTAAATTGTTTTTATTTATGCTTAAGTGCGAATTTGTCCTCCCATTTTTTTAATTTATGCCACTACAAATTTGTCTTACATTTTTTCAAATTTATCACAATACAAATGTACAATGTATGTGTTAGAAATGGACTGTTTACTCCGATATAGAAGCATTTTTTTACAGTGAAAGTAAAGGAAATGTTCTAGGTCTATAGACCTATATCTATAGATATCTATAGATAAAATAAAAAAAACAAGTAAAATATTTTTGCGGCTTACCGGTACACTTCTAAAACAATCTTCTGACGGCTAGCCATCAAAAGATTGATTTGGAATGGCAAAAAATGTCTAGCAGAAAGTACTTTAATAAATCTGCTAAAAGTAAGGTAGAAATTAGTTTTAACCAAATTACACAATTTAAAAAAAGTGATAATACATTTAATTTCGGAAGTAAAGCTAAAACTATTATA